AGGTTTTTTTAATTGTTGTGACCAAACTGGTCAATATTAATGAATGTTCTATAAATGTAATTCATTGCTTTTATCCAATCTTTGTTTTTTACCATTTAAATTAAATTCTGTAAAGGTCATGGTTTTCTCACATGGAATTGTTCCGTGCCTGGAACATTCAGCTGTGTAGTGCCCTGCAACCAGTGCCCTTTCAATGTTCTATCTGGGGACTCAGGGTTATTGTCCCTACTCTATTTATAAACATATTCACTGAGTTAGAAATACTTCTATTATTCTTCTGCTGTTTTTATCTGTTGTCTCTTAACAGCTATTTTTGAGTATCACAACTGAAACGGGATCAAGTCTTTTATTTTTTGCATTTGTGGCAAGCCTTGTTGACTTCCTTAAGCACATAATACCCCCAGTGGTTTTTTTAAAGGTTAGATTATAGTTAAATGCTTTGCCAAACTAGAGCAGAGTAGTCAGTGCTCATGGCTGTAAATAGGACATCTCGCAGTGATGGCAAAGTGAGCGGTGCTGGCAGGGATAGGTAAACTCTGTTACTTCCCGTTTGTCCAAGTAGTTTCCTTTGAAGCAGTTTAGATGGAGAGACCATTGGGACATAAGCATTTTCCGTTATTGATCCTAGTTTATCTAAAAAGCTTTCTTTAAGTCAGCTCAAGTCACTTTCTAGGTGGTTTTCTTATCGTTCCCTTTGTAAAACAAATTCTGTGATACACCTGCTGAGAGAGATGGCAAGTACCTGGAGGCAGCCAGCTTTGGCCCTTGCACTCTGCTGATGTGTTTGCTACTGCTCAGTAGGAAGAAATTGAAAATGTACATGCTTAAAATGATGCAGAGAAGAGAATACTAAATGTCCAAACAAAAACGTAGGGTACCCTGAACTGTCACGCTAAGGAAAAGAAATTCAACTGGCAGGACGTGCAGAGCACTTCAGCATTCCTGCAGCTGTCTGTGAGGTGTTTGATTTCAGATGGGAGACAAACAGGATTTAACACTGTCCCTTTTCCGTGGATTACATCTCCCTTTATAGCTTTGTAAAGCCTGAATGTGAGCGACTCAATTTGTTCTAGCGACAAAGTTTTCTTAAGTAAGTTTTGCAGAACATGCTCTCCTATTTTTCTGGTGAGTTCATGTGCTGTCAGCTTTTTCCTCGTTGAAAGTTGGAGGAGATATATTTCTATCCACAGAGAGCCACAGGTTCAGCCCAAGTAGGTTCTGGGCATCTGGGCAACTGAGGTGTCCAGTAAGTATTGGCTGCTGTGCAGGTTCCATACAGTTGACTGGGAGCACTGTTGTAACCCAACTAGGACTTGACTTGTCTTTTGGAGTTGCCTCTGCCCATCCTTTCTCAGTGGAGTGTGATTCCACCTCCAGTATAGGCGTTTCATTTGAGTAGGATCTGTCTGTTGGAGCAAACTGTTCTTACAGCAAACACATTTGCTCTCCTGCATTATCAGTCTTCTGGAAAGAATGCATTCTTCTAGGATTATGTTCATGCGTTTATGTATTCTTAGTATCTTTGTTTCACAAAGCATTATTTTGATGGGCAAAGGTAGGGTATTAAAGGCAGTAAAAAAGCAGTTAAAGTGAGGAACTCTGGGGAATTAGTGGTATTTTAAAAGCAAGCTATTATTTAGTGTAAGCTGGTCTCTTTAGTATTGAAGAGGCGAGAGTATATGGTCCATAGAGGGAACAGTGCTGTAATTTCATGCAGAAGTTCTTTTGAAATTCAAATGTCAGTGTTGGAGTCCTAGAAACCTTTACTGATTCCAACATTTTTATGTAATAGACCTGAGTTATAAACTATGGTTATAAGATGGTAACAGCTATTAGCTGTAAAAGAAGGCGATTATGGTTATACAGAGTGTTGTGATTACTGAACATATCACTTTTTATATGGCCATGTGATAATTTTAAAAGAATTATAGATTCCTCAATTTCATTTTTGGCTTATTTTTAAATGAAGAAGGAATTTATTGTGGTCTGTATGATGTCTGGAGGAATGTCAGTTACAACAGGGCATGTGTAGTATCAAGAATAATTTCCACATCACCACCCACCCAAATGAAAATATTTTTGTGTTCTGAAATGTCATATTTTATTTAATGATACAGCAAATGGTCCTGTGGTCAGCTACAGATGTCTCTCCTTTGCTGGGTTTACTATTAACTTTTTCATTAAGGGTCACATACAAAGCAATCTAATTAACCTGTTGAGGAAGAAGTAGTGGGTAAAAAAAGAGAAGTGCCAGTTTTCTCCTGAAGGAAACACACGAAAGCAAGATCGGAGGAGAAATGAAAGAAACTGGGAAAAACTCTTGTCAGTGATATGCATGCTAACATGCATTGATAGTATGGGACAGTTCAGAGGAAGCCTGTGTATTAATGTGGCATTGAACTCAACTCCCAAAACATTGAAGTTCTGTTTGCAGGTAATTTAGCTTACTGTTTCTGAAGAGGTCTGTATATTTATGGGACCTTAGAACACATCTCAGCTTACTATGTATAACTATCAAGAACAGTATCAAGATACCTATTTTCAATATATCTGGAGCTCAGGAATCCATCAATCATCAAGAAAAGCTGCTCCTAATCAACTTTTTGTTCTGATAACACATTACAAGACATGTCAAAAAGCTAGATCCTCAGCTGCTTTGAACTGACAGGGTTCCTCTGAGATTTCTTCTTCTGTTAACATTAACTGCAGTTTCTAGCTTTAATAGCCATGAAAAAGAATCACTTAGCTGCCTCTTATCCTATGAAGGGTTTGTATTGTTGCTGTGTATAAAATCCAGTCTTCAAAAAACCCATGTTCACTTTGACAACATCTGCATGCATGTGGTGAGCAGCTTATTTTTCAATTTTGTGCTTAATTTCAAGCCCAGCTTCTCCTGTGTTGACTCCATTGACACAATGCGAACAGCAGATTTGCTGTTCCTCTTGTAGTGCTTTATAAAGCCAAAAATAAATCTGAAGTGCTGCTTCTGTTGGGAAGTGGGAGAAAAAGTCTCCATTTTGTGTTTTTAAGTGCTCTGCCCTTTCTAAATATTTCTATCAGTTAGTCCTGAAGTTTGATTGGTTTTGTTTGTTGGTTTGTTTTCTTTGTTTGTGTTTGTTTGGTTTTTAATTTTACCTATCTGAAAGGGATTGTCAAATCAGTTTCTTGACTGAAACATTTTCTTCTATCACCAGCCATATACAGCTATTGAAAAGTATTGTGTGCTTGCAGAAGTCATTGAGAGAAAGAAATACAAGGATGCAAAACTCGTAACATTGCATTTCAGCCTTTAGATGAATGTACCTGTCAGTGTAGTGAGAATATCTGTCCACCCTCACACTATGGACTGTCTGTGGACAGAACCAGCAGCTGATAACCTGTCCATTGCTAGGTTCTGTTCAGAAGTGATGAATTGAAGGAAGATAGTTAGTGGCAACAGACTGGATAAACGGCAGCTCCAGTAACTCTCTGAAAAATAAACCTTACATTGCAATGAAAGTAAGCAATGTAGCTGCAAATTGGAAGTCTTGGTGGAATAGTTTATTGTCTTACTCTGCTTTCATATAGTCACAATATGTTCTCAGTGTGAATAAGAGGTACTCCAGACTTGAGTTCTGGTTACTTAATATGTGCATTTTACATTGTGGGGAGTCCAATACTTGGTATAAATCCTGTCAAATTTTGCAAGTGCTGAAACTTCAGTTTTATGTGAGCTGGAAATTCTTGTGTATCAGTCTGTATATAAGCATTGTTGGTAGATCAACAGAATTGCTCAGTTTAGAAAGAAACTACAGGTCCTGACCCATAACTTTTAGGTCTGATAAACCTTTACAGGTGATCAGAAGTCCTGTCTGCATTTTGAATTTTGCTGTAAAGCCTGTGGTAAATAGAACATGTTTTGTCTGTGTGTGTGAACTCATCTGTGAGGAGGAGGAAGTGGGATCAGCAGCTCCTCCACCTTCTGATTCCCTGGAGGCACTGTCAGCCTCCTTTGAAGGGTTGTTCTGAGGTGTCTCCTCTTTGTTCTGGGAGGAAGATAGTAAATAAATGTTGATCTGTAACTGCAGCAAATTTAAAAATAAATAACCCTTTTGGCTGAGCAGGCTTGCAAGGTGGGTTTCTGATCATTCTGAGCAGGGATAAGTAGTATTTTATCTTGCAGTGATGAAATGCCTCAAGCCTAAAGGAATCATGCCATATGTGTCTCAAAACCTTATACAAAATATTGCAGTTTTGTGCTTCAGGACTACCAACATATTGTTAAACCAAGCAGAGGAATTGAACTGCCAAGACTTTCACGCACATCCTCTGGTCTGTCTGAGCTGGCTGCTGTAATTCCTGCCTGCCTGTGGCCATTGCTGTCTGCCTGTGGCCATTTCTGTACCCAGAGGTAAACCCTCATGAGCCTCACACAGAAGAGTTATCCCAGTGGAGAAGGAAAACAGACATTGTTCCAGATAGGGAAAATCCCACAGGATCAAGGGCAGCCGTAATTATAGCTGTTGTGCTTGTCTGGAAGAATGCAGAGAAACAACAGGGGAGGTCAGGCTTCAGTTAAACATAATACTCTTTTGTGTGCTGTAAATGCAGTTTAGCAAACAAAATTTCATTCAGTGGGGCCAGAAACATGGTACAAGGTTTACCCTTCCTGTGTTCCAATACGTAAAGTGCTTCCAGCTTCCTTCAGATATGCGTCACGTTCTTCCAAAGTCCTTCAAAACCATCCTAGTGGCAAATGTCTTGGTAGTCCTTATCCAAGGCTGATGATATTGATATAGTAGCAGAAATAGCAAGGTGAAGAATTAACTAAGTTACACTTTTGTTTGTTAAGTAACAGAAGGACCCAACACACAAAGAGGAGGTAACCAGCTGCTTTATTTTTGATTTCCTGTTGAAGATCCATCTGAAGATGGATCGCTGAATGATGGATCCTTTTGTTGTTGCTCTTTTGCCTGGGATCGGTCATGAAGTGTTTAATGTGGCTTTTGTTTTATTTTCAGCCGAAATAAAGATCTGTTTTAAATACTACCATGGTGTTAGTGGAGCCCTCCGAGCTACTACTCCATGTATCACTGTGAAAAACCCTGCTGTGATGGTAAGTTTAGCCTATTTGCTTATTATATTTGTATAAGATGATAGTGTTAACTGTCAAACAAACCTATCAATGTAAGCATCCTAGTTTTACCATTGACAGAAATTTTTAAAAAAATTTTCACAAAATTTACAAAAGGTGGGAAATGCTTCTCATGGTTTTGTATTGCTCATGGTAAAATAACAGTAAAATGTCAGTGAGCTCAACTGAACTCTTTTATGCTGAGAATTTGATTTTACAGGCTTTCAGTTTTGATGCTTACAGTTTACTGTAATTTAACACCATAGCAGAAATTTTTCACACTGATTATATAACTGGAACTGGATCCTTATCCGAAGTCTCCATTTATTCTTATTTGTTAATATTAATAATGAAACTGTTGCTGAGTTAGTGTAAATGAAACTGGACAAAACCCTCTCTTGTAAAAATAACTGAATATTTTGAGTGTTCATATACTACTGAAATTTAGTAATTCCCTGATTATCAAGAAGTATTCTCTTACTGTGCTTTCATTATGAGACTTGTTCTTCTGAAACACTAAAAGTTTTAGAGGAGTTTCTTAAGTTGTTTAAATAAGTAGTGTAAGAAGAGCCTTCCAGACTTGTATCACAGTGCTTATGATGGAAGTAATTTATCTAACAGGTTATCTCTTCAGGTGACATGAAGTGTTATAGTGCAGTTGATTCACTGATATTATCTGCCAAATATTTAAGGTCACAGCTGTCGGGATGGTGTCCTGACAACTGCAGTCTTGAAAGTGCAGTAGAGAACAAGTTATTCAGACTGAATAACTTTTATTCTGAACTCATGCTTTTTCAGCATTGTATATTATATATAGTTTCATGCTATGGCTCTATGATACTGTATGTGCTATACTAGACTTTATATCTCAATATACCAAATGTGAGTGTTTTTTCTCTTAGCATTACAAATGTAGGTGATAGCATCATTTAATTGTCAGATCTTTTTCAGATTTGACTATGAATAATACAGTTTCACAGCAGGCAATGAACCCTTGATATTTTACAGAAGAAAATGTGCTATAGTGAATGAGCTTAACAGCTACTGTCTTTAATATCAATTTATAAACTAAAGACAGTAAGGGAGTCTTATTGTGAACAAGGGAAAAAGTGCATCTCAACCCTTAAAATGGATTGCATGCTGCTCTAGGTCATTACTGAGAAGCAGAGTGATTATACTGAATGGAGAAACCATTTGAACTTGTGTATTCTTTTGATCTTACCATACTAGCCACCAGTAGTTTTGAAGTTCATTGAACAAAAGGACATCTGAACTTCTGTCACCTGAATATGCATTTATTTACTTGGTAGCTACGTGAAGATATGTCTTGCAGAGTCTTTTTAAATTTCTTTCCTTTGAAAGGTAACTCAGGACCCTGGGAATTGTACAAAATTTACACACCTGCTAGAAGATGTAACTTAACATAAATGTTTTTGTTTGCATTAACAGTACAGACTTCCAGTAAGAGTGAGCTGTTAGTTTCCCTGATGAGAATGTTTTAGGACAGGTCAGATGATACTTCCTAAAAATGGCATACTGGGTTAGTTATACATAACTGTACCTATTGTTGACTCTTAATACCTCACATCATTTTTGTGGTTCTGGTGTTGAGCTTAAGCACTGCACCGTAGACAATACTGGTTTCTCCTGTTACTGGTTGTTTCTGTTGTTACAGAAATGCTGTTTGGGGAAGTGGTAAGAGAGTCATGGCCTTCCCTCTCCCATTTTTCAAACTGCAATAAATTACCTCCTTAATTGGATCATTCTGTGTTTTTGCTTTACATGATTCAGTGGGAGATACGTTTCTGGATTTTCTCATACTGATGGTGCATCACACCAGGCATTTCAGTCCATCACATTACTGGATAAGCAGCTAACATTCTATTGAACCAGGAAAGATAAAAGGCCAGATTGAGAGTTCAGAAACACTGTGTTACACCAGATGAGGTAGCCTTTGTGTGCAAAATTCTGAGCATGTATGCTGGGATGAAATTTTTTTACTTGGTGCAGAAAAATTGAAATTGCTGTTCAGATTGTAATGAAATAGGAAAAGGTTATATAGGGAAACTATGGAAGTGCTAGGGAACACTGTTACCGTTCATTTTATTATAGCTGAAGTGTAGACAAATCCTATTTTCTCTAAAGTGAAGTCGTGATTAGTAATGTAAATTATATGGAGCCCAAGATGTAGCTTGGAAAAGAGGTTTAAAAAGAGAAAGAGGGATAGAATGAGGAAGACCTTTTTTGTTCATGGGTAATGATTTTAGCAAGAAAACAGTGTGTGCTAAAATAAGCCCAAAAGAATAAACTGGAGTACATGGAATTCCTCTGGCCTTACCTGGACAGCATCACTGTCACAGTGGGATGCACCCCTTGCTGCTTCCAGGGTATCTGTCTGTAGATGAGGGGACACTGATCCAGCTGGAATTAACCCATTGCTTTTGATGCCTTCATCATTTTACTGCCACCTGTCACTGCTTATGCATCCATATAAAATCACTGGCAGAATAATGTCATGCTGGGTGGGAAAGGGATAGTTTTGAGCACTCTGGCGAGACACATCTTGCCCTGGGAATGAGGAGTGCATGGTGTGAAGCCAGCAGTGAGGAAAGGGGATGGACTGGTTGGTGAGTGGCAGCACTTGCTGGCATGGTGTGTTCCCTCACAATAGCACTGACGTCTGTGGGGATGTCAGGCATCAACGTCACTGTGGTTTCTTCATCACTTTGACTGCTTGTTACATGTGAAGTATTTGACTTTTTCAACGGGAGAAATCCGCACATTTTCTAATTCCTGTGAAATTCCAATGTGCTTGCTGATCATAGTGGGAAGAATTTGAAAGCTAATAATATTAATAGCTTAAAGCAATATAAAGAGAAATGATTACGCACTGGGTTAATGCACAGTGGCTTCCCTGCGGCTTCCACAGCTCCAGAATCATTTATCCATCTGGTAACTTCAAACCACTGTTCAGCTGCTCAGGGCTGCCTTGCATACTTCATCTACGCACATAGGTGTGTGAATTTTTATTCAGCTTATTTTATTTAATCATTCAGTGGATCAGATGACTCTGTTCTATCGCTGGTATTAATCCCCAGTGCTGTGTTTGGCTGAAACTTTTTCTGTGTCACCTCTTCTGCCTGGGAATGAGTGCAGTGCCTGCCTGGGGAACCATTTGTCTTTAAAGATAGCTCCATTGATGTCTCCATGAGAGATTATTCAGCTGAATGCACATCTCCTCTGTCTTGAAAGACAAATTCTTCTGCTAGTTGAAAAAGATAGACATTAATACATGAGGAACTTTTTATTCTGAAGTGGTGCTTTACCTAGAGAGGGATTTCTGTAGAAACCAAACCTAAAAATCTGGGAAGCATAAGCTTTAAGACCATGTTTATATTTAGATATCTGATGCGCTTTTCTCTTTAAAAGGAGCTTTTGTTCATAGATCTGAAGGCTTTTGTTAGTCTCTCTTTGATCTCTTTGCTTTTTTTGTTGCACACTAAATTATCTATTTGTGGAAAGTGACAAAAGTTCCATATGCTGTCACTGGCCAACTCAGTGCTTTGGTATGTATTGAAAATCCACACTGTTTTTCTTATTTTACAGAAAGGAAACTTGTAAAAAAGTGCAGTTTTTTTCTGATTAACATTATCTGCATGTGTATTAGCCTGTACGTGTCCTGTTTGGAAGATTTGACCTACTGGTGGATTAACACTATGTGGCATAAATAATAGATATTTTGCTATAAACAAATGCTGCAGCTAAGCCTGTCTGTGGTAATAGGCAGTAGTTTGTCAGATCCTTCCCTGGCATGCTACCTAAAACTGCCTTATCATCCTCAAGCATGTACAAAGTAGACAAAAACTTCTTTCTTTTTTTTTTCTCCTCTTAAGATGGGAGTAGAAGGCACGGATGAAGGTGCTTCTGGAGCCCAGCACTCTAGGAAGTTAGTCAGCTTTACCCTATCAGGTAAGAAACAACACCACTCTGTGTTTTACAAATTATTGTTTAAAAAAAAAAAAAGTAAGTTGCTGTTCTAAATAACATCAAAGATGGAACTCTTTTCTTCATTAGCCTCTGTAGGAGCACACTCTAGTGGCTTGAAAGATGTCGTTTCCTTAGAGCTTCTGTTTGTTGAAAACCAGCCAGAATCATGAATCTCCAGGAGTGAAAGAAGTGGATTTGATGGATTCCAGCATGAAAAACTTAGAGGAATTTCCACTTTGCGCATTTGGGACAGTTCCTCTCAGATTGAAGGGTGGAAAACATAACCTCTAACTAAAATGCAAGCTGGTTCCATCACTTGAAAAAAAGCAATAGCTGCAAATGGTGGTTTAGAAAGGAAAAAAAAAGAATCCTGTAACAGAGCTAAGCTGTCACGACAGAGAAGTAGCTGTAGGGGTGCAGTCTACCAGCTTCAGTTGTTTTGATTAACACTTTATTCCAGGGAAGTCTTGTGTGAGACTAAAGCATGTTCAGCTTGAGCAAAGACAGATGAAATTTGCTTCTGAATCTTGAAGAGCTGACGATGAAAACATTTAGAGATAGTAGAGGTAGAGCAGAAAAAGTCACTGCTTTTTGCAATGGCCTTTCAGCAGTTAGCTGAGATAGAGCTGATTGGTTGTACAGACCTAATGGAGAAAAACACAAAAGTCTTGTGCTTTAGCAAAGCTGCAGAGGAACAGAGAATTATTTTCCGGTTAAGCTTAAAATCTACTGTTATAGAAAAAAACCCACTCTTTCTTATTGTTGAAGTTTGCACTATCATTGAAGTCCTTAGTCATGAAAATATGCTTCTGAGGAAATTACTATTTATTATTGCAAGTTGCAAGGGCTGCAGTTTTGAAATTTCCATAGGAAGAAAGCAGCTTTTTCAGAAAACTTTGCCTCCTTTTATTTGAGATAGGTGATCATCTTCTGAGTTGGGAGAAAGTGTGCATCATATTCCAGAGCAGACTTGATAAGTTATCATTTATCAAAGACTGAATGTTGGGAAAGTGTGAGTTCACTGCATCACCTCCCATACAGGTTTTTATCTCTTCTCCTTACCCAGAAACAAAAGAAGTACTATGTGATTTATTCTGGGGGGGCTCTGTCTTTCTTTTCATTCTTTGAGTGGAAATACTTTACATGCCTTACTGAGGAAAGTATTTGTAGGTGAGCTACAAGTTTATGCTTTTTGTTTTACAAATAACTGTGTGCTTAAATGTAAATGAGGATGTTGATACCTTTCTTCCTTATATTCTTTTGGGAAGACATTTGATTTCCTGGTGTACAGTATATCCAGTTAATGTATGAGTAATTTTAAGTTGCTTTATTTAGTAATTTACGGTGAATTGATTTCCTGGGTAATATTTTAGGAATGTGCTACTTTGTGAACTGGCTTCAATTTACTGAGTTCCTTCCTTCTTGTTTTGCTTTATAGATATTAGAGCAGCTGGACTTAAAAAAGGCATGTTCTTCAACCCTGATCCTTATCTAAAGATGTCCATTCAGCCAGGCAAGAAAAGTACATTTCCTACTTTTGCTCATCATGGCCAGGAGAGAAGGTCGACTATCATCAGTAACACGACTAATCCTGTTTGGCACAGAGAGGTAATGCATTCCTTTTGAGAGCTGTCTGCCAGCTGATGCAGCGTATCAGGCTTGCATTTTCTCCTCATGCATTAGTCCTTACTCTCTGAAAGCTGTGAGCTTATTTTGTAGCTAGTTATTTAAACTGACACAGTAATTGTAGTAATTTTAGGAACCCTGTTGGTGGAGAGGTATCACCTCTGTATTAAAGCTGTGTATTTAAGCTGCACTGCTGGGAGGTTTTCATTCCCTTCTCTGCTAAAAAGGGGCTGAACTTGCTTAGCTGCCCTGTAGATTTCTTGAAATTGCAAAAATAAATTAACTAAAATGGATTATACGTTATGAGAAGACCCTTTAAGGGAAGTTACAGTATATGAGCATTTATGTTCAGTGATTGCAACAACTGTTCATTTGGAAATGATGTTTTCATTAGGCATAGCAGGTGGCAGGCTTTCAGTTCTGTCATGCAGATGGGATGCTGTTTGGTCCAGCCTCGGCTTGCACTGCTGTAGGACAGAAAACCCGGGAAGGCATTACAGCACCACTCAGGAAGGAGGAGGGGAGAAAGGCAGTCTGGCAGAAGCCACTTTTCCAAATGTGTTTGTACTGGGTGAAGTGTTCAGATCTCAGAGAAGGAACTCAGTCCAACGGTTGTCACTGAGTGCAGAAGAGCCAGGCTGTGCTTTTGAGGATAAATGTTTATGTGGGAAACAAGGGTGAAAGTACTGACACAACGCTTTCAGGACTGGCAAGCAGCCTTCTTGATCTGTGACTGTTTCCTAAAGATGCCTGTACTGTGATGAGTGTTAATGTTTTCTTTAGGAAGATGAAAATTGGGCGGATTATGGAAAGTGTTCCCACAAATTGTGGTCAAACAAAACAAACAGTAAAGTAGAACAGAACAGGGCCAGCATTAGCACTGCTCTGGGGTGCTGGGTTGTGGGATGGACTGTAAATGTGCCAAAGTCTTAAAATCTCCAAAAAGAAAAAAAAAAATCAGAGTTCTGATCTCTAAATTGATTCTTCACCCTTCTCTCCATCCATCCATCTATCCAGTAGTTAGAAAGAAAATTTACTCATATTTTAGCCCCTTTTTTCTCCTCCAGTTCTCCTTGGTTTTGAAGCTTATTAGAAAAGTGATAATATTCAGTGGTGCACACACTGTATCAGCTTGCTATTGCTGCTGTATCTTCCCTGTAGCAATGCTCTGACAACAGCAGTTATGATCCCATTACATATGCTGTCCTAGTGGGGCAGAATTGATCCTGTTTTCCATCTAATAATTTCTGCAAAATAATTCACAATATTATAGCAAACTGAGAATGACAATTTTTTAAGTTCTGTTTATCACAGGAACCCAGTTCTGATTGTTGTGCAGCATGAGGAAGTGTTTTTATTCCTGACCCAGTTTAATTGCTTTTTTTGAATATTTTTTCTGATGTCTACAGCTGAACTGAAAAGTTCCTCCTTTTTGTTCCTTGTTCAATACATTTTTGGCTACCTTTTCCCCTTGTAGGGAAAGGTGGAAGAATGAAGTGAGTAACTGTGATATTACCAGACATCAAGAGATCTTCAGTAAATTAGCACCATGTTGTTTAAAGGCCCCAAGTACAGGAAAAGGTTCTGTTGGAGCTTGCTGAGAACATTTGTGAACATTGGGGCAAAACTCCACAGAAAATTCTTCTCCTTTAGTTACACTGCTTCTGAGTATACTGTATATCCACACTGCCCTTTTGACTTCCTTTCAGTGCATACAAAATGTAATGCAAAGCATGGTGTTGGAAGGGAACTTCTTCTAAGCACAGCCTGGAGTGACACACTTATTCCTTCCTCCTATATTGACCCGGCTACTCTTCTATAACCTGACATAGTACAGCAAGGATTCCTTCTCTTTTTGCTTTCTACTATGCAAATGAAAGAAAGCAGTAGGATATGTGGCTTTCTCCTTTCTGATGTAGACCCTGAAAGTGCTTTTACCTGATGCAGTTTCTTACTGGGCAGTTCTTTTCAAGGAACAGGTAAAAGTTATGGGTAACAGTAAAAAGCTGGTGACATGAAAAAATGCAGCGCTTAATAAGTGATGTTGACTTTAGTTTGCAATATGGAAACTGCTGTCGTCAGTCATTACTTTTGGAGTTCACTGCACATTAGTAGTACTTTAGCACATACTTTCTGAATAAAGGTGTGTTGATACGATGTCAAACATGTTCTTTCCTTCCAGAAATATTCTTTTGTTGCACTTCTAACGGATGTCCTGGAAATTGAGGTTAAAGACAAATTTGCCAAGAGTCGTCCGATCATCAAGCGCTTCCTTGGGAAGTTAACCATACCAGTGCAGAGACTATTGGAGAGACATGCAATAGGGTAAATTAATAGATTCTTAATGCTAACTTGTTTTGATCAGGAAGACTCAGCATCTGGGATACTGGCACAGAACAGCAAATTTTAACTACATCTGTAGTAAAAAATTTAGTAGTAATTTAGTAGCTTTATTGCCTGACTGGAAAATGTTAATGTTTCTAACCTTGTCCTGAATGCATGTACACGTGTTTCTGTTTCTGTGTGTCTGCATTTCTTTACATAAAAAATGTTATTCTCACAGAAAGTGTTACCCTCTGGCTAAGTAGTCCAGAAGCAAGACATTATCACAATACTACATGATTGTGTGCAAATTTTTTAGAAGAAGCAGATTTTATTGACTGAATTCTTTTGCAGTTCAAGTTTGGTTCAATAATCAGAGATTTACTATCCTTTCAGCTAATTGGCCAGCACTGCAAGCTGTGACCCCTTATTTTTAAGAGTGCTCTTGCTACTATGCAATTAAAATTGCCTTTTGCTGTGAATAGCACATTGATGGGACTCAACATTCACCTGTTGTGCTATGCAGAAAAAAATCCTGTTCATGTTTTGATCGTTAACTGTTCTGGTGTAAAGATGAAAGTCGCTTAGAAACATTTAAGATGGTTTATGATGGGTACTGGAGGGGATGGTGGTATCCCCAGATGGCTGATCTAACGAGGTCTTCAAACCCCCACAGGCACTGAGAAGAGCTTGAGACTTGGTCGTTAGGCAGTGTGGTACATTGCAGGTGTGAAGCCAGGTCTGCAAGAAATGTGTGCAAAAGTGTCATTTACATCCAAGACAGCAGTAATTGCTAGGGGTATTATTTTGTTAACATCTATTTACTCTATTTGACAAATGAGAAAAAAATAAGTTCATTGAAACACAGTGGGAGGAACTGAATTGTTCGAGTGCATTTTGTATAGGCCCTGACTCCAAGTCTACTAAAGTTTATGTGTCTCCATTAATTTAAAAAAGCCACTGGATGAGGCCCATGAGGAATGATAGTGAAATAAAATGTATATATTCTTCCCTGAAAGCTTAAGGGCATGGCAGTATCATCACACTTTTGCACAAAAACTAGGATATAATCAGCTGGCCTCCCTTTTCACAGATATTCCCATCAAAGTAACAAGTTGTGCAAATGGAGAAAATCAAATTCAATTTGAAAACAGTTTTCAGCTTTAAGTTTCCAAAGTGGTGTTTACACTGGTAAGTAAAGTAAGAATAAAATTGTAAGAGTAGCTTAAAATTTTCATAGTGTCTTCTGATACAGATTTTATTAAAAAATGTTTCTAAAAAAGCCTGCCTGTTTTTTTGTAATGGTATCCAAGAGCAGTGCAGGTGTATATACAATCTAAATTTTCCAGGAAATGCTTTATCTTTGAGTTTCAACAAATTGTGTTTAGTTGAGCAAGCAGCTTTTTCTAATAAATTTGCACATTGCTATACACCAAAAATTAGCACTGTGATACAGGCTGGTTTCAAAACCTAGCACAGGGTGTTTATTCCTGTGCTAAACACCAAAATGTTTCTCTTCTCTGGGATTCCTAGTGCTGTAATTTCTGAAAATTACCCATTTGCTGTGTCAATCAGTTCTTGTCTGTGTTTTTCCAAACCATTATTCTGGAAGACATTTCCTGTTTTCTTCACCATACTTCTGTTCTGTATATTTGATATATCAAATCTTTTTAGGAAAGGAAAGGCAGTATAATAAATATAGGTGAGTATCTGGTTGGTTTGCCATACTGCTGTTAGAACTGACATTAAAACAGTTTTGCCTTTTATTCTGTAATATATCTGTCCATTTACAGTTTTTGTGTAAAGAGTTTTTGTGTATTTCACTGAAGGATTTGCAAAGTAAAGTAGTGGTTAATATGGACATGAAGTAGAAATGTACCAAATGTACAACCAACTGCTAATTCTCTTGCACTTTGGTTTTTGTCAAGCAAGTATAACACCATCATTCTGGTTATGTGAATGAAAACATGAAATTCAGAACCAGCCACTTTTAGACAGACTGAACTGAAATTCTGCCCCACTTCTATCTGTCATCACAAGTCTGTGTAATGAAGTGGCCAGTGACTTTTTCTTTCCTGGAAAGCATGATAAATGAGCATGAGGATCACCTAGAATTGATTCAGCTGAATACAGAGAAGGCATCATTCATGCCATGGCTTCCTCTAATCTTGAGTGGTCTAGAGCAGTGTAAAAACTGTGGATACCTCAAATATCTCTAGCTGAAGGATTGTAGTTGGAATACAGAGTGATGAATTTGTGACAGGTCCTGGAGACACTTGTGTAATAGTTTAGTGTCCTGAGGGCTGTAAAGCAGCTTGGGGAGAGGAGGCTGCTTTGCCTTATTGTGTCCACTCAGGGCTTCTTAAAAGTTTAAGCCAACTGCTGCAACTTATTTCAGTAACAGCTGCATTTGTTTTAGTCTGTCATTCATTTTGCAGTAGAAGTGCTCCCTGTAAAGGAGAGGTGTTTATACCAGTACAAATTTATATGCATGAATAACTATAATTTCCTAGGGAGATTTTCAGTAGCTCCCTCTTCTCCCTTCAGCTTTCCCAGATGTACTGAGGAGGGCTGAGGGTGTGAATTCTGGCTGTGCCTGATAAGAATGTATAACCTAGGATCTGATCCTGAGTCTCAAGCTGATACAAATGTGTAGTCAAATCTGAGTCCCACTGAACTCAATAACTCTTAAGATTGTATTTGAAATTAAATCTAAGCATTAACAGCTTTTCTAAATCAGAATTCAGAAGTGCTTTATTGAATGAGAACTAAAATATGAAAAGACCATCTGTGACTTTTGTATAGAGTAAAAACCACAAGGGGGCAGAAAGGTTTTGCTAATTATAAAACATTTTGGGTCAGGGGAAGGAGGAGGTTAGGAGAGAGGGATCCTTTGCAGTTTGATTTCTTTAGAACTTAAGATATTTAGGGATATGTGAGAAATGGTGGGGCACAATGCGTATTTGGAATTGACAAAAAATAGTTTATTAGGCTGTTTTATCTGTTAACAAAAGGTATTTTACACCACTGTTCGTGTTCCATACAAATCAGAGTATGTGACTGATTTGAAGACTGTAATAGAAATCACTTCCTATCACACTGACACTTAACTGATAAGGGTGTCTGATACAAAATACTGGAAAAATAAAACCCATTAAAATTTAAAAAGCCCCAATGTCTTTGTTTTGCAGAGACCAGGTTCTCAGCTATAATCTTGGCAGAAGGCTCCCTGCTGATCATGTTAGTGGGTATCTCCAATTCAAAGTGGAAATCACATCATCTGTTCACGAAGGTGAGAATTTGTTGGTGATCTGGATCTCCAGATAGTTGAATGGAGAGAGTTTCTATGTATTTCTTTGTCTAGGGTTTTCTATTGTTGTGGAGCTAATATGCTTTTTCAATTGGGTAAAGTGCCTCTATTATAGACTTTTTTCTCTTGGGATTCAGTGTTTAGATATGTCAGGTGCTGCTTTGGAGATGACAATACCAAAACACCAACACTTGGCATGTTGTTTTTGATTTTGTTAGATTGATTCTAAATGAATCTGCTTATGATTCTCATTTTATGGGATTGATTTGGTAATCAAAGTCCTTGTTTCTCTTCACTCTCTAACACCCTGGGCTGAGATAAGCAGTTGCAAGTAAGGTTCTACCTGTGCTCTGCTCCCCTTCTAGTGTACGTGGAAGTCACTTTGTCCTGTTCCCCTTTCACAGGACCCTGTCCTGCTTAGAGCCAAGAATATCTGTTAGGTTATGAGAATATAGGCTTTCATTAGGCAATTATTTTATTTCCCTTTTGTCCTGTTCTGAAGTGAACTAGCAAAATAATAGTTGTAATAATGAGCTGTAAACACGCTTACAGATGGCTTTTTCATCTCTATGCAGGTTTAATTTCCATGTGGGCTGTCTCCATCTCACCTCTAAATTGAGGCCGCTTATTTTTATTTCCCTCTCATATGTATTACCATATTTTTATGACTATTATTATTACCGTAGCATACCCAATATCTCATGAACATTATGCAAGTAGATTCCCATTCTTCACAAAGGAAAGTCCTGTAAACCAAGTAAAAATAAATGCTGTGTATAAAATTTGGTATCTGTATACAGTTTGGGATTCCCCATGTGATCTCAGATGCTGGTTTGCATGCTAAGCGTGTAATGACAACTGGTGTCAGTGATTAGCTTTGTGTAAATCCTGCTTTTGGATCTGAGAAATATGCTGTGAAAACATGATTCCTTGTTTATGACACCGGCTTTACTGACAGTTTGGCAAGATGTTTGGCAGTGCTTTGTCTTAGAAAGCAAAATGGGAACCCTTTAAAGTCATACTTCACACCTCTTAAATTTTCTGTGTCCTACACAATTGTGTAGACTCACACAGAGAAAATTGCTGTTCCCATGCTGTAGATGCCTCTGTTATTTTAACTGAATTTTTTCCCTTAGTTGTCTGATTGAAATAAGCAAACATCTTGAAAGATGTGCATTTTAAAATAATTTCAGGGATGCAGTCTGTTGCTGCGTGGTGTTTCACATTCAGTCTTTATGTCTCTGCAGATGCTTCACCAGAAACAGTTGGCACTTTGCTAGGAACAAACTCTGTAAATGGAGACTTGGGGAGCCCCTCTGATGATGAGGACATGCCAGCAGGACACGATACATCCACAGTATGTTCCAATGGTCCAGTCTTTGACGAATCTTCTGGAGATGCCATCCTGAGGCACTCTTTAAGGACTAGTAGGACTCTGGAAACCGACCAGGACGAGCTGACCTCTGGTGCTTCCAGATCATCACCTACCAGAGGTCGCCAGGACTCACTAAATGATTATCTGGATGCAATAGAACACAATAACCATCCCAGATCAGGGACATCTGCCTGTGGCGAGCGACCACGTGGAGCCTCCCCAAAACTGAGGAGTAGTTTCCCTACTGACACAAGACTTAATGCTATGCTTCACATCGACTCAGATGAAGAGGAGCATGAGCTACATCAAGACCTGGGTTTTCCGTCTTCCTTGGAAGACGATGGTGGTTTGGTAATGCTTAATGGTGCTACAAGAAATGTTGAAAGAAATGGTGTAAGTTCCTCATCAGATCAGGTAGTGCAGGGGTCTGCAGAGAATGAAAGCGTTTCAGCCTCTGATGCTCCCTTGCCATCAGCTGATGACCAGCAAGAGACTCTCCCAGAGCTTCCGCCATCACAGTCGGCAGGACCTGAAAGCCTTCCAGATTCCCAAACCGAAGCAGCAGCAGACCAGGCTGGCAGTGAGTTGTGTGGCGCTCAGGAGGCAGAGCAGCCCCCCAGCACTGCGGACATGGGAACTGCCGATGCCGCCAGTGGGAGCAGGAGGGGTGTTAGTGAAACAGAGTCCACCGATCAAGGGTCTGAACCTTCCCAGCTGTCATCAGAAACCGAGCAGAGCGATCCTGCTCGCACGGAAAGCGTCAGCGAGGCCAGTACCCGTCCGGAAGGGGAGAGTGACGTGGAAGGGGCAGACAGCTCTTGCAACGAGAGCGCGACCGTGCGGCGTTCCTCGGTTGAAATGCGGTGTTCTTCCTGTGAGAGTGCCAGGTTTCCCGAGACTCCAGCCTTTTCTTCTCAGGAGGAGGAAGAGGGAGCTTGTGCCACTGATGCAGCTAGAGCTGAGGCAGGTGCTGAAACACAGGACTCTGCGAGTACTTCTGGTTCTCTGCCTGCGGTGCAGTTACCTCAGGAGGAAGTACAGGAGGCTGAGGCAGGTGAACTGCAAGACCAAGAGGAAGCAGAAGAAATCTGGCAAAGAAGAAGAAGCCTGCAGGCAGCAGCTGCCCACAGCCAGTCTCAGGATGAAGAAGTTGAAGGAGCCACAGCAGCTTGTGAGGGTGCCACGGCACAGCTTGAAGGAGCTACTGGAGGTAACAACTTCACGAGGCACTTTCTGAAGTGACCTTTCTGCAACCAGTAAAAAAACACTGCAGAAATTAATGTCTGAAAATAAAGATCCTTAATTTCTCATTTTTGTTATATTTTATGATTTTTCCTTTGAATTTATTCTCTTCTTCAAGAGACCCTTGGGATTTTTGGTGTAGAAAAAATTCAAACCTGAAATATCCAAAACATGTTTATTTTGAAATTCAGTATATTTTAACTCTTAAGAGAATAGTGAGCAGGATTAAGAGGAGGAAAGAAATCTGGAATATTACCCTGCTCACTAATAAAAATGGTAATGAGGAGGGACAAAACTCCCAAAACTATGAAATGCAAATTAGAATTTATATTGGGCTCTTTTCTTTTGAATGTTTATGTATTAACAATAAAACATGATGGTAATCAAAAGAAAGTGGAAAAGAAAATGAATTGCTTTTTGGTCATAAGCAGGCTGTTTATCTTCCCTTTCCCAATTCATTTTCTGTACGGACACATGCTAACACATTGGAACCTTGAGAGGAGAGAATGTGTTATCCAAGTTTACACTGTAAAACTCTTACTGATTTTAAAATTATTTTAACAACTGAAAATTTTCTGTCTCACTAAAATCACTGAAAGTAGAAATATGTCCCTAGTGGATTGTTTCCAAGCACATTTAACAATGGATTATCTGTTCAGTTTCTTGAGGGATTGAAGTGTATCTAATCAAGTGGGTTTCCGAATGCATCTTTTTCATATCATATCAAGAGTTTTAGGATCTATTAATTTCTTCTCTTCATAAACAGCTCATTGATTTGGAAATGAAATTTTTGGTATTTACTTCAAATACTGTCAATACTTTACAGCATTTCCTAGATATTAGGGATACTCTTTATCATTTGTCAGATTGCATCACGTTTTGCAAATCACTGTGGCTGCAGTGAGGGAGGTCAATGGACAGTTTCACTTCCCACTCTTAAACATTGTTTCTGAGTGGGCCAGGTGGAGCTTTGTCCTGGGATATGGCTCAGGCACATGCTGCTTCTGTGCCCTGGTTTCTGCTGCTCACACAGCATATCCCATTGATGACATGTTCAGGACCAGAACTGCAGCACATCCCAGAGAAATCACTTGCCTAGAACTGTCAACACAGCTTATTCTGACCCCAGGAATAGATGACTTTTAGATATATCCGAAAATGTCATAGCCCTGCAGAAGCTTTAATGTGTCTTGCTCAGTTTGGAGGCAACTCTAGGGCTTCCCCACATTAACTGAAAAATAATTTGTGGGTGTTCTGATTGCAGGTTCTCCCGCCAATGGCCATCAGCCCTTGAGGTCTCTGCCCTCGGTACGCCAGGATGTAAGCCGCTACCAGAGAGTGGATGAGGCTCTACCACCAAGTGAGGTTCTTCATACTTTAACTGGGGGATAAGCTGCCTGGATCTCATTACTGAGATCTCATTGCATTTCTTTTTTAAATGTGACAACTGAGAATGAACAGCTAAGAAGTTCGAAGTGAGGAGTGATGATGATTAAGTCTAGTGTTGTTATTGTAAAAGGTGTTGTGCTCAGTCTGCAAATTCTCAGGATGTGTTATGATAATTCCACCTGGTGTACACAGACTTGCTTAGTGTCACTTGTGGAGAAGCAGGAAGGCACTGTGCTGCCTTTTTGGTATGCACGAGGGTAGGGAGGTGAAGTGATGCACTTTATGAGGCACTGGAGGTGTCAAGCACCCTGAAATCTCTGAATACTTGTATAGTAATGATTTACAAAGAAATATATAACATCTTTAATTGCTGCAGATTATGTGAAAGGTGTCTATATTTTCCTTGCATTTTTTGAGGCAGTGTGAAGATTTTATATTAAAATAAACCTGGATATTAAGCAACAGTTAGATGAGCCTAAATGACCATATAAGTTGTAATTTCTCTAAGGCATATGAAAAATACATTGCTCTCAATTACTGAACTGATTCACTTGCTTAAACTTTGGGCAGTGGAAATCTATTCAGTATTAGGTATTTAAAGAAAGGTCCCCCCAAAAAGCTACACAGCTGATAGAAAAGCATTGCATCAAAGCAAAAAAAAAGCCAAAGAATGTTAAATTCAGACCCACTGAAATCTGTGGCAAAGCTCTGTTACTTTCAAGGAGTCCTGAATTCACACATTTAGGAACAAATTAATAGATCCCTATTTCCCAGTATGATATGGGACTGTGTTTGCTCTGTAATCAGAACGAGTAATTGGAAGAAGCTTAGTAGCAGAACACAGATATAACTGTGTGTGGAAAACCAGGATGATAATAAGGTTGTAATCCCTGCTGCTTCTGTTATAATCAGTGCTAACAAATGTCCTAACAGACTAACAAATTAGTCCTGTGTGTTAGCAGTTAATTAACTACCACCTCAATATACCTTTTGTAAAAGTGTGTCTGGGAGCTCTACATTTCAGTTGCACTTTTTATCACTTTTCATACTGAGAAAGAGACCATTACAGGAAATAAATAGTGATTGGTGGAATGAGAAATGCGCAGTTCCGTGGTTTATACATAGATGGCCTTTTCGTGTTTCAGAAGTAAACTGTGCACTACAATAACTACTTGGAAAAACTATTGGAATATTAGTGGAAAAGGTTTGGCTGGGATTTTACAATCATACATGGGCATGCATAACCCATTGCCCCTTTACAGACAAAGCCCAGTGCAGTCTCTGTGTAAATCATTTGTTTGCTAATATGAATAAAATCTTAAATACTAATTGTTACCTAGATTCAGTTTCTCTCTCCAAAGCTCTGCTTCCAAATATGTCACAGTTTTAATATTTAAATACTGAAAAAATAGAGAAAACATTGAGAATCCGGTTTTGAGTTATAAACTGTAATTTCTTTGTAATTTGGGTTGCATTCTATTTTTTTCACCAGAATTTGAAAGTAAGAAAGGATAATAGGTGAATTTCTTCCAGTTCAGTGTAGGTTAAGTTAAAGAACAAGAGAGTTAACATATTTATCTTACATTTGTGCCTATAATATGCAATGATATGCTCCGGTTCCTTCATTCCTAGGGAAAAATTAACAAAGCTTGACCATGAAACCTTGAGGAATTATAATTTTGCAGTTCCACAAGCTGTTTGTAACACATTTGACTAATAGTGATTTGACTAACAGAAGATATCCTTGTCCATCACAACCCTAATGCAGATGCTTTACTTTGAAACCATTGCCCAAGTGTTTACACTTGTGTATTTAAAACTGAATGCAGGCAAAAATGTTTTTCTTCCGCAAAACTGTATTACAGAAATGGTGACTGTGTCAGAATTGGACATAAACACCACAAAAATCTCAACTTATTATACAGTGGTTCAGGGTTTGACATTTAAGCAGGATAATGAATTCACAAATTTAAGCTGTTTGAGGGTTTGTTTTGTTTTGTTTTGGTGTGTTTTTTTCCCCAATGGACAATTCTGTTCTTCCTGGAATACTTCAATCTCTTTGTTTTGTTTAGAAACCGTGGTTAAAAATTTTGAGTGTCAGCAGATACTACTTTTTTTTTATTTTTTAATGAGACTTTTGCACAGGCGCTTCATTTCAGTAATTTTTCTCTTTTTAAAAGAATGAAAACATTTTTCAGAAAAGGTTGAAATACTTGTTTGCGTTTTTGAGATATAAATGAAATTATTTTTTAAATAACTTTCAAATGTGTTATATTTTGTATAGCAGATACCTTTATATTGTGGTAGACTTTGCTTCTTCTCTGCTGTCAAGACATTTTTATACCCTCTTTCCTCATGGAGTGACAGTCATTTAGGATTGGTTGCTTGCCAGTGGTTTGTAATATGTTATTGCAGTGACTGATGTTTTCACCTAGACTTGCAATACAGAAAGTCTGATCTAGAAACCTTCTGAGTTCTCAAAGACCCTTTTTCAGCTGATGTGCTAATGGTTTGCATGTTGCTGGTATCCAAGAATCGGGCATGTCTATTTCCATATAGATACTTATTTTTGTATATATATATTTTTTTATTATTATTATTATTATTACATGGCCCCCAGCTATGATCAGTGTCTTGGTTTCCTGCTCATTTGATAAGCAGTTATGAGGCAGACAGTGTTCCTGACCCAAAAAGCCTCTAGACTAAGGCCCAGGTGTAGTGATGCACCTGGTTTCTGCTGTGGCTGGGGAAAGGTCCCAGTGCCTTCCTCTCTGCTCTCCCAGGGCGTCACCGTGGTGCAGACTTCTAACACTGTCTGCAGCTTCTTTTGCAAACCAGTGGACAGCATTACAGTTACACAAGAAGTATGAATTTGCTATGGTGTTTGCATAATTGGCAATTCTGGAACATGCATTTAGTACGTGAAGATGGAGTTTTATAATTGTCTGTCTTTTCTGGCATGTTTAAATTTAAACCTAGGAAGGGGACTGGCATCTGTTTTATTGCTGTTACTGTTACCTGGGGAAAAACAATGGCAGGTGTCAATCTTTGCAAGGGTTTTGGTACTTACCCATAGCCCTTTTGCACTGGAATAACCCTCAGAGATTGGATCTTGAGTTACTTCAGTCCAGGAGAATTACTAAGAATTACTAAGTATCCATATGATTTGTTGGGGGTTTTTTTGGTGTTTGTTTTTAATATGTTGTTTGTTTCTTTGTTCTTGGACAGTTACTGGTTAGTGGGAAGTAAAATAGAGACAGGAAAAAGAATTTTTAGATATGGATTCCACAGAACCTTACCTACAGTGGGGAATTTTATTGGATAAAATAGGGAAAAGCTGTCTCTCTTAAACATTCAGGTTTAACATTAAGGTTCTGTGTTGAAGTCATTCTGTAAAAGAGAAACAGAAACTTGAAGCAATAGATTTGGTTACAAAAGCAACAGAGCTAAAGTAAAGAACTAAATAAACTCCGAGCCCTCCATAGTTTACAGTGTTTTATTGCCACTCAGACTGGGAGGCTCGAATTGACAGCCACGGACGGATTTTTTACGTGGACCACGTGAACAGGACAACAACCTGGCAGCGACCCACAGCCCCCCCAGCCCCACAGATTCTCCAGAGGTCAAATTCCATACAGCAGATGGAACAACTGAATCGCCGGTAAGAATCACCCCTGTGGTTTGTGAATTCCGTGTGCTTGCAGAGCTGCATTCACCATTGCAACACCGAGCACGGAGGGTGCAAGGGCACAGTTGCTACTGCAGCTGGTCTTACGTGTTTATTTTTATGTGGCTGTTGCTTTTAGTTTGCATGTGGGGACTAAATAGGACTTTCGTATTCCACCTGTGATCTTAAGCTGTGTGGCTAAATAAAATACATCTGATAACGGTTTGCAGAAATTCAAAAGGAGAAATTAGAAATTGAGAAATTAGAGGTCTGTATATTGACCTGTGTGGTAGAAAAGATGGGCAGGCTCCCTTGGAGCCAAAATTGGGTCATAGTTACCATATACTATATATAAAGTCCAGTTTTCCAACCCTAGGTACCAGAGCATCCGAAGAACAATGACTAATGAAAGGCCTGAAGAGCATACAAATGCTGTGGATGGAGCTACAGAGGAAGCTGACTTTCACCATTCTAATGCAGGTTAAAAAAAACCTAAATATTTTTCCCCTTTTCTAAAGGAGGGAATACTCATCTCATAGGTGACTTAGTGAAAGTGGTATAAGGCAGAACCTAACTTCTGCCTCTGAAAGTCTAGGTGAAAATGAAGCCATTTGTTTGTTGTCTAGTTTTGAAGGTTATGGCTCAGCCTGTTCAATATGCTGAGGAGATGAATGTGAGATTCAGAGCATCTTTCTGTCAGTACTAGATTGGTTAAAACCCCAGCACTTTTGCAGTGAAAAAGTATAAAATTGTTTGGTCTGGCTTAAAAATATTTTGAATATGATAATGCAGTTCCAAATAGTAGAATAGAGGACTAGAAAGGACTTTAGGCAGTCATTGACTTCATCTCCATGCTGTAGATAGAATAAGCTGTACATACACTATACCTGGCAAATGCTGTCTCATGTGTTCTTGTAATGTGTTCTCTGGCTGATGGACATTCTTTAACTTTTTAGACAGTCTACTCCTATTGTTTCTCTTATAACATATCCTTAAATCCATTATCTCCTAGTCTTTCCTTGTGACTTGTGTTTTTAAGTTTCAAATTATTTTGTTTACCTACTCAGGTTTGTCTTGAGTTGGTCTTCAGCTTCTGAGGAGTATTTCAAAAGATCAAATAAAGCTACGACTCTGCTTACTTGAAGAGACTATGGAAATGTCACGTCTCTTACATAATAATTATGCAGGAATATACGACAAGTGTTTTACTTTTCTTTTTGGTAGTTTGACACTAACTGCTAATGTTCAGTCCTTGTTCTGCCAAAATTGGGTCCAGATTCTTGTGTGCAGAACTTTGGCACAGATGCCTGTTTTTCATCTGGTGTTTGTGCAGTTGATTCTCCCTCCCTCACACAGGTCTTTGTGCTTTCCTAATGTGCTGCTATAGTTTTGAGCTTTGTCCATCCTGCTGTCCAAGTACTGCAGCATCTCCTAATTGGAGCAAGTTCTGGCCACCCTATCCAGTCATTGGTAGAAGTAACGAATAGGACCAGACCCAGATCTTGGTGAAACATCACTTAGTGTACCCTTACAACATTTATGCCTTTCCTTCTGAGAACTCCTTCAGACCTCCAAAAGAGCCACTAATGTCTCAGTGATTGCATTCCCTAGTTTCCTGACTGCTAGAGTGCACTTCACCAGGCCTAAGGGGATTGAAAACCTTCAATTTGCACCACCCTCTTTAACCTGCTTTTTATCTATTCTAGCCTGAAAAGAAAGCTCTTGATATTCTCTTGTAATACTCTCTCCTAAATTAATCTGATATGCAAGCAGTGTCACACTTTCTTGAATTTCAAGTCATTGTTGAACTTGAGATTTAGCCAAGTGCTCCCTTTTATTACTTGTATTCTTTCCTGCTGTTGCAGGTTTTTCCTCTTCTGTCTTTGTGCACGTGCAGCCAGATGGTTTGTTGTGCTGTAAACAATTCAGTTTACAGCAAATTCAGGCGAAACCAGCAAGTTCAGCTGAATAAGCTTTTCATAAACTGAATTCACAACCCCCTAAACTGCAGTAATGGGTCACCTGGTCATTCTGGTTTCCAGATTACCCAGACTATGACAGAGGGCCTATCTGCAGTGTGTCACAGCATCTTCTAAGTTGTGAGAGTTGACTGGTGTACAGCCAAGTTTTGTACCAGTACAGAGTTGACATGTAACCACAGTGCAGGCATGGAAGACACTCCAAACCCAAGCATTCAGGCAGAGCTTCAGGAACCTTTGTGCTATTCTGCCTTTGCCATTGACATGCCTCATGTGGGAGAGCTTGAGGTCTATTGTTGAAGAAGTGTCTCTAAAAATCTTCTTTCTTGTTTGTTTTACCTATTACCCATCCACTTTCTTGCGTCATCTAATGCTTAGAATTAACATCTTTATTTTCCCTATTCCTTTTATTCCACGTTTACTCATCCATATTTACAATTTTACTGTCATGTTATTTTCCTCTTCTTTTGTAATTCTTACTTTTCCCTCAGTTTAGTCCTATTCACTGCTTACTCTGCTTGTGGGTTATGATCTTTTCCATTTATGACAGCTGTATTCTACATGATTAGTGTTCATTTGATGGAAAAGTGTGCGAATACTGCAATGTGTAAAAGAAACTCTGAAATGTAGATGGCAGCACACATTTTAGTGTAAAATCACTGCAGACCCAGTCTGAACCTAAAAATGCCTATCAAAATATGCATCCAAGTATCCTGTTGATTTTCAAAGGTAATTGGGGGAAGAGTTTTGACGTAGCAAACACCACTAATAATATATTTTCAGTTCCTGCTACTGTAGAAAAATCAGTGCACTTCTGCAGTTGCTAGGAGAAGACACAAATGTTTACTGGAAGTTGAAACTTGAAAGGTACTTCCTTGGCAACCTGCTTCTTCCTTGCATAAGCTGCTTAAATACTGTATCAGGATTGTTTTAATGGCAGTGATTTATTGTTTGTTTTTAAAGAAGGAATGAAACATTTTTAAACTGTGCAATGACTTTTATATCCATTAGTTAGCATTTAAAAGATAACTTACCTGCATACAGCCACAGTATAGCAATGTGGGCATGGCACAGGAACCTTCTTGCATCTTATACACAGGTACAATACTTGGATGTGATTTTTAAAAAAACCACTATTTTTGTTCACCAAAAGCAACAAGTAAAAGTTGCTAAACTAAATCTGTAATATTGGCAGGAACTTCAGTGCTATGTTAGAAGAAAGGTACGCTTATGTGGAGAATACTCAGTCGATCTGAAATAGTTGTATACTTAGTGCTTTTTTTGCCTGATTCAAATCAATATAGTTGTTTGCAGTGATGCTCTGGTAATAATTACTGGATGTCTTTGTCATTTACTTTGCTGTTAGATTTTCGAAGAGAGAATGTGCTGCCTCACTCTACCTCCAGATCCAGACTTACTTTATTGCTCCAGTCTCCCCCTGTGAAATTCCTTATCAGCCCAGAGTTCTTTACAGTACTGCATTCTAACCCTGTGAGTATGGTGGCTACAACTGAAAAGCTTTCATAAATACATGCTTATAAATACAGTTGTTTTGTGTATAAAGATATTGCTCAGTGTTTGATGATAAATATTGGTAGTACATGGGGAGGCTGAATAAATTCACTTATCATTGTTCCTTGCAATTGTAGGGCTATCAGAGCCATCCTAGCTCTGCATTATAACACTTTTTATTTTTCACTCAGTTCTTCTCATGATCTTTCAGATCTTTCTCATGATGCAAAATTAATTTGTTTACTGAAGCAACAGCTTCTTACAGTGCTTTGCAGAGGGTGAGACACAATTCTGAGAATGAATTTGCTGCTTATGGGATGATATGTTTTCCCCAGATTGCTTGGTTTATATCAAAATATATTAGAGGTCACACTGAACTAAAAAACATCCAAATATATATTTTCCTTTCCCTTTTTTACCTGTTCTTCATTGCTTCTTTTTATATACATTTTCCCCCCAATGTTTCTTTGTACAACAGGATTTAGAGTGTAAACAGAAGTAATGGAATTAATAACTCCTTATCTGCAAGCACACCTGTCAATAATTCAGTGTTTTTTAAATTACTGGTCGGTTTTAGTTTGGTTTTGATCTATATGTATGCTTGTCTGTGTATGAACAATTCTGCTTAGCTTGCATAGCTTTGTCTTGAATATGTGAAGTAGAACAGAAGTAGAGGAGACCTCTGGCCAGGGAACAGAGGTGTAGGGGTGCAGTGTGATTTAGCAGGGCCTGTGTCTCAGCTTCTGTCCACTGCTTATCCCAATAGAAAGGCTTGGTTTTTGGAGAGAAGGCATTAACTGTTTATTTTACCCCTTTTGTTTAAAGTTTTCCCTATTCCTTAGTGCTCTCCTTTTACTCTCCTATTTTAATTTTATTCCATATATTATACATGGAGTTGCAGTGATAGAAGTATTAGTGTGAAAAATCAACAGGGAGAGACAATATTTATGTAGATTTGTGATAAGTTTCACAAGGTTATATATCTCTGTCCTACTGAAAACCTTACAAGCTTTATTGCTGTATTCTATGACTATATTTGATTCATTATTCCAGAAACTGGAAAATATTTATGGGTAAATAATTGCTTTTAAAGCAGTTTTAATATTACAGGATTCTTCAGAGCTCCAGGGACAAGTGTGGCAAATGCAATCTCTAATGTATTTCACACTTCACTGAAGTGAGTCAGTTTTGTAATTTTGTGTATCTCAACTGAAATAAGAAACTTTAGACACTTATCCCAAAACCTCAGAAAGAGAACCACTGCTTTTCAATACCTTTGTGGCTTAGATGGAGATAATTCGTTAAGGTTTCATAGATGATTAGGTAGTTAATTTACTGTGAAGGCTTTTTTTTTTTGCAGAGTGCCTACCGCATGTTTACAAACAACACGTGTCTGAAGCACATGATCACCAAAGTCCGGCGGGACACCCACCATTTCGAGCGCTACCAGCACAATCGTGACTTGGTGGGCTTCCTCAACATGTTTGCCAACAAACAGCTGGAGCTGCCCAGAGGTTGGGAAATGAAACATGACCACCAGGGCAAGGTAACTTGGGTGATGCGAAGTGGGCCTTGTGTTCATCAGTTTCTGAATGGGTGGTCTGGGATAGCTCTGGGGCTGATCACTGCATTGGTTAACTGGGAAGGCATGGTATGTAGGCGGTTTTGTTAGTAGGGGTTAGGGATATTAAATAGTTGCAGGTCTCACTGCCTTTTTTTTTTTTTTTAAAACAGATGTCAATTCTCAATTTCTTAAAAAATATTTTGAAATCAAAGAATGGCCACTTTTGTAGTAGGATGTAATTTTAATGTAATTTTATGCTAGTGCATCTTTAGTATGTGGAATATTATATTTTTTTAGGAGGGTTAAAAACAGACTGTGATTAGCATGTGAGCAAGTGATAAGGCCTTATCAGTTCATGTGAGAAGTCCCAGTTAGGACCATTGGCATATAAAGCTTCTTGGTTCTTATGTTTATCACTCTCAGTACTGTTAGCTGTGAGGGTCCATATAATGAATGATCTTGATGCTTGGAAAGATTACAGACAAATTCTAGACTGAAGGGTAGAAGAAGTGCTTGAGGGTTGTTTTCTTTTTATTGTTGGTTGTTTTGGGTTTTTTTTAACTTTGGCTAGCATTTTGGTTTTTTTCATTAGACACACAATTGCAAATGAGGAATTACACTTAAGTTGTTCTTTGCCTCACTGTTTTCTGGATGAAGTCATTCTTGTGCTGTTCACTTCTTCAGAGGCCAGTTTTCTCCTGAAGAATATAGCAATTTTCAATTTTCTTTAGTAGGTGCTCCATGGAGAGAATCAGAGCTTTGAATTTCCGGTATGGGATTTGGTAACAACAATGCTACCACAACATTCATCAACAAAAGGAAGCACTGAATAAATTCCCACTGGGATTTCTTCACTTTGAATTAGGCTCAGCATTGCTCATTTTCATTATGTAGAGTTGCCTTTGCCACGAGTACCACTTGTGGCCAGTAGAAAAGCCTGTTCAGCCCTCAAGAGAGATAATGGCCAATACATGGTGAGACCAGTGCTTGGTGAGACCAGACTGAAACCAGACCTGCCTTTACTAAAGCATTAACCTAAATAGAAGCAAGTAGAAATTAGCCATACCACAATATATAGTTATATTTCCTTTCTCTGACTACTCTTTCCTGCTGAGATGAGGTTTTCCTTTATTTTTTTCAAGTATATCATAGTAAGAGGGTTGGTGCTTTGCTCACAAGGCACAGTGATGGCTCTGGCTGTTGTGCAGTGTTGAGTAGTAGAGTTTTCACTCCTGATGTCAAGGTGGTGCTGGTCACTTGTCCCCTTTGCAGGCTGCCTTCCAAGGTCAGCTGGGGACTGCCCACTTCTGAACTCCCTTCAGAGCTGCACAGCAAAGCCCAGTTGCCTGCTCCTCTTTGACTCCTCTACAGGAGATAGCATCCTTTGAGACGCAGTCCTCCCTAAAATTAGGTCTGGTGTGACTAGCATGTAGTGTCTGATGGGCATTACAGATGAACCTTCATCAGTCACTGACCACAGGGAGGCAAAAGGCCATTGGAAAAGGTGGCAGGAGGAGGCTTTGTACAGGCTAAATAGGTGCCTGAGCTGAACTCAGCCTGATAACTTCGAAATTCTGCCTTGCTGCATCCATGTGTACACACAGGCATTGCACAAATATCCCAGTGCATTTCTGGAATATGTGTAAGCACATATCCGTATTTTAAATCCAGATGCAAGTGTATGTACTTTTTAATTAGATCTCTGCAAGATGTGCAAATACATCAGAAGTTATCGGAGGGTGTTTTTGTTTTTTTCTTTCTACAGTTAAAGAATCCATAGTATTTGATTACTGATGTCTTCAACAGGAAAAAAAGCTTTTTCAGCAAGCTTCATAGACTTTATTGGGAAGGATAACTAGGGCAGCTATCCATGTTTAATGGGCTAAATATAGTTTTGGCACTACATATCTTGTGTCAGTCTCTTCAAGCATTGTAGATTTATGGATTATAGCTAGGCAGGAGTTATGAGAGGAATTTTTTTGAAAGGAGACTGTGAACCACACTGTATTTTGAGCTGTGTGCCATTGTCCAGATTAACCTGAAGCCTTGAAGCTCCAATGGTTATCTTCACTGAAGCTTCAAAGTGGTAATTTATGCTTTATTTTAAAGTAGGCTACTACAAGCTGGCCTGCAACCATTCATATTTAATAAGACATGATAGTCTTTAACTTCATGTTCAACTGAGTTGTTTATTTAAATATAATGCTAAGGAACACTGCATGCAATATTAGAGTGCTGCATTACCTCAAAGAACTGTGTAGTGCAACTCTAGGTGGTACCTCCTCCTATATCAAATCAGTATTGTTATTATAAGTGATTTTTCAGTGTGATGTTGACTTAATGAAATCAACCTTTGTTCTGATGAAAGTGCTTCACTTATAAATGTACACAGACAGACTAGGTAAAATAGTTGCTAGAAGGATATTTAAAAAAAAAACCAAAACCCTATGCTAGGGCTTGCTAAGGAAGGTAAATAAACCTATCGATCAGGAGAAAAATTTCAGAAAGACCAGATATGTTCCAGCAGTCTCAGTCATTTTCCAGGCCCCAAACATAAATTTCTTGATGGATTTCATTCTGCTTTCACACTGCTTTCACATTCTCTAATCTGTGCACTGTTGGCACATTGCAGGTGCCATCACTGTTTGTCGAGGTAAAAAAGTCCTGCCTCAGGCTCAAATGTTGCAATTAAAATTCCATTTATTGAAGCTATGTTTATAGTGTTTGAACTGCAAAACTGTTGGTTTCACTTGTATATCTGTGACTATGTCAGATGGTCAGAATGGAGTTCTTCCTTACTGCTTAAGTGGTGTGATTACATATTACATTACATATTACAGGATTGCTGTTAGGGCTGTAGGAGGCTTGCTGCTCTCTTCTGGAGTATTTTTAGGGTTTTGAAACTGTCGTGTCCCTCCATATGCTTCTCCTTCCTTGGGAAATGGAAGTATGAACATTTTCCCTCACCACAGTCCATAATGGCATTCAGTTGCTGTATAGCATGACACACTGGTTTGTGTATCTACCTTCACAGAAGTTAGAATTGCATTTGCTCTGGTCTGGCTATACCAAGCAGTCTGAAGCAATGATTTCATGAATACCAGAAGCTGGTGTCGCTGCCAGGAGAGCTGGTTCTGCTCTGCTCTCGCCCCTGGTGAGCTGACCGAGGTTAGAGGAGCCAGCAGGGAGAGGGACAACAGGAGAGTAACTTTAGCCTGACCAGCTCCCCAGCTGGGTTCACTGCATGGCCACGCAAACACTTGTGCCAGCACAAGGCAGGAAGGGCACACAAGGGATGAAACAAGTGGTCAGGAGGGGGAAAGATGAGAATCTTCGTTTTTGCTGACAGCGCAGGACTAAATTGCCTGTGAAACTGTGGTTGAGGTACCTCACTAGTAGCCAAACACAGAAATGGCTCCACAGTCCCTGACCACCTCTCTGCTGGTCCAGATTCTTTAATTCCTCAAACCAGATGTCACTTTCCTGTAATTGTCCTGCTCAAAACCAAGATCTTTTTTTTGCCACTTCCACATGTTTCCCACATTGCAACTGAAAACATGAAGGGTGTTGAAATAGAACAGTGCTGGTTTCCAAGTGCAACACTAACGCTGCAAAAAAGTTTAAATTTCAGGGCTTAAAACCCTTTTTTTGGTTCAAATCTGACAGAATTGTAGGAGGTTTTCATTTTACAGGATACATGTTTCCATGATCTTGTTTTCAGCAAGCAGTTGACTGGCCAATATGTGGTAGTTCTCATCAATTGCCTCATGTAAATATTTTTGTTGCCATCATCCTTGTGTCCTTGATTGAACTTTGTTTTTAGTTTTGAGGGGTCTTTTTTTTTTTGGGGGTGGTGCTTTAGGGATTTTGGGGGGTTTATTGTGGTTGTTCTTGGTTTCTTTTGTTTGTTTTTGTTGTTTGTTTTGTTTTTGTTTTTGTTTTTTAGAAAAGGTTAATGAACTTAGAATAGTTATATCAGGAAGATGGCAAAAATGCTTGTTGGCCTGTAATCACAGTTCATTACAGGATGCAATCATACACTTGACATATATATACACCCAATTGTGTTGGTAATTATATGGTAACTACGTCACAAAAGGGAATGGGTTTGCTGCTTAATAACATCTTTTTAGATGCTTATAATGGAAATTAAATGGAGAATACACCAGGATTACTTTTATTAAATGTTCAAGTCTTCTCTTCTTGACACTCATAATAAAGCTTCCTACTTCTGATGCTTGTCAGATGAGAACTTCAGAGGACTTTATAGACATGAATGAAGTAAGGCATTAAACAATTCATCCCTTCAGGTGAGATGGAAAACTGTTATCCTCCTTCTGCTGAAGGGAAATGAGAACCCCAGTAACATGAGGAAGATGTTCCACATGAGTGAATGAAACGTAGATCCTGCACAGGCATCAACTTCAAACATAATTTAAAAAAAAAAGTATTGGCTATAAATTCTTTCTTCTTTCACCTTCTCCAGGCTTTCTTTGTTGACCACAATTCCCGCACCACGACGTTCATCGACCCCCGGCTCCCCTTGCAGAGTAGCAGGCCCACTAGTGCGTTAGTCCATCGGCAGCACTTAACCAGACAGCGCAGCCACAGTGCTGGTGAGGTGAGTTGCATCCCTGTGCCTTCTCTTTGGGAACCACCAGGTTTTTAGGATCTTCTTCTTTCACAATGTCCCATGCACAATTCCAAAACATCTTGTGAGGAACCTGATTCTTCTGTAAGTGTACAGTAGCCATTCATAAAGATTTGTTATTTTATCTACTAGCCACTGTTGCTTTTAAAATGTATGTATTCAGAGGAAAGATATCAAACACGAGCTTCTCCGACTTTTGATTCGCAGTAACCCCGTTTAACCACAGGAGAGCATCTGATTACAGATTACCAGTACCTATAGCCTGTCTTTCACTGACAAAATGTGTATTGTTGTCTCAGGTGGTGTCTGCCAATTATACTGACGTATAACTCTGCATATAAGAGGGCAGAAAAGATGCCTGTGTGACTATACCTCTAGTTAGTGCAACTTTCCAAATAAGTGTAAAAAAATCTTACCACATAACAGGCTTATCAGTCTGTTACATGCATTTGCATATGTATTTCGTCTCTACTTTCTGATGAGAAATAAATGGAAACCACTATTTTGTTGATATGTCACTGTGGACCATTTTCAACAGCAGTTTCCATGGTTTTTACTTGTGACCTTGAATATGTACAATGACTTGGACTTCGGTTGTACTTTATTTAACCTCCATACTGTCGGCTGTAAGTTGTCTTTTCAAGGGAGGGCTATTCCATGCCAGGAGTTAAAGATAATAAAATTCAGAATAGCAAGAGAAGTGCTCTGATTTATCCTTTTTATAGCTCAGTCTTGTGGCAGATGAAGTTCTGCCAGATGTTGTTTCAGAGCAGACATGAATCTTCTTGACCACTTTTCTAACAAGGCTTCCACTGAGCTGCAGCGAGTGCCATACCACCAGCTGTAGATCTTGTCATATCCTGTGTGAACAGGGTTTAGTCACCCCTCCACCCCAATGTCAGGTATATTTTAAAAAAGGTACTAAATAGCTTTTTCCATCAATTTGGTGATGTCATATAGAAGGCAAGGAAGCTAAAAGTGTCTTCATATAGCTATTTAGATCTTCAGTAGGGTAAAGCAAGTATTTCTGTTGTGATTGATTTGTAACAGAGCAGAAATATTTTTTTTCTTAACTTTACTCAATATGTACTGAAATTATCTTCTTTAAGCAGCATTCAGTAGCTCTGCACTTAAAACAGATCTTTGTGCCAACCGTGCTGCTGACGTTGTCAATGCTGCAAAATAAGTGTAGTTTATCCTACGGGAAATCATGATATATATTGCATATACATAGTGCTGATTACCTGTCAAAATTTCCCACTCCATCTAGATACGTCAAATACCTTAAACCATGTTTCTACCTGCAATTATAGAAGTGTTTCCTTGACATTGTTACAAGTGTAACTTGAATTGAGGTATAATTCCAGATAGGAATGTCAAACATAGCAATTCAATATAAATTCTCATTCTGGGATTAATGATGCAATGATTTCTTTTTGTATGCATATGTATGAATCTGAACAGCAGTTTTTCCTCAATGCTTATGACTTAAGTATTGCATATTTGCATATTTTTCCTATTTTTAAACTATTGCAGAAAGGAGCTGTACATTATTGCAGAAGATGAATGCTTAATGAAAGAAAAATTATCAAAATGCTTTCTTTGGATTTGTCTTGTCGTGAACTTTGATGTTTTGAAGCCACTGACCCAGTTTTTACAGGGAGATGCTCTAAAGCAAACATGAACCAGTGTAAGGAATGCCTTTTTAGCTAAAGCTCAACTGCAGTGTGAAGCCAGAGCTAATGATAATGGCATTCCTTTTCCAGCACATTGCCTAACAGGAAATAATTTTTCATTTTTCTGAAAGAGTATTATCAGAGAGCACAAAGGTCTTGGGAGATATCTCAGGACATTTGCTTCTTTGTGATTTAAGAGACTAGATTTAAAAGCAGCGTTTATAATTATTTGATCTTTTGTAGTCAGATGTTTCAGAGATCTTTGAAACTTGGAAGTGTAGTTCAAATGCTAACCATTACATGTAGGCAGATAAACTGGGGAGTAAACATGAAAGTCCAGCAGGATGAAAGAGAGTTTGACCAAATGTTTTATACAGATAAACTACCAAATCCTGACACTGGAGAAATAACTGAAACCTCATCATGAAGTAAACTGCAGCACTTGCCCTGACATCACAAATGCTACTACCAACAATTTTATTTTTTGGCTCTACCCTAAAAAATGTTCATATACAACATTTTTCAGTCCCAGGATGTGAATACAAAAAATGAGAACAGTTTTACTGAATGATTCTAGGAACCATGTTTTTACCAGTTTGGGACTTGTTTGCCTTGCCTGAATGTGGATTCACTTCTTCATCCTCCTGCTTCAACCACAAACTTGTTTTCACTTCAAATTTAGGGAAACTCCATTCATGCACCGAGGTAACAGAGATGCTAATGGAGGAGTAGAATTTGAGGTAATAGAGGTGCTAATGAAGAAACAGAATTTGATTTCCAGAGCATTTTATATGGATAAAGTTTTCCATGAATTACAAAAGACCCTCTGAAGGAATCCCAGTTTTAGTTTTTTGTTTGTTTGTTTGTTTGTTTTTGGTTTTGTTTTTGTTTTTCAGAATGGGACTATTTTAAAATAGCAACAAACTTTGCCTTGGTTTTGATTCTTCCTGCTAATGGGCCCAGTATACTAAATAATGTTTTACTGATGACTTTCATACAGCACAGCTGCTCCTGCTGCAGTAGTTATGGAGGACAGCGATCAAACAAAGCCTTTACGTGCATGCTTGGGTTTAAGCCATATCAGTTCTCACTTTTCTGCTGGCACAGAGGCACTCACTGTGGTTACTTGCACAATTGCAGGTTGGAGAGGACTCCCGTCATTCGGGACCACCAGTTTTGCCAAGACCATCGAGCACGTTCAATACAGTCAGCAGAGCTCAGTACCAGGATGTGGTTCCAGTGGGTACGTCACCATACAGCCTCTTCTCAGAAGCTCTCTGTGGCTGAGGGTGGCACATCAGTGTGCACTGCTGGGTTTTTAGTTTGTTATGATTCTTCTGTCTGTCAGCATTTCCCCCTTGTTCAGTTGCAGCCTTCGGGACTGAAAGTGTGCAGAACCAAATAATCGATGTATTCTACCTTCCCAGCTTACTTACTCTGTGTGCTGACAGGATGAGTTGAAACCAGTGAGTCAAACTGGGTCTTAACTGGACTCTATGGATTCCAAATGCCGTTTTTTTTTCCCCCCCAACTTCTGAGCATCTATTTTGGCAGAGTTCTAGAAAGTGTTAATCAGCTTGGAATTAGTCATTAGCTTAACTTCTGTTCTCAGTTACATACACACAAAGTTACTGACTTCTGTGCCACCACATACAGAATTTAGCTTATTAAATCTAACAGCTGTCACATTGTGCTAAATCAAGATAAATTAATCCGATTGACTGTAACTGGCTCTTTGGACTGTGGCATGTTTACTTGAAAATCTCTGCCCATTTAAATCCTTCTCCTTGCCATGGACATGGTGTGCATGCCTTGCAGGCTCAGCCGTTACTGAGGATTTGATATGGGTGTTTCTGATGACTGTTTAATGTCTGAGAATAGATTTCAGTGCAGGGAAAATCAAGGTCCCTGCAATTTTATTCTGGCAATATATATTCTGGTTTGACCTTAGCTAAGAGTGTGAGTGATAAAATATAATAGAAATTGCTAACAGAGTCCTAGCTGTTAATAGTGGAAGGGATATGTCCCAATAAGGTTTGGTTCATAATCAAGAAGTGTGTTCCTTAAATGACAGTAGAATTGGTAGCCTTACATAAAAAAGCATTAACACAATACTGATAAACTTAAAACTGCAAAGGTGAAGTCTACTGTGATTATTGTTCAAAACTCAGAAGGAATGACATCCTTTATTTTGGTATCTCCTTGCTCCAGCATGATATTGTTGTTGATGTTTTCAGCTTACAATGACAAGATTGTTGCGTTTCTGCGGCAGCCCAATATCTTTGAAATTCTACAAGAGCGTCAACCAGATCTTACCAGGAATCATTCACTCAGGTAAGAAAATTAGTGAAGCTAGCTATTCCCATTTCAATACAAAATACTAATTACAATTAGTCACTTTCACTGAGATTATCAGTGGAACATAACAGATTGTAGACTTCTGACATACTTGGACATATCATAAAAAGTTGTAGGAAGTAGTTATTTACTATATTTCTGTGTAATACTGTGTAATAAGGTTTAGGAGAACAGAGGTAGTGTGTTATTATCAAATAAAGGTACCTACAAGAAAATGTTTGGAACAACTGGCATAAGAGATTTACTGATGTCTTCAAAATGTGCCAAGACAGCTGGATGGCATGGCAAATGTGCCTGTTCATTTGGGAATGTGTACAGCTGGGAGCATGAGGCAGAATGCCATTTGGTTTTGTCCTTACCTTCTCAAAGCACACTTACAGAAAGATTGTCCTGACCTAATGATGCTGGATGTAATCTCACATCAATCAGAATTTTTGATGTCTGTCCAAAATTTACAAAATGGGCATCTACAGATTTTTGCGTAGTCCAAGAAGATCTGATAAAGGCTGATTGATTGTTGTATGATTGTTATAACTCCATTGGTTGTCTAGAGTTGGAAATGGAATCACTGACAACTTGGATATTAGTGACCAGGGCTGAAATGAATGTGCCTATTCTTCCTTGGACCCTAAATTTAAAAAATGCTAGTTTGTTGGTGACAATCTGTCCTGTGCAGAGAGCTGCCACTGCAGTGCTCTGTGTTCCAGCTGCCTGGCATGGCAGCCAGCGCTGATTTTCATTTTTTTACCCTTTTCACCGTTACTTATTGGTCCTTTTTTCTCAATGTCCTGCAAGGTCCCAAAATTCAACAAGCAGTTTCCTAAAGTGTTGTGTAACAAGTTTTGTGATGCAGCTTCTATGTTAATTTGTTTTACCCTGTAAAGAAATCCTGGCTGACAAACCTGAAATGACATACTAGCAGAATACATGTTCTCTAGAAAACACAGAGAAAAGGAAAAGAAAAATCTACAGCTCTCAGATTTTCAAAAAAATTCCTGTGTTGTACCCATATCACTACAGGCAAGTTTGTCTCACCAAGCTTGGTTTGAAATGTTGGCAAACTCATCTGTTGGGAAATAATATACAAACAATTTTGGATTATTAGTAGTTTTATCATTTTGTTTTCCTTTCCCCAGGGTGCTTGATTTCCCATACTTGGATAGCAAGCTGAGTAATTTTCTTCATGTGTGTTTTATTTTAATAAATTAGAATTCTGATTGTGTACAAGACTTGTTGGTTCTATCAAATTCTGCTTTTAGTAGAACCCTGCTGATTACAGGTTCATAATTTCTCACAAGCTGGGCCCTTCTCATGGGAAGATGGGTTTCAGGTTGCAAATGGAAGATCAGAAGATAGAAGATACTCTTTTCTGTGTTTCCACATTTACTTGAGACTATATATCCTTACTATGTAAGGAGACTGAAGGTATATGTCTTAAGTGACTTACTTCAGCAGAATGATTGAGGATTTTAATGAACATAGTTTTATTTTACATTAAGTGGGATTGGTCAGAGAAGCCAGTCTTTTAAGTTGACTGGTTCCATTCTAGTCTTAGTCTTTGAAATGAATGTATTTCCTTAAGGTACAGTATCTTCTATTATACATCTCCTATATTTTTCTACAGCTGATGTTTCAGTAACATTTCTTACCCTTTATAAAGATCTTAGTTAGTCTTTTAAGACCCCGATTTAGCAAGTTATTGGAATCCATGTCTGTTTGACACACTGAGACTAAACAACTACGTGAATGTTGCTGTAACATTTGATGAATTGAGACCTAAGTGAAATCCCACACTATGAATTCTGTGTAATTTTTTTTTTTTTTTTAGTATAGTGAGTAGTACAACTGTCAGTAATCTCTTCCTTTGAGAACCTCAGCACAATTGAAGTGGAATGATAATTATATAAAATATTATTATTAATGGTATTGTAATTATTACATAGGTGAGGAGAGAAATCAGTATTTAGCCAGTGGAAAAGGAGAGAGATATTTTGAAAAGATCTCTGATGTTTTCTGTCTAAAATAATTTCTCATTCCTAAAAAGAATAAAGAGAGAAGAAGTTGAGGGTCTATTAAAATATACAATGAAAGTATATTGCATGTAGAAAATTGTTGTTCAGAGGTTTTATGGTGGAGTGAGAACATTAGACTTATTGTACTGTCATTAGGCATGTAGCCAGTATCAAATCTTCTTTCAAGCCACTGCAGGTAAAACTGAGAGGCTGTTAAATAATGTAAAAGGCTTCAGGCAAAGGCACCTGTTATACACTAATTTATGTCTTAAAAGAAGGGAAAAGGCATATATTAAAAAAAAAACCATTGGTGAATCACAGCTCTCACTGGTAACCCCAGGAAGTCATGGGTTGCATTCATTTAATCCAGAAAACGTCCTTCTGGTTCCAGGTGTGGCTGCCAACTAAATGCTAAGATATATTTTTTTAATCCCCTGTTTATTTCCTCAGACCTTGGCATTTGGGCACTGACATAGATTGGAGGAGGTTCTGGAAGTGTCCCGACACCCCTGCCCTGGGCACCTGGTGGCCGTGCTCGCGGGTGGGCAGCGCGTGTTGGCTTTGGCTCAGCGCTGTGCTCGTGGGGCTGTGGGGATTCCAGGCTGAACTTGAGTATTGACTGGCTGCAGCCACAGTGCTGGCTAAGCAGGTGCTTGGCTTTCAGTACCTCTTTTCACACAGAAACAGGGAATTACATGGTCCTCCTGCAGACACAACTGCCACCCTGGCAAGCAGGGACCAGGGAATCTGGGCTCAGTCTGGCTGTGTCCCTTTTTCACCCTTGAATATACTGTAAATGTAGTGCAAGTTACCAGGGAGTGTGTGTTTGAGAACGTTTTTATGCACCATGAGTTTAGAGAGAGATGGCAAGGAATTCAGTTTGATTCTTTTGTTGAAAGTGCTGTGCATGAAATGGCATGTTCCAGAAATTCACATTGCAGCTTGAACTGTGTGCAGCTGCCAACAGCTGCATTACAGTGCTGATTGCATGGAGTATTTTGGACCTTCTTGTCACCTTTAGTAATAAGATGGTAGGATAGAGAGACCTCTGAGCTAAGCCAGTGCTGCTGTTCTTATGGGGTGTTCTTTACTTTTCTTCTTGTTTGGGGGTTTTCTCCTTTGGATTTGGGACAGGTTTTACTGTGTAGGTTTCTTTTTGTTTTCTTTTCCTCTGGAAGAGTAAAGCCAAATTAGAATTTATCTCTTCTGTAACATCATATGCTTTGTACTGATGAGAGAAAATGAGAGGGATGTACTTGTATTTCAGAATGCAGGAAAAATCTCTGCAGAGAAGAAGAACAGGAATCAACAAAGGATTTATATTAAATATAAATCCTAAAATTCTCTATGTTACCATGCTCAGAATTTAGGATGCATAGATTGTACAATAGTGAGCACATTGGATCTAGCAGGAAGGATGTGTACTTGGGTGAGAGAGAGGGGAGAATTAAATGATTTTTTTTGGAATATCTTAAATGCAGTGTGGTACAAAACCCACACTTTTAAAATCACAAGTATGCATTGTAATGTATGGCTTGCATTTGTACAAAGGTTCAGAAGAGACAGTGGCTCTTTAAACAATTCACTTTCACGATAGAAATGTCATCCTGCAGGGCTCTGCCTCCTACTTGAAATTCAGAGACATGGCTACTGTGAACTTGAAGGATTGAGTTCTCTTTTTCTTGTTTTTATTTTTTTTTCCTGGTCGGATGACTGTACTACCTGAAACAGCATGAGCATTGAAGAGATGGGAGCAACAGAAGAATTGTTCCTCAGGACAAATTAGCTTTTTGGTTGTACTATTTTACTGCTCACGTGGACATGGTGTGGCAGACCAAAAAAAAAAAATAGGAAAAAGCATAATCCAGAGGTTTCTGATGTACTCTGTACTTTTTCTTGTTGCTTTGGTATACATTGATGCCTTACTTGCAAAAGGTATTTTGGAAGCTTTTTTTTGCTTACCCAGGGAGAAGATCCAGTTCATCCGGACAGAGGGAACACCTGGGTTGGTGCGTTTATCCAGCGATGCAGACCTTGTCATGTTACTCAGGTAGGCACTGCTGCTTATGGTGCCTGTATGGAATATGCTGTGACAGCTGCTGAGGAGCCTTTCAATGAGTAGTGAGTGCTGATGTAGTGACCCAGCCATTTCCCCTTCAGTCCTTGGAGTTGCAGCTGGGAGAGCAAAAGCTCAAGGGTCAGATTTTATTTTCATCACGTTCAGTTTCATGATGGTATTTGGAGGTCACACTTTTTCGTAGGAGTTGATGGAATGTGATATCCTGTCTGAGGAAAGGCAAGTGCAAGAGTACTGTGCTTGTGATTTATATGGGTTTGCCCAGACTACCTTTTATTGTCCTGTTGCATCCAGCTCTCATGCTTAGGTAGCTGGTACAGTTTAGACTGATTTTCAAGGATGTGCTTTCTACTACTTTTGGAATGCATCTGTTTAGTTCTGTATTTTGGGAAGCCCCTATTTGTAAAGGTCTATACTTGAGATGTGTTTTTATTACTTAATGTCCTGCTTGCCTCTTCACTGTGCTGTCAAGCACTGTCCCCTTTAATAAAGGAAATACTGTTAGAGATGTCTCAAAATGTGAAGCTGCTTCTTTACTATTTTTCATTTAAGCTGCTAACTCAAAAAATCAGGCAGATTTTTGCTAGAACTAAACCCTTATATGTTGATGTTGTATTCTCATCCATTCCATCAAGAAATTCACAAGTACCTTTAAAACTGAATCTAGTGAAATAGGATTGCCATTAGTAGTTGTATTTTGAGGTCAGGTTGCATAATGTCAATCCTTCTTGGTAGCTAAATCTCCAACTTAATTACAACTATAAAAAAACCCATGCTTGAACTCTTTAAAAACATAAATATTGTTTCTTAAAAAACTTTGAAGATGTTTGTGTCTTTATGTAACTTGGAGGAAAACTACACATGGTCATGAATGTAAAAGGAACTGCTAGAACACACTCATTAAAAAAAAGAAAAAATTAATGCAAAAAAATTTCTAGGTATTTGTTTGGTGAACAGACTTAGTAAGAAACATCTTTTATTTGAACATTTTTTTCATTGGTTGCCATAGGTTGGCTTGAAATTCCTTCTAAAGCTCAATTTTTGAAAACATTTTTTACATATTATCTCAGCAGTTTATTCTTATCTGTGTCGTGCTGAACATTCAGCATACCCTTCAATACCAGATCCATTCTGATATTAGATATCCTCTACCTTTTTGGATTTGCTTGTGTCAAATTTCAGAAGAGACTGAAATTTTACTGTACATACACAGACTCTCTGTACACAGATGCAGTGATTAGGCTGCAAACTGTATATCTTTTTTCTCTTAAAAAATTGTGTAGCAATAACAGGTGAAGCATGAAATAACTCAACTTGACGAGGCTAGATGTGCTACCTGTTTCAGCAACAGTGTTAAAGATAAAATGAAGAAATAACTTATGCTAACAAGCTTACCATTCAATATGCTCAACAAGTTCAGATGTGATTCTTAATCCTTGAGGCTTAGAATGTTTGTTTATGTTCCTGCTCTTTGTGCAGTATTGCAGATATTTTTCCAGGATAGTGCAACTAAGGTTATTGACCCCTTTGTAATGAGAACACAATTTAAAAAAAAAAAAGAGAGGCTCCCACAGATTTTAGAGGCTGATTAACTATGTTTTAACCTTGAAAACAAATACCACATTATGTATAATAGTGTCCCACAAAAGCAGCAATTACTGCTTTCCAGTACATTCAAGACCTGATTGAGGGAATGGCAATAAAATATTCTGTACCACTCTAAGTGTGCATGGTGGAAATAGGTGAGTGACTACCAAAGCAAGCAGTTCATTAAATAGGGAGTTATTAATAGAAAGTGAAAACTCCCATTTATTCAAATAAACATGTTCTTTCTTATTTGCTCCTTTTTACCAGCTTGTTTGAGGAGGAGATAATGTCATATGTGCCGCCACATGCCTTACTTCATCCTAGTTATTGCCAGTCCCCGAGAGGCTCGCCGGTGTCTTCGCCTCAGAACTCTCCAGGTAAGTTGCTCAGGCAAAGCTTCTGCAGGGGCTCTATAAAAACATTTCTCATCCTTGATAAGACCAGTTCCAGCTCAGTAAAATTAGTAGCATGCTCTTTCTGCCTTCCCAGAAGTTGGAGAACAAAAACAATAGAAAAATTGTTTTACTATAACTTTTTACTTCCTTTACAAATTGAAATTCACAGCAGCCTAAAGCTAAGAACATCCTCTTGGGAAACTATGACCTATTTGCCTTTGCAGTTCCCAGCTTTTAGGTGGGTAAGGTTACATGAATTGAAGCCCCTTTTGAGTGGCCAGTTGAGCTTGTCACTGCAGTGCTCTGATGAGAGTGGTATCTGTGAGATGCTGCAGTAGAGCTAGTCCCATAATTTGGATATGCTGCATGCAATGCCTTTCACCTGTTTAAAGATCCAGGTTCTGTTGCTCCAGCAACAACAAAGATTCAGTCCTACTTTTGACCAAAGTCAACAGGTATGATTGCATTTGATTGTCGAACTTGAACCTTTGCCTTGGGCTCACAAGACGCTTTGCTGGGTGTATTACAACTTCAGTGGTTATTTTGTTCTGACTTGTAAAACATGCAAACTCGGTTTTCACTCATGTGAAACAACTGCTCATGCCAGTATCCTGATGCCTGGAGAATTAAGCATGGATCTAATGTACATTAAAATGGTGGTGTTAGAGAGGCTGTGGGGCAATGAGTAACAATCAGATGTAAAACCAGACTGGTATTAGTACATTAGCTCAAGAGATAGCATATTGCAGCTCTCTGAAAATTCATGTCAGAATGGAATAAAATTGATATTTCAGATATGAACTAAGTTGCAGATCAAAACTAAATTATTGCAAATGTGACAAGTTCCATTTGAAGGCTAAGAAGAGCAATTTCAAATTTATAGATGTTGCTGTTCTTAGTTTTCTCAAGAAGGTAATTGGCAAGTAAAATTGGAAGTTGCTTAAGGGGATTTCTACAAATTTGAGAACAAAAGTATAGATAAATAGAGAACATTTGGGCTGTAAGCAACTCCAGATAGTTCCAGACAATAAGAAATTTTTCTCAGAAAAAGTACTGTGATTTTTATGGACATTTCCAAGTCCACAATAATAAAAAGCTTTGCCTTTTCAAGAAACAAGATGAAATGCATTCATAAACGTGTTCTGAGTGGTAGCTTTTCCTGCTGCTGGAGATAGAACCTTTGTAAGATCTGTTTGAAGGAAATATCTAAAGGCCTTAATGATCTTATGGCATTCTGCAAAGCAATGAAATACAATATTCACATGTATTGATATTTTCAATACATATATGGTTTAGATATAACTGTTTCCCTTTACTGAGAAGAAAGGAAGAATGAAATCTGCATGTATGCATCTTATTTCCAGCTGCAAACTGGCAGTCTTTTATGAGTAAAACCAATTTTGGCTTCCAGAGTTATGATTTCTTCATTACTGGTACATACTCCAAAGTATGTTGGGCAGGGCTTCATTCCAACAAAGTAATTTCAAAATACATTCAGTCTTGACGTGTGATATTCTCATGTACACAAAGCAGCAGCAGATAGTAAAGGATGAACATTGATTATTTTAGTCTCATTCTCTTTAAATTTGTAATCTCTATTCTGGTTCGTAGAAAAATACAGAGAGACCCATTGAATTTCCCTGTCAGTCTGCAAGTATGTACGTTTGTGTTGGCGTACAAATGACTTTTTTGATGAGAAATTGTAAATAGCCCATGTTTTCTATAGAGGCTCTGTTTTTTCTGGTCAGCTAAACTGGCTGTGCTGTGCTGCGCTGCACGAGGTTGCGTGTTAAGGATCCATTGTTCAGATCAGTCACAATCACTTGTACTTTCTTTTTTGGGAAAGATGAATAGTCATGAAGCTACTCTTTATATCTGCTTTAGAATATAACCTCTTTGAAAATCAAATACGATTAGCACATCACTGGTGTTTTTTAGCTCTTCCATTAACATCTTTTGTTCTCAAGGCGGAAGTAATCACTGTAATTGCCCAGGAATTTCTTGGCATGTGCATCTGATTTGCAGTGAGGACTTGTCATGTGCTGACAGAATATTATGATGCTGTTTTCTGAACCATGAAGTAATGTGCTATTAGATTAATTTATTGTGGTATCTTTCAAAAAAGTTATCTTCCTTCAGGGGTTTAGATTTAAGTATATTATTGTTGCCTTTTTTTTTTTTAATTTTTTTTGTGTGTGTTTGGTTTTTTGTGACTACATTTTTGTACCTACTTTGACCTAAAGCAAAATAAACAAATGGGGGAAAGGCCAGTAATTAAAAGGCTGTTTACAGTTTCAAGTTTCTGTTTTCAGGAGAATTCAGCTGAATGTACCATTAGAAGCCCTTAGTGCTCCCAGTAAAAAAGGAAAACCTCTATAGGTGAATCAATGACCATGATTTGTTTTTACAGAGGGGTCCTTCGTGTTCCTGTTGGAGCCCTGATACTTTGTATTCCTCCCACACATCACTCTTAAGCCTGGAACAAGGGCCAAGTGTCTTTCTGGTCAGACAGGTCTTTCAAAGACGTGTTACATGGCATTCAGCGTTAATAGTGATCTCAGTTGTTCTCTCTGATCTCTGCACAGAGACAGACTCTGCAGCTTCTTCCAGCAGCCACTTCCGCAGGATGTGCTGTCGCCTTTTCCGTCAGACCCGTGTGCTTTGTGGCTGAGTGAGCTGCTCTCTGCCCACAGGCTGAACACACACGTTCTCTCTCTTTTATAACCTGAAACATGACTCTCTCGTGCCTTCACCCACAGTTAGCAATACATGTTTCTGCTTTGGCTTAGCTTCATGCCAGGAGCCAAAAGTAAACTCACATAAGGAACTGACTGAACCAGTTAAAAGACAGAACTCTATCTATAAGTGCTTCTAAGCTGTTGATTTGTGCTTTCAGTGCATTATGGGCATGTGAGGTGACCCCTGGTTGCAGATAAATGGTTAACAACTTCTGTATACTGTAGGGCATGAAAAATTTTCAGTGTCCTCTGAATTTTTTTGTGGAGGATGTCTACACAGCTATGCAGGGAGGAAACTGAACTACCTCTTAGGCACACTGTCTTGCAGTCAAATAGGTGGAAGTAATTTATCCAGGGAAGCAGTGGAAAGTCTAATGATTGTTACATTCATGATAGAACAGACTAAGCACCTAATTCGTATATACTGGACTTGTACATGCAGTTGTGGGCTATGCCATTTTTTCAGATCTCAGCTCTCCCTGCTTTTAAGAAACTGATCCTCAAAAAACAGTCTTTCAGAATTAAATTCATTTATTTGACCATCATATATGTTTCTACAGCCGCAGGTGAGAAGTTCCAGAAACTTAAATTTGGTAGTCTTTCTATTCTTTCAATATTTTTCTTCCTTGTACTTCCCCAGGCAAAAACTTCTACTAGGGAATTTCCAAATGTTTTCCTTCATCTTGATGTACTCAACAGGGGCATAGCAGAGTCCAGTCTGTTTATGTTTCATTTACGACTTGTTGTTTCCCTGATAATATTAAAATCAGAACAGAGCAGAACATTTATTGCATAAACTATTATAAAGGTTAGATATAAAGTGTACTTGAAAAACAAAAAGTAAAGTCTTCCTAGTTGTTTGTGCTGGTTTTTTAATCCATCTTTTGCATTGACCTGGATTTGCTCTTTTAAGATTGACTTTTGAAAAAAGATGATACTGTTGGAAATGAGCAACCAAAAAGTCTTGGATGCAGAGCAGATTTGAAGATGTGCAGCTTTTACTCTTTATAAAGGTGACTAAACCAAACACATACCATGCCTTTTGCTATTAAGGAGTCTTTTCAGTAGCAGATGGGACAGTGATCAGTCCATGTCAGTACTGCTCATTGTTTGCTTATTGCTTCCTGCAGGTACCCAGCGTGCCAATGCCCGGGCTCCGGCTCCGTACAAAAGAGATTTTGAAGCCAAGCTGAGGAACTTTTACAGGAAGCTGGAGACTAAAGGATATGGACAAGGTCCAGGGAAATTGAAGTATGTTGAAGCATCTCATGAAACTGGATTTGTTTCTCAGGCAGCTTGCCTTGCCCTGCACATCTACAGGCTTCTTCCCGTTAGACGGAATGCAGATGTTTTGGTTACCCAGGCACTTCTGGAAATATAAAGCTTGTAATAAAAGACTTAATGCCAGCATGTGATTCATAGCAGAGGATACAGCAAGTTCTGAGCACTTCTGTGTTCTCCTCCAGCTATATTTTTGTACAAACAATATTACCAATACAGTGCCAAAAAGAGCTTTGGGCAGAGGCATGCAGAACAGGAGGCATCTGAATTCTTCCATTATAGCAACTGCTATGATATAAACACTTATATTTTCTCATCTATTTTTCCACTGAAAAAACTAGATAGGCTATTTTGTACATCATTGCCTGTATTGATACCACAGTCCTCTTTTAGTAAAGAGGATTCATACAATTAAATGTTATTAAATGCTAAGGATTGCTTTAAAAGACCGCTAATAATTTTATTTTAGCACTTTGAATGCTGGGGTGCTTGGAGTGAGGTCTTCCCTCCTCTATTTATTTGGTAATCATGTGATTACATATGGTTATGTTGAGGATTGTCCTCACAAGATACTTTCATAATTTTGTACATTACCAAGTCTTGTGCCAGCTGTCAAACTCTTCTAGTTGGATCCTCTCAGAGTAGTCATAAGGCACTAGAACTTTTTTTAACCATTTCTTCTTTAACCATTGTAAGAAGAGGGTAAGCTTTTTGTTTGTTTTTGTTTCTTTTTTGAGTTTTTGTTTGTTTGTTTATTTTATTTTCCCCAGACAGTCCCTTCTCACATTTTGTAGAAATTTGAGCTAAGCTCAGACTTTATTTATGTAAGCTTGTTAAAAGTTTTCCATAATGGGAGCAAAATGGTATTGTTTAGACATGCTTAAGAGGCAGGGGTTGGACAGTGTCTGTCAATAATGTAATGAAACCATAAACACTTAAACCCTTACCTATGAAGGTTTTGTCACGAATGCTTGGGCAAATAACTGATAGAAGAGGGTGGCATTTGCTCCCTCTAAGATCTGTTACATTTCTTGGCCCTGTTTTTCCAGTTCTTTTTGGTTTTTTCCTGACCTATTTGCCATCCCACTGTAGATTTTTAAGCAGAACAACAGTTTGAGTTTTGAACAGAAGTTTTCCCTGGATTCCTTTCCCAGGCATACCACACTGACTTGTGCAAACCAAGGCCCCAGCACAACTTGCTGCCTGGGTCCTCCTGTTGCTCACTCACCTTGCCAGTTCCTGGGCTCTCCACATCTGTCCCCTCAGCAGGATGGCACAGTGCAGTCTCTGACCTCTGCACCAGGGCCAGCAAGGGCTCTGCAGGAGGCTGTGTGGTGGGTTCAGCTGCCTTTCTGCAGGCAGCAGCAGCTCCCAGCTTCGCTCTGACAGAGCAGTATTTGAATATAAAGCAAGCTAAGTTTCAGGAAACTAATTAAGCACATTCTCTTGGCAGAAGATAAAATCTTTAGGCAAGGAAGATTCTTTCACCTCTCTATTTTAGATCTCTATGACACTTCCTCACTTTCACAATTTTTCCTTTAGAAGGTACACTGTGTTTTCACATGTGGTGCTTCAGTGTGGTTTTGTACAAATGATTGCTGTTCCTTCTAGACTTTTTGTACCGTCACACTTAGCATAACATAGGGACGTGTGGCTCTGGAGTGACTCTCCATGGTTTTATATTTTTCCTCGTTAAGAAATGGATTTTTACATAAAAGATTAGGTTCTTGCTGCTTACAGTAAAACTCACTTAGGGACCCAGCTTTACAAAAGTATTTCAGACTTAATGAAAATGCCTGCTTCAGGACCTTTCCCCTTAAGACTTTAATTTAAGGAAGAACCAGGGTAGACAAAACTACACTTCTTTGTACAAGAGATATTTTATAGAAATCTAAAGTAAAGCATTGAAGGAGATAAATAGACTAATAGACAGAAGCTTCTGAATCTGGATAAAATTATCCAGCATCAACTGTATCTCTAAAGTTCCCCTGTTACTACCTTGCAGTGTAAATAGATGTTTCCGACTGTGGTTCATGTTCACAAATTGCTGTTTCAAAATAATTTTGCTCTTCAGATTAATCATCCGGAGAGATCACTTGCTAGAAGATGCCTTTAACCAGATCATGGGCTACTCAAGAAAAGACCTGCAGAGAAATAAACTCTATGTCACGTTTGTTGGGGAAGAAGGGTGAGTAGAACAGGGAAGTATAAATGTGATCTCAATGTCTTGCAGATGCTGTTTCACAAAACTTATCTAGAGTGAAAAGAGGAAGGGCTGCAGTAAGGAAATGCCACATACATAAGCCTAGAATATACAGCTGTTCAAGATGACTTTTTAAGCATTTTGAAATGTAACATATCCTGCCTTTGCAGAAGTAGTGCATGTGTTTATGTGAATTTTCACAATAGCTGGTGTGTGTTTCAGAATGTTGCTGGGAAAGGAAAAAAAAAAACCAAACAGCTTTCCTGTGTTATTCATATTTGTTTTCTGTCAGTGCTGTTGTATCTCCAGTGCTTATTAACAGCTACCATTTGTTGGAGGGAGAGTCCTTCACTAGCAGGCTTGAGGCTCAATCCTTAATTCAGCTCCTGTTTCTGAGGCTTTGGGAGCTGAAAGCCCTCTGTGCTCCAAGAGGTGGATCACTGCCTCTCCAGGCCAGGGCCTACATCACAAATAAAAGCAACTGGGCTGTTGCCAATTGTCAGATAAACACAAATATTCCTGACATTTCAAAGTCACTTCAGAGAATGCTCAGTCTGTGTCTAATGAAAGTCTAAAGTGTTACAGGCTGTGGGAAGTGCATTGCAGAGCAAGATGTGGTTAGATTTTCTTTGGAGGTGAAACTGAAACCGAGTACTATTTGCTACTTTTGTCTCTCGATTTGTGCCCCCTTTGTCAGATCTCAAAACCTACTTGCCTTTGGCACAAGTATCGTTATTGATGTATTTCCTCAATATGTTTGTAAATATTTTCAAAATTTTATTCCTTGATATTTAGAAAACTGCAGCACAGCTCTTGGAACGCTGTAATGTGCATTATTGCCATGCAATGTGTGAGTCTTTAAAATGCTAAGTTGTAATAGAAATATCTCTTACAAGATTAGATAAAATTAATGTGCGTTTGAAAACCCCTAAATCCTGTTGTTTGTTTAAAGTTCACTCTGAAGCACTTAGTGTTAACGAGGACCCAGTGAAGCCTTAAAATAAAGAATGTTGACAGCTGAGAGCCAAGTGTGGACTTGTTCATATAAATAATGTCACCATGCTGTCTGAGGAAGGAAAAACTCAGAACTGGAATGACAAGGCTGGTGCAGAATGAGATTACACTGTATTGACAGAGTAGGGTGGAGGTGCAGGAACGAGGCCTGTTTCACACAGCCCCTACCAGCCTTCATTTTCACAGCTGTAACCTCAACTCACATTTAAAAATTAAGGGGAAATTTTTTAAATCAAACATGAGATAGAGATTGATTCAGATAGACTGTCTCCTTTCATCAGACGTCAGGCTTTTGCATTTCACCACTCAGCAACAAGGAGAGTGACCTCAAAATGGGGGTGACACATCCTGTCCCCATTATATCCAGCTTTACACAAGACTCTAGCCTTAATGGAAAAGAATCAGTTAATTAAGAGCAAAGTCAAATTAAAGTGATGTCAGTTCTCTATTTACAAACCTGTATTTTGAATGAAGAAAGGATGTGTGCAAACAGTATTGTTTCGTCAGAGGTGGTGCAGGGATATGTATCACATCAAACTATTCATTTGGGTAGGTGTAGAAAGGCAGGTCAGGGTGGAGGAGAGGAGGAATACTGAAAGTTAATTGCTTCCTATTTGCTCCTCCTTTTTCAAGATTTTAAGCAGGAGTTTACTTTTGTTTCTCTTTTCCTCTTGGTAAAGAGATGCAAGTCATAAAGTAATGGGTAATAAAATCCTCACAAATTGCAACATTTTGCTAATCATTTATTTATTAGTGTATAAATTAGTAAGTGGGGCAGCTCAGACATAGTTACTGCTGTTCATGTGATTTCTATCATAAGTCTCATAATGTTTGTTATCTTCCTTGAGCCTTCAGTTTCCGCAGTCATGCAATTGTGATGTTAGTTTAATGGTTTTATACACTCATACTTCATGGAAGGGTACATTCAGAAAATTTTGATAGAAAGAATATGGTTCCTTAAAGTTGTTTTCCCTAAGTTCTGTGAACTTTTAGCCGAAGCTGCTTTGCATTTAAGAGTGGTAAATCTGAAGTATTATGGTGCTTCCTAGGTGACATGAGTCATGTTGCCAACAACATATTATTCTACTCCTGAATATCCAAATGCCCCACAGTTGCAGCTGTTGTGTGGTTGCATACCTCTTTTATGAAGTTTTCTCACCCTTGTGCCAAGCCTTTAATTGTAGGATAAATCTGACTGGCAGTGCAGGACTCTCATGATTGATTTATTTAACATGACTCACAGTAACTCTGCATACACAGGGAGCTGTGTGAAATGGCTGGTAGTCAAGCACGCAGTTTCCTTTCCATCTTAAGATTTCATGGTGAGTCTGACCATCCCAGAAGTTTGGAAGGGTTTTCCAGATGACCCTTTACTTGATCCTGGTATTTGTGCCAAGATTAAGATTCAACAGTTCTCCATGGTATCAAACCACTTTTGGTTGGTTTTTTTTTTCCTGTAATTTGAGGATGGAATCTACCCTTCTTGCCAGGGTAGGGATCTGTTTCAGTACTTCATTGCTGAAGCTTAACAGAAGTGAAGTGGTTCCAAATAACTGAAAGGAAAATGTTTTTTATTCAACAGAGGAAAGAGGGTTTGTCCTCAGCTTGATAATGGTACCTGACCTTTACTTTCCTGGCAGCTTCATCCTCAAAAACAACTCTCAGTTATGGTTGTCATCTATAAAAGTTTCTGATCCAGAACATTAGTAGCAAAAGCTCTATATGAAAACTGCCCTTCTCTGTGATACTTCTATCAGTGGGTTGTCTTGGTACTAAAGCAAAGCCTTCTTAAGAGTCAAGTATGAAATCTTCTATCTATAGAAGATATATCTTTATGTCTGTTTGTTAGGATTATAATAATCTCTGTTCTTCACTGGAAAAATCCCTACTTTTCTGTTTTCCAAATCTAATAGAGCATTAACTACATACTTAACTCATTTCACTGGTGACCTGTAGCATAATGTCAAAATTCAGTCTCAGTGCATTGTCAGCAGTGAGTTTGTTTATCTTTCAGGAAAAAGGGGTTATTTAGATTCATTAGGACTGGAATCTTGAAGTAGGAAAAAAAAAAAGAAAACAAAAAAAAGGAAGCGCACACTCCAAAAGACGTTTAAAGGCACTCAAGTTTGGAGGACACACAAGAAAATTTAGACCAAGAAATATAAATCACTGAAGTGATCTCAGATTATATTGCTAGGGAAAACAGAAATATTATCCGCCAAACTGTCCTATTGTTGTAGGTCTGCAAAGACAAAATATGACTGTTGTTTATTTTCATTCTTAATTTGTCAGATGCAGATAGGGCTAATGTTGGCTCTTTTCATGTTTTTCCTCCCTCCCCCATGCCTGGCTGCCCCCCATTATTTGGTTATATTCCTGTGGCAAAGAGGCCATTACAGCTGGAGCCAAAATTTTTTCTGAGAGCAACCCACATGGAGCACTTCATTCCAATCCTCCAAGCCATTCCATTTTAGAATAGTCCCTTGAGAGTTTCACATACTTTGGCATTAAGCAATCTGCGGGATAAGGGTTCTGGTTCAAATCTTACGAAATTTTAATCAAAATATAATGTAAGGAATGTAGATTCAAAAAAGTGTTTCTTTATAGTGATGTTGGATTTCTCTTTGAAGGTTGGACTACAGTGGACCATCAAGAGAGTTTTTTTTCCTGGTGTCCAGAGAGCTCTTCAATCCATATTATGGTTTGTTTGAATATTCAGCCAACGATACCTACACAGTACAAATAAGTCCCATGTCTGCTTTTGTAGACAATCACCACGAATGGTAAGAATTATTTTTCTTTCTGTTTTTCATATACATTTTCTGTTATTCCCACTTGTAGACAGCTGCTCAAATCTGCTCAGACATGTAACACAGAATCTGATCTTTTTAACCAGCAGAAAAATAATTGCATTTTTTTTAGACTTTACCGAATTTGGTTTCTCTTGTGGTTTTAAATGATCTTATTTCTCACAAGGTCAGCAAAATTATGATTTGGAACATGTACCGTGGGATTGTCTCACAACACAACTCTCTGCATTTCTTGTACATTAGCAGTCATTTCATGAAAGCAATATTAAACTCTTTGGCATTAAAAGAAAAAGAAAAAATAATGACACATTGACTTTTTGTCAGCTAAGGAGATTAGGAGAGATTTCAATCAGGTGTTACTCTATGTAGTTTTTATGAGTCTTCCTAAAGAGTACAGAGGTCTCCTCAGTGGAAAAAACCCAACATATCTATTGGAAGGAAATCTGTGGTGGTATCTCAGTTGGGGGCAGGGGGAAGACTGCTGATCACGCAGCTTTTAAACAAGTCTGTACATACACACATGCTTCTAAAATAGTTATCGAGGATTTTTACATAATCCCATTTTTCACAGTTATAAGCCAGTTTAAATCACCCTCAGTTGATTTAAGCCATGGCATCACCCTAAATCTGTAAAGCTGTGCTGTGACTATTAACAGAGAATTCTGCTGTGTAAGTAGTTGGATTACAGTAATACTGAAATGACAGCTGCTCATCTGTGTAGGACAGAGTATGTACTGAGTTCTTATTTATTGAAAGCCAGTTATGAAGAATGAATATCAGAGGGGAATCTCATTGCTAATTTTAAAAATTAATAGAAAATTAAGTGGTTGGCAGCCTCCAGTTCAATTAGTTGAAGCAGCCTGCCTGTTGAACTCCAATACTTCAACAATAAATAGCATATGCTGTATTGCAAAGGCAGAACAGCCTGGCAGAAAGGTGAGAGAAAACCCTTATGTGCTGTGCAGCTTCTGCCAACACTTTGTCTTCATTCCTGGCTTCTGCAGTGCTGGAACAGAGACCTCAGGGGTAGAGGAGGCATGACCCCTATCTCCTTCTGGGAGTGCTGGTGCCAGTGACAACACTGGTCTTGTACAGCCTCAGGGGGAATTCGGAAAATGCAGTTATGCATGGAAGGAGAAGGCTCTGCATGTCACATCCTCATCTTGCAAACATTGTACAAGCAGGTATAATAAAGCCCTAACTTTTCCAAGAAAACTGTTGTAAAGGGTGCATAAGCAGAAAGTTCAAGAAACATTTTCTTTGAAAACAAACACAAAACTTTAATCTAGTTCCAAAGTTGTGGAGGAGTTTTCACAGCGGATCTTGATTCTCATGGGAACATTTGCAAAGACCCTACTATTTCAGGGTTGCTGCCATCTGGTCTCAACTCTGGCAAGCTTCCTCCTTACACACCCAACAAAATGAAGATGATAGGGAAGAAAGCGAGAGGTGAGAGAAGGAGATTTAGATATAAGGCTGGAGAGCACTGTGATACACCAAAAAGCTTTCAGACACTGTGGAAATATATATAGAATTCCTTAACCACCAGTCAGAAGAGGGAGCAAGGAGCCACTGTCAGGCAGAGAGAACTCTCAGGCTGGGGAAGGGTAGAAAAACTTTTGGCCTCCCAGTAACACAAAACCAAGTTAATCCTATATGGAGTGTGTAAGGAAAGTAGACAGTGGCTATCATTTTGGAAGATAATGCATTTATAAAGTGGCTAGTCTGGCAGAGGTTTGATTAGGTTAATATGGATTTGACAGTTATGAGCAGTTGCAACTTAGCTATCTGAGGGATTTTCCACACCCTGCAGGCTTGGGGTTTTTTGTTTATTTGTTGTTGTTTTGGTTTTTGTTGTTGTGGTTTCTTTTTTTTAATGTGCCTTACTGAGAATGTCAAAGAAACAGAAGAAATAAACAAAAATGCCACAATTTAGACATAGCTGTCTGATTTAATAATGTTGTTTGGAAATCCATGTAAGTTTTGATGACAGAGCAGTGTACCAACCACAAAGTTTCAATATAACGACTGTAACTCTTTCTCTTCCAGGTTCAGGTTTAGTGGTCGAATTCTTGGTCTTGCTCTGATACATCAATATTTGCTGGATGCCTTTTTTACCAGACCCTTTTATAAAGCTCTCCTCCGAATGTGAGTAGAATTATACTGTCTTCTCTTTTGTTTGGGTTCTTCTGTATGAGCGGTGCCGTTTGGTGTATGGATCATTTATGATGTTTTATTGACAAAGAAGGAGGGCCATTATTTCTAATTTAATAATTTTATTTCAACCCAGAACTTTTTTGAAAAATTTACTTGTTTCCACTATCTCAGAATGTTGTTTTTGATCATTATGACAACCTCATGTTTTGTTTTAGCCCTGTTATCAGCTCTCTTCTATAAAATCTTAGATTTGAAGACATATAATGAAATGCTGTGGGCTTATTCCAGGTATTAATAGAGTTCTTATTCTTTTGTATAATGACTCACAGGATGGGATATGAATCACTTCATAACTTAGACTGCACAATCCATTCTCAGAGGTGGACTGATTGTTGGCAGTCTCCATTTTGAGTAGCTGTACTTTGATATACTTCAGACTTGTTTTTCAGAACTACTACTCCTGTTTTGGCTGAAACAGTAAGAGCTGCACTTGCTCAGCATGTCTGGAATTTAAGACCTAATGAACTTAATGTGGCTTCACTTTTGTCCTCCATTTGAAAGGTGGTTTTGAGAAGTCTGGAAGCATATTTTTTTTCTATAAAACACCACATATTCTACTAGAGTGGACTAATGCATCTATTCTTATTGCACATATATTTTAAAAATACCTAAATGCTAACAGCAGCATTTTAGTAAGAATGAGGACTTACCCCAGGTGGACTTTGCACTGGTATTGTGTGACTGCCAAACAACATTACTTGTTTAACTTGGTGTTTCTCTAAACAGTAAAACTAAAAATGAGGGGCGGCCACCTTTGTACACAGCCTAATTCACGCAGCTTCCCCACCTAAGCCTTGCACCTTTGCTTTCCTCAGAACTGATGAGCCATCCTGACTACCTCTGCAGATAGGATGTGGTGCCCAATCCATCAGCTTTGATGTAGTGGCTGTTACTGCAGGATGTCACTTGAACTACACTTGAGCATCCAACTACAAGTGCAGGGCTTATTTCTGGCTTTATACTGGCCCAAGAATAGAAGCAGGCAGATAACCCTGCAGCTGAAAAGCTCCTTACTTAATGAATAGCCCCAGTGTCCTGTTTCACAAAACAGGATTTAAGGAGTTAAGAAGGATGGCAGAAATTGCCACCACAGTAGTAAATATTACTAACAGATGGCATGTTCAAAGCTTGGAGTAGTAACTGTTACAGACAGCAACGGGCAGTTGGCTTACAGGTTGGATTTGTAAAAGAAGGATGTGGTAAGGGAAAATATGGCAAAAGGTAAAAGATATTTCTGTGGCAGGCAGGGTATCTGAACAGACTTCTTTGCATGATGAAGAGAGGAGAGACGTGGCAGTCTAGTGACATAAACTAAAAGGATACTAGTTGCTTGTTAAAAAAAATCTTACAATTTCTTTTATTATTTGAATTATTTATCTCTTAAATCTATATATTTTTATAATTCCTAAATATTCTTCATAGGAAACCTAGGACAGACTCACCATAAGCTTAAGAAGCAGTGTGCCTTCAAATTAAATGCTGGAGTTTTGCATATTTACAATATTATTTTGTGTTATATAGTAACTGCTGTTACTAGGCAAATAAACAGAGATTTGAAGTATTGTCGTCTTTATTGACTTTTCTCTTGGCTCCCATTCACAGTCTGTTTTTCAGGACTGTCCTATTTGAGTTTAGTTACTGAGCACATGCTGCTGCCATCATCTGTATTTGTGTGTCTTCTTCCTCTTAGACTCTGTGACCTGAGTGACCTGGAATATCTCGACGAGGAGTTTCACCAGAGTTTGCAGTGGATGAAAGACAATGATATACACGATATCCTAGATCTCACATTTACTGTAAATGAAGAAGTTTTTGGACAGGTGTGCAAGATTATTAATTTCCTTGGTGTATTCTGCTGCTAGATAAAGATTTATTTGGATGGAAGAATGATTGTCCCTCCATGCTGCTTTGAACTTGTTTTTATAAAATCCCACTTGGTGAAACCGATGTTGAAATCTAAGGAGGAATTATTATTTGTAACTGGTCAAACGTGTTTTTCTGGTTAAGGAGATTTTCTGGAGAGTATCTGAAATATCAGACTTTAGGATTACTTTGCTAGAGGTAGTTTACCTGAAGTTAATTGGAGCAAAGTTGCCATTCATTATTTAGAAGGCTTCACTACTTTAGTTACTGTAAAGATTGTTTCTTTTTCTTAACTTATTCTTAATATTAATAGTGAAGGTTCCTAAGACCAAATGGGATTTAAAATATTAATTTTAAGAATATTTCTTGGTATGTTCTCCTATTTTACATATGCCAGTTTGCTAAAGTCAGATTTGGTTAACGATTTTGAGGAATTACATCAACTTAAAATTTAAAACTATTACAATTCCTTCTTTTGTCTTTATAATACTATGTTGTCACTTGGTCATTTTTTTTCCTAAGATCACAGAACGGGAACTAAAACCAGGAGGTGCCAACATCCCGGTCACTGAAAAGAACAAGAAGGAATACATAGAAAGAATGGTGAAATGGAGAATTGAGAGAGGAGTTGTACAACAAACAGAGAGTCTAGTTCGTGGTTTCTATGAGGTAAAAAGCTCCAAAATGAAATTTATTTTCTTTATCCTTCCAAAATATTTTTCTTCTCATGTACATTTCCAAGACTCAGAGTCCCAAATATAACCAGAAGTGTCCTTGCAGATATTGGAAGGGAGGGGGAGTTAAAAAAAATATTTTGTTATTGGTATAAACACTATGGTTATGAGTCTTCTTTACACTGGAAAATACTATTGATCACTCCTGGTATGATTAGCAGACAATACTTGCTTAAGTGACTCATTTCTTCTTAGGGTCTCTGAGGTTTTTTGCGTGCATGCCATAGTATAACACAGTTGGCAAAGTGTATTTCAAGATACTTCTCTCATACCTGTTTTAACTCAGACAATCAAAGTGAATGTCATGAACTTAGTTTGTCCTGAAATAATTTGATATTATTTGCCAATAAAATTTCCTCCCAGTCACTGTGATCTAATGCAACTAAGTGGAACTGCACTGTTAGAAAAACCAGTCCGTTTATTTGCACTTGAAAAGACAAAAACTGAATTCCATTACTTTGTGACAGAAATGATCCCTGGTAAATATCTTAGTAGCAGACTTTATGGGGAGGCAAAAATCAATAAATGAAGGAATGTCTCTATGCATTTTATTTCCTTTCACAGGTGGTTGATGCAAGGCTGGTGTCTGTGTTTGATGCCAGAGAACTGGAACTGGTTATAGCTGGAACAGCAGAAATTGACTTGAGTGATTGGAGAAATAATACAGAGTATAGAGGAGGTAACTTTAATTTTGACTTGTCACTGAGGGTGTTGTGGGGGCCTAGAACTCCCCACTTTCCAAAAGCGTGAAGAACCATCCCATGGGATATATTTTTAGTACCTTTTGAATTTCTCTGGTTAAATGAGTGTTAGGAGAAGGTAATTTTGTCCATTTGTTACATCCCCGTGCAGCTCTTCCCTTACTGTTCTGGTCTGGATGGCATGACAGAGCAGTCTTCTGCACAAGAAGTACTGTGCTCAGCTGCACACCAGGACAGTACCACCCAGACATGGGAGAGAAATGGAAATGATAACCATTCTTACTTGGATATTCCTCTTTTTTTTACATGCTCAAAGTCAACAGGAAATGAGAAGTAATCCCAGTGACTGCAGGCTGGCACTTGGGATAATTTGAGAACAATGGAAGATTTGGGAACTACTTTGAGAGACGGTTACAGCATCATTTGTAGCTTTAGATAGATAAATGATATTGTTTTGGAATATTTCAAGAACTGGCTTTGCTGTTAGTGACTGATTAATGGAAGAAATGGTTACAAAAGACGTTTCACTTCTTTTTGTCATAGCAAAATAATTCTCTGCCTTGAGGATTTTTAAGCATTTTAGGGGTATTTTTCTCTTACCTCCTGCCTTTTGATGCAGTTGGATTAAAAAATATGGCATTATTGTGACTAGGGCTGAACCAGGAAAAACTAACTATTCTCTCAACCACTTCTGTAGCACCTAAGGGTATAAAGGCTCTTGTTGTCTTAACAGGTTATCATGACAATCACATTGTAATTCGGTGGTTCTGGGCTGCTGTGGAAAGGTTCAACAATGAACAACGACTAAGACTTTTACAGGTAAGAAATGAGCTGATCTGTGTAGAAATAGTGTGCAGCATTGGAATTAGATGCTAAACTAGTCCCATCTAGGTTTATGACATCCAGGAAATTATGGTGATGCTGGCTAGTGGAAATAACCTGAGTCAGAGACTAAATGCAATAATTGTGACTGAAGCTCACAGCTATTTTTATAGATTTCTAAGTTAAAAAATAAGTTTAAGATGTCTGATGTCAATAATCTTTTACTATTGTTTGATTAAAAGTACCTCAAGACTTGTAAAGACAGAAAAGGAAAACTGTGTACAGCTTAGGAAGAACAAAACTGAGGTGGAAGTTCAAGTGCCTCAAATTAGAAAATAGTGATGAAAACCTTAACATCAATCCAATGCTGTTTTCACTAACTGAGCCTGCAGGATCCAGTCACTCTGCTGCTGGAGGACAAAAATGTCTTAATAGAGGAATATTTTTATTTGTGGGTTTACTATTGTGTTAATTTTCTTTAAATTCAGGTTAGGCTCATCATATCTGTAAAGAAACAGACAACACCCCACTGCAAAGTATGCCATGTTCATGATCTGTGATGAAATTCACTGTTTATAACTATTCAGAATTTGTATCTGATCATTGAATTACAAAGAATTTTCTTCTTTTGTCTAAGTATTTAAAAAAGCTCTGTAAAAGGCAGTGTGGGACATCTCGTTTGATGGAGAGCCAGAAATGTCTGTTTATATGTTCCTATCACATCTGTTAGTCAAAAGTCTTTATAATACCCAGACCATTAAAAATTAAGTAGCCTCTGATCTGTTGAAAACTAAGTTTCATCTGTTCATGGCAGGTTATAACTAAATCTGCTCACAGACAGGATTTCAGCAAATGTCAGTGGGCATTCTATCTAACCTTCAGAATTTAGATATTTTCTTACAGTATTTAATTGCAGTTTATAAAATCCACATAACCAAAAAGGCATAGCACGAAGCCATCAGACATTATTATTTTTTAGGAATTCCTTTTAATGCAGAATAAAGACAGTAGCAAAATCTCACTGAGATTTAAGTTTAAGTAACTTGATATTAATAGTGTGTTATTCTACAGTACTTATGTATCGTAATTGCTCTTTCAAAGAGAAACCTTTGGAGGAAATTAATCTGATAAGCTGCCTCTTCTGAAGCCCTATCAGGAAATGGTCTGTTTTCCCTTAGCCTCTATTTAACATAGCATTTACTGTGTGCCCCAAAAATTTCCTTCTTTTGCGAATGCTTTTCCATAAGCGTTTGGACTTGAGTAGATATGCTGCTTTAAATAAGTTTGTAACCCACGCCATCTGCGTAGCCAAAATCCGTGATGTTTGGTTTGTGCTGGCAGTTTGTGACAGGCACGTCCAGCATTCCTTACGAGGGATTTGCCTCTCTGCGGGGGAGCAATGGTCCAAGACGGTTCTGCGTGGAGAAGTGGGGGAAGATCACTGCTCTTCCAAGGTATTTACAGCAGTGGGTGTATCAATGTGAGAGATACCTCAGAGTATCTGTGACCAGGATAATAGATGAGCTGTTTGAGAGCCATTAACAAGGTTTAACTGAATACACTTTCCCCTAGTGTGAAAATTTCCTTCCCCGTTGTGTCTCATCCAGTATCTGATCCATCCGTTTTTGTTTGAACTCAGTTTTGTTCTCTTAAGATGGACAAGGCAGTGTAAATGTGGCTGACATCCATATTGCAGTGCTTTTCTAACAGAAAATTATATTAGAATGATAACTACTGAATTTTTTGTCACATTTGACTAAATGTACAAGTGTTCACTTAATGAACATGCAGTTTACCACTAAAGAGAAAAAATTAATATAAACTAAAATTAAATAGCACTTCTGACTGTGTCTGAGTGAAAGCTACTGTCATATTTTTGCATCAGACAGAGCCTTTATAGTATAGTGATATAATTTTTATGCTTGACCTGATATTGACTGTTAACAAATACTGAAGAGGTGAGCTGTGAATGCAGAAGAGGGAGGAGGGACTCATTTGACTTGAGAGGCAGCAGGAGGATCAAGAGAAGGTGAGGATTTCAAAGAGAACAAGTAGGATCTATTGAAATAGGTGAAGAGGGTAAAGGAACAGTATGAGAATCCAAGATACGAAAGCCCTTGCAGACAAGAGTTGTACAAGTTTTTAAGACAAGAGGCAGCTTTTAAATTGGATAATAGCAGGTTTGGAGGAGTAGGATAAGTAAGATTTTGAAATTGCTTTTCTAAATTTTCCATTTTGTAAAGAGTTGGGTTGTTATCAAAGGTCCGTGATAGCAATGCCAGGACTAGATTAATAACTTGTGAATGATGCAAAAAACATCTTCTAGCATAGATTCTTCATTGACAAAAAATTCTTGTCTTTTCTATATTGAGATCAGACTGATATGTTTCTGGAAGATTTCCTTTCATCCAGTTCTATAATTCTGTAGCCTCTAGAATGGATTAAGAGTGGTTATACACAGATTAGTGTGTGCAGTGTCAGAAACCTAACTCAGTCAGATCTCAGCTTTAATGTGCTGTGTACAGCTTGTGGAAGGAGCTTTGGATTGGGCTGATCCGTGGAGGAAACTCAACCCTAATCTTAACTGGCTCCTCATAAACAAGATTCCTCAGGAATAGCTTGGACTCAAAGTCTCATCTTAGACACAGGGAAGAGCTTCTCACAGTTCAGACACACAGAGAGTTTCTCAGACCAACAACCCATAGCTTTTTTCCTCCAGTGTAAGGTCAGAGGCAGAGATGTCTCTGGGGTTGGCTGCTGCCTCAGGGCTGCCATCTGAACCACATGGAGAAAGTCACGGATGCAGAAGTGATGCTGTGAAATCCACAGGCACAGCAGGTGGCCTTTAAACAAAGCCATCTTTCCAGTTCACACAGTACAAATGAAAGCCAGGTGACTGAGGATTAAAGAAACCAAATTCTGGAAATTGCTATTACAATTTGAATACTCTAATATCTTCTGGGGGGCCTAGTAGCACCTTGTAGCCCAGAAAATCTAGTTTATAGTTTGATGATGATTGACCTATGAACTAGATTTGATTCTGTTTAAAAAGGAAAAAGCTGTGATTTTTTTTTTTTAATAATTTCTGACTTCAGAATTCAAGGTTGTTTTTGTGAGTTCAAGTAAGAAAAGAGATTGCGTGAGTTTTTCCATATATTCTCAAATAATGGAATTCCTGGTGCTAACAAGCAGAGCCAGCAGAATGGAAAAGGTCAGGACCTGCCAGAACAGGATGCTCAGAATTTCCTCTGAAAAGGTTATGCAGAGCCCTGCTTGTAATAAACTGCAGAATAAAATGGTTCCTGTAGTGCAACACAGAGAATCTTTGCTACCATAGGGTGTTCATCAAGTGTAGGGGAAATGCCACCTCCTCACATTTGAGAGATTGTATCATGTCCTTGAAATTTCACTTGTGATTCCCTTGGTTAGGAAACATTTGATTTTTGTTGCTGTGGATAGTTTTAACATACAAATGTTAATGTTAAAATAAACCAGCAACACACTTCTTTTGCTAAAGTAAAAACAACTGTGCATGACAAACATCTACAGTTGTCATGAGCAAGCAATTCCTGGTATTCACATATGGGGAACCTGGATCTCATAAAAAAATAAAACACCTTACATGTTTATACTGAAATGGGTTAAGCCCTGAGCCGAAAGCACTGTTTGGATTTTTACCTATCTAGTTCCTGTGTGCAGTGCAGCTTCAGCCTGTGTCTCACCAGCTTCAAAGCCTCACTGTGCGAACAGTGGGTAGTACTGGCTCGAAGGTGAGGAATCGTTAGCAACGACCCAGAGTAGCAAACTTGCAAGAGGTTTCCAAACAAGCCCTGCGTGTGTAAACACATTGCTGTGTCTGCTGAGAATGCTGCCCCAGGACTCTGTGACTCTTACTGATTCTCAGATAGCTAAAGCATTTATGTTAAGGCACCATCACTGGCTCGTAGCAGTGTTGTACTCTGCAAATTGCCCTTTTGGCAGGAGTGCTTGTGGAATTTGATAATGCTTGGTGTGAGGATGGCAAAAGCTTAACAAGTCAGAGGACTTTGTTTCTCCCTCTGTTTCTAAGAACACTACTGCAATGGTGAAAACACGTAAGTGTACCCATCTCCGTCTCTTCTCCCTGATTTTGAGACCTAAAGGGCAACTTGTATAGTTACTTAGATATGTGATTGTGGTCAAAGCAGCTGTGAATATAAGCACAAAAGTTTTCATTAGATGTTTACCTAATTCCCCCTGTTCTGGCTGCTATGTAATCAGTTCTGCTGAATCAAAATGGTGAGATTTCTGTCGGGCACGTCAGGTTGCCTAGCTTGTATCACTGTCTTTTACACTAACAAGGGAGGGTGTAAAATGCCCTGACGAGATTGATTATTACAGGTCTAGCATAACTATTGCTACTTCTACTTCCTTCTTTTACAGTGTTGTAGATTAGACTAAATCAGGGGAGGGACTGTTACTCTTTCAATTCACACCCCTCCTGAGAAATTAGTTCCAAGTTCATTGTTGTACATTATATATACATATGCATGTGATGATTCACATGAAAATAGTTTTTATGTCTGACTACTCGATTTCAACCTTAAGTCACTCTATTTTACTATGGTAATCAAAATGAAAGGGAGATTAATTGGGAATCTAGGCTTTAGAAACCAAAGATGGTTTGAGATGCTGTTATAAAATGTGAGCCCAGGAAGATTAACAGTTAGTACCCGTGTGGTTTGAAATGCTGGAATGGGAAAATACTGTCCAGAAGGAGGAAAAACCTTTCTTCTCAAACTTCCAAAGTTGTTTGCTGGGGTTAGAAAAGCATGCATTGCCTCAGAAGACAAAGGTCTTGGTTATGTCTTTTTTAATTACTTGGTTTTCCAAAGTAAGCGACTGCATTTTCAAAATTGCCCTCAAAATTAAGATAAAACTTGGTTCTCTTAATAAATGTAAACAACATGCTGGCTTACTATTAAACCACTTAGTAACAAACTCTTGCTAATTATATACTGTGTCTTATAATTTGTGGTTTTACAGCCCACACAGCATGATCCATAGTTAATGAGTGGCTGTCAGGCCCATGCAGCAGCAGCATGTGGTTAATCTGTTAATTGCCTAAGACTCTTTCAACACTGAATTCAAGAGATCACTGAGTTCCATTTGCTGCTGGGCTTAAATCAGTTTCTTTCTTCAAAAGATAATATTTTCAATTTTTTTTTTTTTTTAAGGACTCAAATGTAAATGCAGTAATTTAAACTGTATGACAGATACTATTTTGCAAGGTTTTTGGAAAGGCAAGGAGTAAAATGAAAGGTTTCCCCCAGGAGCCTTAGAGAGATGGCTGGGTGGAGAAATTTTACCAGGCTCCTGGAATACCGGGTGGGGAAATGCCAACAGTGTACTTCTAAGAGTACTGTATTTGGGGAGGGTTCTTAATTCAATGTTTTTTTAAGTGATTGTATATTTGGTGTTTGGACTGTGTTTATAATCACAGAGTGGCCTTGTGTACTGTATATACACTTCTTCAGCCCAATATTTTTATGACACTACCAGGCTTTAACTCAGTGAGTGTTTCAGCTTCAGTGAGGGTTTGTAATGGACTCTTAGGGTTTTTAACAAGCGAGATTAACCCACTTCACTTCATGTTCCGTTTTCTTAGTTGGGAGCTGAGAGCCACTTAAAATGGCAGTAAGTGAATTTGCTCACATGGAAGGCAGCACTTCCTGGCTCAGAGAAAGTCTGCACAGGTCTGTGGTAGGCATTTGGATTTCTGGATTGGTTAGGTTAAATGAAGAGTCACATTTGCTGTGAGGAGGGAGCTTGTTCAGTCCTTTCATTAACATGCTACATATTTACACTCAATACAGATCATACTGATGAAGGGCAGGTCACTGCAGGAAGACTTTGGATTTCAGCTGTGTTGTATTTAAATAACTCCAGGATGTGTTTTATTGCAAAAGAATGAATTATTTGTAAATATAGACCTGCCAAAATACAAAAATGCCTAAAATTAGTCTCAAGTGCGACTTTGGTACAAAACTTTAGAGCAGAAAAGATGCCTCCTCCAACTTCTCTGCATCATTTGATCCTCAAGAACCCATCACATTCCTAGTTATGCTATCTATTTCATTAGAGCAGGGTCATCTACTCCAGTGTTTTAGAAAGTACAATCCTTAGCCTGCCCTGAGGTCAGGCAATGATATCCATTATTCTATTATGAAGAGAAACTTTGTTATCTCCCTTTCCATTCTCTGGAAGAGGTTTTGAGAGACAGTTCCAAGTGTGTCAACAAACTGAGAGGCAGATGGATTTCAAAAACTGAGAAATAAAGCACATGGTCACCCTCTTTAGAAAGCAGGGTTGTTGGTAGAGGTTCATGCACAGTTTTGTGTAATTACAAAAGTCATTGGATTGCAAGGCCAGGTATGTACATAAGGAAAATCAGCACAAGCAGTAATTTCCCAAGAACACGATGCCAAGGAAATTGTAGAAGTAAAAGCATCTAATTTGTCTGTACTTTACTACTTTGGGGTTGTTGCCTATATATCTGGAGATGTATGGAAATATCTTGTTTATTATTATAACTGCAGTATTCAAGTATCGCCACTACAGAAAAGAAATGCTGCTTCTCAGAAGGCACATTTAAAGCCAAGATTTCAGACCAGACTGTTGGAATTGAATGCTGTATCATTTTTTTTCTCATGCACATTTAATGGATAAAATTTATCCCATGCCTTTTGAGCTGTCAGTGTGTTTCTAAAGACCTTCATAAATGCTTCTTACTGGCTTATTTTAATGAGAAGAAAGTAGATTAACCCTTACTACCTGTTCATTTGGAAAACATCATTTGACAGAACACAGTCTTCTGAAAGAAATAACTATCTGCCCATCTCTGTGCAAGCACATACCAGTCTGTGTGTTCTCTTTTGAACTTTTTAAATAATGTACTTCTTCACCTCCTCTCTTTTTTTCCCCTCAGGGCTCACACTTGTTTCAATCGTCTGGACCTTCCCCCTTACCCATCATTCTCTATGTTATATGAAAAACTGTTGACAGCAGTTGAAGAGACAAGTACTTTTGGACTTGAGTGATACACAAACCACAGTGCCCAGCTCATTGGACTTTTGTGGATCTGTCTTCTCAAGGAATGAATGAACTTTTGTATCGGATTTCCTAGAGGAAAATTGTTTCATGGTGCAATTCAAATAATGAGGTTCCACGAAAGAGCAATTAAAAAGCGTTGTGGTAGTGGCAGAATTCTCTACAGTGAAACTAAAGTGTGCCTGATGTGCAGGGAAAACCAAGTCTTGCAATCCATGGTTTTTCCACACTTCTTTAATTTATGTTCTGAGCAAACAAGAAACGTGATGCCATGTTGTGATCAATCTGGCTACTGCAAAACCGACAGGTTCCCGAACACTGGATTTCATCAAAGTCATTGAATAGAAAATTCAAGTCAAAATGTGAAATCATTCAGCCCCTTATCTACCCAGTAAATTATAAAAAGAAAGCATAAAACTGAATTTTTTTTAATTTTTTTTTTTAAATTCATAAAGGTACATTACTTTATGCCATATTTTGTAAAAGCGTATCCAGCACTTGCTTTATCTTAGACTACGAGTGCCTGCATGGGGTGCACCACAGAGCTCAAGTTCCTGGGGCAGAAGTGAATTGGAAGGCAAGTCAGCAACAAAGGATGTAACAACGGCTTGCATTAAGGAGGTTTGTGGAAATGCGTTTGCCAGTGGTGTGTATGACAAAATATGAGCTGTTACAATGAACTTAATAACTTAATAAGACTGATTTTGTGCTTTATACTGCATGGAAACTATTTTAAGAAGAAACTAGCAATTTATCACATCATATCAGGAAAAAAACCCTAACACAATGACTTCTGTTTATTTTTATAGGTTCATTATATTATGTTTCTTAGAGTGTAAACAGGAACCAAGCAAACTAAAATGCTATTTCTGTTCTGTCACTTTCCATGCTTGAACAGACATTCAGCTAGTGTTTATTCTTTAAGCACTCTCAAGGGGAAAAAATGCCTTTTATTTTTATAAGAGTAAAAAAACTCCCGAAAATATTTTGCACTGAATGTACCAAAGTTGAAGGGACATTACGATCTGACTGATAGCAAACTGCATCACTATCAAGTATCTATAAAAACGCTTAGGAACCAGGCTTTCTTCACAGTGCCATGTCTATAGATATCAGGACTGTGCACTTAAGTAATAATTTTATAATACTGTATGTGATCTTGTAATATGCATTTATTTTAAATGCATCCGGGTCATTTTTCATGCATTGGATAACTTAATGCAGTGGAGTTTAATACAGATATTTCATATTCTCCCCACAAATTTTTATTTGTACAGCACCATAAAACACTAGCTCATTTGGAAAACCATGAGTAACCTACTTTAAGGTGAGCCACTGGTCATAATGCCACTGTCCTGTTATCAGTGAACACCTACAAGATGTAAACTGTTCGTAGTGTCCGAGCTTGCATTTTCACTGATAAATAGTTTTCTTATCAAATGTTATTTGAAACAGTTTTTATGGCATATCAAACACTGCATGGACACCGATTTCTTTATGCTTAATTTTGCTGAAATACACGAGGCTTGCTCGCATCTATTTTCGGTACTTTCCTCCAGATGGTCTTGTGGAACACTCGTGCAGCTGTGCGCCCTGTCTTGTACAGCTGCTGTCACGCAGCGCATCCCCACCACATTTTAAAATTCCAGAAGCTGCACTTGGATTCTGGATGACAAGAACACGAACCTGGCTTTGTGCTGGCCCTTTTGGTAGCACCGAAGCACAGCAAGCCCCGTCCTGTGGGAAAAGTGGCTTTTGAAGTAACGTTCTCACTTCGGAGACTCTTGAAAGGGCATCTCAGGGAGGTATCCTGCTTTGTTCTTGTGGGAGGTTCTTTCCAACAGATGGGAACATCTATGGAGATGTCGTCAGCAGGGACTGCCAGTCCACCCTCCAAGTCAGAAGGCAGGTGCAGCTGTGGTGGTGGCAGCAGAGACGAGAAAACCCTTCAGAATTAATGAAAATATGTTGCGCGTGCAAAGGAAAAGCAAAATCAGAGTGAAAGCATTCTTTTATTTCAAGAATAATTGAGCTTCTGCATGACATCTGGGACTCTCTTAAGTAACATAGCTTTTCTTACGCTACTTCTGGCTGATGTGAAGTAGCAAAGAAAAATCCAAACATGTCACCCTATTTCTACACATATATTTATCAGTCTTCACTAAGATTGCATGTCACAGATCCTAATGCACATCTTCTTTCAGAACATGAATGAGCAGTAGGCAAACTGACTTTTCATCAGGTCACTCCAGCATGGCTCATGTTTCATATGATCCATTCACTGAGTAGCTAAAACTCTGGCACTCGAAGCAGAATGATTGAAGGACTACAGAATTTTCATTTTACAATACTGTGTTATCTGTGGTCTAAAAAAGAGATTTCCCAGGTGGAAACTGTATCTACAAGTTTTGAACCAGATACTCTTTGGAATGAAAAGTTTAAATACTTGGCACAAAGTAAGTTTATACTAGTTTGCCTTTTAAGTTATGCTTTTGTACAAAACTAAAACAATAAATGCATCTTGTCGATTTTTATTTAAATATATCTACTGCACCCATTTGTTCTGTATTTATGCATGAAAAAATAATTTAAATTAGCCATGATGATCTGGTATTCTGTAAAGATGTGACGGGGTCACCAGTGGGGCAGCTGTCGGAAAACAGATAAATTTAAAAAAATCCAGAATCTTTGTAGCACTGAACCCAAGAGAGACTAAGGAGAAGCTGCTGCTTCTTCCTCTGCTGCCAGCATCACCTGGGGTACTCCAGAAAAAAGCTGTTTGAAAGTTGAGGTGTTAGTTGCCTGGATACAGCTGCCTGTGGTGCCTTGAGCCCTTGGCTGGCTCTCTGTGATGGTATAAGTGATGTTGGTGCCCTGAAGAGATTAGCAAGGAGGGAGTATAGGAAAGGAAGCCTGAGCTTTGTCGAACACCCACATCTCCTGGCAACTACTTGAAATTTTCTCTCTTTGGTGTTGGAAGCCATCTCCTGTTTAAATGTGTCCCAAGTGAAAGCCAACTTGAATGTCCTGCAGCTGACTGCAACAGCTGACCATGATGCTTTCACTTATGACATGCTGTGTGGCAGGAACAAGAGTCCAGATAGAGGAGGACTTGAGAATCCTATCTGGAAGCTCTGCATCTCCTCAGAGCCTTTCCAGATGGTGCAAAGGAGCTTTTAATTTAGGAAGAAAAAAAGCCAGTCAACCTGAAGTAGACTCTTCAGCTAGAGTGATGACAGCTCGTCCTAACTTAACCTGCAGCATCTCCATCAGACAGAGTCTGGCGGGGGAGGTCCCTGCAAGAATTTAAGTGAGGTGCCCATGTTTCCTGCTCTGCTGGCAGGTGGAGCCACTCATCACCAACTAAAAGGCAGCTCGCAGGTCAGTGCAGCTCTCCCAGCCAGGCTCTCAGCAGAGTGGCCTCTGTCCCTGGAACCCTAAGGTCAGATCCACCTCTTTCCTGGTCCCACATCCCAGCTTAGCAGAGGTGCACTTTGCTCACCTGGTACTGCTAGCAGTCACTTTAACCATTGCACTCTTAAATACACCAGAAAAGGTGTATTCACCTTTCACTTGTAATCAGTGAAATTGCTCAGTGTGGCACCTCCTGTAACAAGCAGTCACCCGTTCAAGGTCTGCAAGCCAGACAAGGACAGTGGTGCTTTCTCCCGCAGCAGGCAGGAGACAGTTGCTGTCACACCATCAGCAGCACCTGGCAGGGTAAGATGGGAAAGCCTTTCAACCCAGACTCTGTTCCCCACGCCCTGCCTGCTGTTTTACCTTCATATCCACCAGATAATTGCCTTTTTGCTTTCAAACATATTGTTTATTATCCTTGTGCTGAACTTACCATAAAAATTGTTAATATGGCTTAGAGAGTAACTGGGGTGAAATCTGTGTGTGCACACCGGCCTGCTGGGCACCACATGAACTCCACTTTGCAGCAGCTGACCCTAGGTCACACAGGGTACAGGGAATATATGTAATCTTTGGGGAAACTGAAAATCTAGGCAGCAGCATGCTGGCAGGACATCAGACAAAGCTTCTGACGTGAGTTAAACTGGCAAAGCACCAGACTGGTAGTTTGCTCTGTTTAAAATTATAGGAAAGAGAAGAGTTTTGTGGTTGCTTGTCTATTTTTAATCCTTTAAAAAAAGGAGGAAAAAAAAAGGGGGGGGGGAATTCTTTCTGAAGCATTCACAAGGTATCATCTGGTTTTTAAATGTAATCTCAGCAGTATTAATTGCAGATGTTTACTGACTTTCTTCAGTGGTAGCTGCAGAATTTTGTGGAGATACTTGAAGCACACTGTCTCTGGACTGAGGGAATTCCTATTCACAAAAGGGGAATCTGCAGCAGCTGTGTTTGAATAGCCAGTGTAAGTTCAATTCCCAAAGCATAAAGCAAGTTACTTCTTTTCAGCAAATGAAATTTATCTGCATTAAATTATACAGCAGTTTTGTTTTTCCTGCCACTGTTTTTATGTGGAGGGTTAATTTATTCCTGTTTTTAGTAAGAGGAACTGAGCAGACATTTGGTCTTCAGTCATAAGACTGCAGACATAGCTTTGTGATAATACTCAGCCATCACTGCTCTTTCCCCTTCTCATCCTTTCCTCTCTGGGCAAGCAAATTGAACTCCAAGCAAAATTTGAGAAGAATTACTCAAACCTGGCTTCTTAAACTGTTTGCATTTTGGCTCAGTTATGTGGTACGAAACAGAACTGCAGAAATGTTATGGGTTGACTCACTCATCAACGGCAAGTAAAAAATTCTTTGTAGTTTTGTTAGCACAACCAGAGTGGCTGCTCTTGGACTAGTCTGATTTTTTGCCTAAATATTTTACAATACAAGAGAATGTAGGAGGTTGGATTTGAAATTACTTGTTTGCTGGAGGATAAACATATGTTAGGTAAATAGAGGAGGAAAAGAACTTTATTGTAAAGCCACTACAATCCATTTTTGTTAGCAGTGTGCAAAATTATAAAGCTGACCATCCAAACACAGAATTTTCACAAGGAAAGATGGTTTATATTTTGCACCTCTTTCAAATAGGCAGTAAGCTTCATAGTCCTTCTGTTCAATTTTAGATTGACTAATTTTGGCACTAGACTACTACTATTTAGGATGTTCAAAGCTATGAAGTTTTTTTATTTAAACACTTCTGGTATTTTCAAAAGTAATTTTATGGAAAGAAAGGTATTTTTCAGGTTGAAACTTCTTTTAGGGCTTTACTTCATCGGCTTTGCTCAGAACCATGTTATGCCATAGGTATTTTAAGGCAAAACCATTATTTGGGAGTTCTGTTTTGTATAACTGACATGAAGACTTTTTCTCCACTTCTTAGGAAGGCTCCTCCTGACTGTAAGTAAAAGGATGACAGTCAAAGACTCCTCTGGAATGGTTACAATCCATTGAGTGTCTGTATGTATTCAAAGTGCATCTAAAAAACCCTCCTAAGGAGTACATGAAATAATTACTACACTCATTAATTAGCCCCCCTTCTAAATCAAAATTTCAAATTTTGAGCTTGTTTCCTTTCAGATTACATTGCAGAATAATTATAATAATAAAATTTATATTATAATAATAACATTTTAACTAGAGAGGTATTCTAACAAATTTCTTAAAGTTATGGTGAATGCAAAAGGCAGCTAAGCTATGCTGCTCCCCTTCCTCCTGTTAAAAAACTTTTGAATAATGAAACTCATCTTTCCTTTTTCAGTTGTTTCTTTTTTTAGAACTTTCAGAAGAAGCTTCTCATTCAACCCCTTCTAGAATAAGCCTTGTCTTCTTAGAGGGCTTTTGTTAAGCACTCAGGAGGTATATTGTTCAACTAATTTAACATACTTTTGTGCTGACATCAGTGTAATTAGCTTTTAAATGTATAGACCTACAGAACTCCACAGGACTCTGGTCTCCTTTATTCTGGGCTGCCTTCCAAAGGCCATCCTTCCTCTCCCTTTTGATTGCCCATAATCCTACAAACACCCAGAGACAATTGCTGACCACCTACGCTGACCAAAGCTGTAGTATCAGAATAAGACTGTGGGTTTGTTTATTTTTCAAAGCAGCTTCCTTCAGTCCGGAGTTGATAGGATCACCGTTACTCTGACACCCAGATCAAGCGGTTACAGAAAATTACTCATAAAAGATTTTTGGAAAACAGTTGAATAGGTATCCAAGGGTAAAATGTCCCTTGATTTTGGTTTTGCAAAATTAACGAGGAAGGAGATTTTTCTTTTAATATTTTATGTTGGCAGAATCTGTGATGCCCTTGGGCTGCTTCAGGCTGTTGGCTAGGTGGGTGCATAGCCCGTGCAGTGAGGCAGGTGAGTGCTGATCCAGAAATCACAGCAGCAGAGATTTATTACCTTAGTGAGGACTGCACCTTCCACAGCTGAACACTTTGTCATACAGCCCTTGAATGAGATTGTTCCAAAAGCTTGTTCCAATCAGCGATGCTTGCTAATTGCAATACAAGCAGCTCACAACATGCTCCGCTGCCTATTCAACATCTTTCATTTTAAGTGAGAATTACAATTTTTATAATTAGAAATACTCATCTAGCAGTATAAGGTCAATAAAAGAAGATTTTGCTGAGACATCATATTTGATTGCTGTGCTGACTGCAGCCAGACATTGGAGCTGAGTAATTTTCAAGTAGATTACTGTATGAATAAGCAAATAAATCTCTGAAGCCTCATAAGTAATTCTGAGGAAGGAATGTAATTGCAGGTCTTGTAATGATAAGATAGGGCAGTTCCATGCAGCACACAGAGCATACAAGATGCAGCCATGGAACCAGTGGTAGAGTGAAGATAAGTCTGGAGGAGTAGGGACAGAAATAGGACTGCACTTTGCAAATAGGGAGCTGGACAGCGAGCTGTGAATGATCACTGGGCATACAAAAGGGGATACTTTTGTTTGAAAATAAGGATATGATAGTGCACTTACAGAAAAATTACTACTCATCCTGAAATACATGAGTGTTACTGCAATTGCAAGATGTGCTTTACCTAATGATTAGGTTTTGAAAATCGAAATTACACAATCAAAAAAATTACTTCTAATTGCATTTTTTCTTGCTGTATTGGGTCTGGGTTTTTTTTTTTAATTTGGGTTATTTTCAGGAAAATGAAGGCTTTAAATAAAATAAGGGTGGTGTCTGGAAGTCCTCTTTAGTTTTGTTAGTACAAATAATGACTGTTTATTGCTATCTGCATTTGGCAAGAGAAATAACATCTGATAAGAAGTTAAATCAATACAACCAATGGTCACATTCCTTTAAATTGTGATGGGCCAAATCCCTAATACTTAGATGTGTTGAAATGCAGATTTTTTTTTTTCCTTAGGTGCTTGGGGTTGGTGTTATGGTTGTGTAAGAGCCATGCATTTCCACAAAGACAGAGATTGATATGCCATTTCTAAAGCTTACTTAAGGTAATTAAAATATTCTCAGTGACCTAGTTAGCCTTAGCCAAGCTGATGCAAGTGTTGACTCCATTCACCCTCTAATGACATTATCAGAAAAAAATATTGTGTAAGAGGGTAGGAAGACTTCAGGATGGGGTTCTTTACCTAAAAGCTGAGCTGGCTCTTTACCTAAAAGACAAGAACTATTGGATGTGTCAGTATAAGAGTCAAAAGAAGAATTCCTTGTGAGTTTTCTTCTCCAACACGGTAACTGAGATGGTAAGAATTGATACAAACTTGAGGTCCTAAATGAGAAGACAACTAGTCCATTGAACCATAATGGTTCAATAGTTCCATACAGCAGGACATGTTTCTGCAATGAGTCTGCAACACTCAGGAGACTGCTGTTTATTATCAGCATTGCAGGGAGAGGAAGAATTCTAAGAATATTAAGTACATAAATCATATTAGGAGGATGCTTTTTCTTTGTAATCTGTTTTTCCTTGGAATGACATAGCCTTGAGGGCATCCGTGAACCCTGATCAGAAAGGCTGCTTTTTGTATAAGTTACCGAACATTTGTACTCGTAAGGGCTGGTACAGTATGGAAAGGGAGAACTCTAGAGAGCAAGAAGGTGATGAGGGATGTGGTGTGGAATACTGCTACCCCCAAGTCAGCTGATATTCCTGCCCTGACTAGGCTACTGTTTGGTTTATTCAGCATGTTTGAAAGTGCATATGGTTTTACAAGCTTTTGTAGTGGGGATGCAGGCATCCAGAATCTAACAGGTATATAGGTGCATCTCCCTCATTTTTGACAATTACTTGATATAATTTTATAACAAGTTCTTTGTTTTTAAAGAATTTCAGGCACTGAGAATACAGAGTGCGTATTTATTTCTAAGCTTTAAGTAGAACACGGTGTATTTTTTAATCCTTTCCATACTTTTCAGTTAAGTGTTCACAAGACTGTATATCAAATACAATACCAAGTTTTTCTATCTTTCTACAAGCCAATTTAAGTTTCATCTGAATTTGGTATATGTCTTTCACGAAACACTAAATGGGGAATATGTGCTTCAAGCATTAAGATGGTCTATGTCCTTTTCTCCATTTACATTGCATCACATTTCACTTTTTTTTTTTTCTTTGAGGCAGAGAGAACAGTTAGAAAATGTGTTGAGTGTGTTACAGGGGCACACAATGTGTTTCATTGTGCCTGGCTTCAAGGAATGTACTATAATGTTTGACTGCTCACAGATTTACATAATTTGAATACAGGACTGTTGTGTTGTATTTCCTGTTACTCAAAAACATTTGGGGAAAAGATTTTTCTGTGTATAATTTTATTTTCATACTGATCTCTATTTTGTTTAAGACCATGTTTCATCATGAAATCACTTAATTAAAATAAATCTTCTTACAAAATCCACTTTGGAAATAACTTCTTTTATTGTGCCTCTGAATATACCGTAACATCATTTTTTAAATGATGTTATCTTTATCTTTATGTCATTCTATGCCATTTGCAGCATTTCAAAACTTTTAGAGGAACCCCAAGATATTCTTTGTGACATCACCTTCTCTAAGTCCTATCTGTTGGCCTGTGGAGTCTGGCATATTACAAATCATCATTTTGGAAGGGGAGAAAGTAAGGATTCTGCAGTTATATGCAACATTATTCGAATAAGAACAACATATGAAAAAAAAACCACCTATGACAAATGAACAAAGCATTAGATGTCACAGGTAACACGTTGGAGAGGCCCGGGCTTTGTGTAAGAGGCTCTGCTTTTGACTGGAGCATCAGTGGCTGTAACACAGGAAAGCACTTATTTTCACAGGGAAATATCTTCAGGGAAAAACGCATTTTTCTGTCTTGAATAAAAGTCAGTGCTCCCCCCCACCCACCCAGCCAAGATTTCCTTCTACTTTTCTAACAGATAATACTAGTTCTGGTAGGAGATAGTGGTCTTGCATCAGCACTTAGGCAAGGGTACTCCCCACCAAGACACAGGAGAATGGTGAAATGGCAAGTTGTCACTTCTCTTTTGTGTTATGTAAAGTCTTTGTAGAATCTGACAGTTAAGTGATATTTCTATTAATTTAATCTTTTTCTAGAAGGTAAATTTGCATTCTTTTGCTGGTACCAAAGCTGTGAAGCACACTAACCTAAATCACTGAAGAAGAGCTGCTGTGGGAAGAGGTCAGGCTTTGTGAGTGGAGCCCTTTCAGAATCTATTCTCTGTTGTCATTCTTGATGTTAGACTCATATTTTCATCCAGGTCACCGGTAAATGACACCAGGTATTGCACAACTGCTCACTTTCCTCTCAGTATAAACACTGGAGCTGGTATGGAGCTCATGCTGAAATCCAGAGACTTTGCCCACTGGATTGAGGATTGCCTTTCGTGAGAAGGTGGTGCAGAGATTGTGGTACAGGTAAAAAAAAAAAAAAAAAAAAAAAGTCAGATTTTTTTTTAAATTACCTTTATTAAAAAAGAATATGATAATTCTTTTTGGATAAGGGTATTCATTGATTAGGTCACGTCCAGAACTGGCTATTGCAAATATGGCAGGATGTGTTGTGCTGATTCTGAGGGGGCTGTGGCAAAACATCGTTCTGTGCTTTACTTCCTGTTTTAGCTTGGAATTTGGTATCAGAGAGGTTGCTTCACCTAACAGTGCTCTGGTAGATATCTGAGGCATGGGTAATATCTGTAGGGTGGTGTTGGTTATTTTATCCCCACAGAGTGAGAGAAACATTTGATAAGCACAGGAGTACCCCCCCAAGACAAGCTGCTTTATGTCATGATCTGAGATGCACTGAATCAGCCCATTTTTCAGCTGGCCTGCCACACTCTGTGCACTGTTTTGGCCTGCCAATTCCATGTTCTTTCCTCAAGCAAACAGCTCTGGCTACTTTGCACAACAGCGATCACCCACTTTTCAGGCAGATTTGCCCACGCTTCTTGAAGGCTGCAGTAGTAGAGACAACATGTAGAAGATGATGTGTATCTTTTCCCCATGAGTTTTGACTACAGGATGCTGGAGATGCTCAGGTAAGCCGTTGTTTTGCACGTGATGTTGTGTTACTTAAGCACTCACTGTGCTGTGGAAGGGCTGTGCTGCAAAGAAGCTTAAAAGCTTGCTGGAGTTACTCTTTTGCCTCATGTTTTTTGAGGCCTTTTTTGGTGCCACAGTTCAGGGTGTTGTCTTGTCAAAAGAAGTTACCACAAACGAGCTGGAGGAGGCGGATCAGACATTGCCAGCTTCCAGCTATGTGGCTCTTAAAGTTGTCTGCTTGTCCCCCACCCCCGTGGCAGAGTTACCTGCTGGGAAGGGTGGGTTGCCACCTATTCACTCTGTCAACCTTGTGGCAGATCTGAGTTGAAATCAGCACTCCTTGAGGGAGCAGAGCTTTTTCCATAAAGCCAGCTCCCTAAAACACCCGTGGCTCTGACTGACGTGAGCTGTACATCACAGCTTTGCCAGATGGATAACTGATCAAGGAGAAATTGTTATTTTCATGAAAGCCTCTAAAGACTCTAAAAAGCCAGGTTTGTAATGGGGTAGGTGATCAAGGTAAGCAAGAGAAGACGTAACTAAGAATGGGAATTATGAAGCTAACACCTTTAATTGCTAATTTTTAATTATCCCAAAGACCAGGTGCATACATTAGGAATAATAACAGTTCATGATCCTGTACTATTGTGACCTTCAGCCTACCATTCCCCCTTCTCCACCCCTTGTTTGTCATTCTCAGTTGTGGTGTATCTAAGTAAAATTCCAAAGTCCTCAGGGTGGAGTCCTGTCAATTATACCCTTCTCTAAGTGCCATTCATGTTTCTATGGCATTATATAAACAGATAACCAAGACTACAATAACATGCATGTCATGAAGCATTTTTGGCATCTACTTGGTTCTCAAAACTTCAAGGGAGAGTAGAGCAAATCTTGAAAAGGATCGGTAAAAGGCACACAAGCAGCTAAGGAGACAAACATAAGCACTGTCATTTAATTCTTGGCACCACCTGCTATAATAACCTAAAACATCTTAATTGTGGTCATCATTTAGTTTTGTGGATCATTCGGTATGTTCAGAATGCTGCTTTTCATACTGCACAAAGAGCACTCCTCAACAAAACCAATCTTGTCCATGTGTTGTATTTTGACAGATGGATTTAAGATCGTGTTATAATGAAGAAAAGGTGCGATCTCAAAGTCTGCAGGGTTCGAGTCATGTTGTGGAACTCTGTGGGAGACAGTAAAGATTTTACACTGATTTTATCAAAAATACCCACAGCTCAAAGTGCTAAAAATCTAGATGGAAGTTCAAGCGAGCAGAAGTTACACTTGAAAGGCAGCTCTTAGTAGGTATACTTGTTTCAGCTACATGGCATAACATATTCTGAACTCTTCAAGAATAGTTTCTGCTTTCTCAAACTGCATATTTTATCTTCATTTATACTACTTTCATCTTCATGCAAGCTGTGACAATGTGACTTACGTACTTTACTCACCATTAACATAGCAATTACGCATTTCACTGGCAGTGCCATGGCATAAACAAAATTAACCCAGTACCTCTAATGGTGCACTGCTGAAATGAAATACAGAACTCTTAAACTCTTATGCTACATTACTATTACTGCCTTCATGACAAATCTATTATAAAACGGATGTTTGCAAATTTCTAGAGCAGCTGGTTGGATTGCTTCAGAGAAAATCAATTTGACAAACAAATTGCAGCTATTTTAGAACTCTTTCTAACTTATTTCTAAACGACGCTCTGGGCTATTTTGAATCCTCAGAAAGGGTCTTTGAAACTACAAGTTAAAGTCTTTTAACTTTTTTTTCTTCTGGGCTCCTTGAAGCACGATGCTCTGAAGACGCAGTTTACCACTTCTATCTATGCACGAAACTGCCAAGCAGGTCTCCGTGCGAGACGTGTACTTGTGTAAAAGCGCTGAAAAGCGCTCTGCTCCCTGCAGATGTCGGTGCGCAGCGGTTTCCCGGGGTGTTTTCAGCCGGGCTCAGCCAGCGCTGCGGCCGCCCGAGACCTCGCCGGCTGCGCCATGAGCCGAACCGCGATCGACCAGGCCGGGGAGCGCACACGGCGGAGCCGCCGCGGCCGGGAGGGCTCCGGTACAGCCCCGCACCCCGACGGAGCGGAAACGCTGCAGACGCGGCCCCGCGTCCCGCGGCTCCGGGATGGGACGGCGACCCGCGGGCGCACCAAGGGGGCCGTCCCACCGCGGTGCCCGGGGCTCTGCGGGGCCCGCGGCTCTGAGGGGCCCGCGGCTCTGAGGGGCCCGCGGCTCTGAGGTGCCCGGGGCTCTGAGGGGCCCGCGGCTCTGCGGTGCCCGGGGCTCTGAGGGGCCCGCGGCTCTGAGGGGACGCCACACCTGCCGCGCCGGCTGCGGCGGGGGGAGGGGGCAGCCGGCAGGGGGCGCTCCCCGTCCCCGGGGGCCGCTCCCGCCAATCGCGGGGCCGCCGGGCGCGCGCGGCCGGGCGCGGATTGGCCGCTCGGCGGGGTGGGCGGGGCGGGGCCGGGCGCGCGCGCGGCCGGGAGGGCCGCGCCCCGCGAGCTGCGCGTTTCAAACGCCGGGAGTGACCGAGGGAGCGGGAAGGGAAGAGAAGGGCGGCGGGAGCGGGACCGGCGAGCGAAGAGCGGTGAGTGAATGTGAGTGTGTGTGTGTGTGTGTGTGTGTGTGTGTGTCCGAGCGGGGCTGCCTCCCCAGCCCGGTGCCGGGTCCCGCCGGTGCGCCCCTGCCCTCCCCGCGGGGCTGCCCGTGAGAGCGGTCGGGGCTGTACCGCGGGCACCGGCCCCGGTCCCGCCCCCGCGGCCGTCCCTGGTGCTTCGCTGCCGAACGCCTCTGCCCCGGCCCGGAGCGGGGGCTTGACTTCTTCGGCAGTGGTTAAATGAGGTGATTTTTTTTTTTTTTCTTCTGTAGTTTAGTGGGAAGTTTTCTTTTTAATGAGAATCTTTTTAATAAGAATCTTGCAGGTTTCTGTAAGAGCCACGTTTCTGATGTCTGGTACATACCGGTGCAATGTGTAACAACATAGGTATCACCTTTAATTTTGGAAATAGTTAATGTTTCAGAGTTAGTGCCTTCTTTTATCCCGTAGATAACTGGATCTCATGTGGGTTTCTGCCTGCTATGAATATATGTTTTTTTGCTGCTCTTGGTGATACCGAGCCAAAAAAAGGAGAGATGTGGTGTCTTACCGGACAAAGTCAGTGCAACATAAGGGAAAAGTTCTCCTTAATAGTTGCTCTGTAAGAAGGAGGATATAAAAAGTTAAGGTTTACATAATATACCTGATAATGGTAATAAACTCATAATGGTAAGCTCTTAATCAATTAGGTGAGTTATCTAATACAAATATTTTTGTGCTGAAGTACTGCAGTAAGGAGATAACTTTTAACTGTTCAAGTGTATCTGGTGAGCACGGCCCTAGGGAGAGTCATGTAAGGTTTCAGACATCAGAATCAGCCACTTCAGTGATCAACTGTCGTATAACTGGGGGAAAAGGAACACATATTTGTTACAAAGTGATTCAAAAGACTTGTGTATTAGATTGTATTGTTGCCTCTTGATAATTTTTAAAGAAGCTATTTGATGCTTATGAAAGGACACTTCGAAGATATTTTTAAACTATGTAGTTTGGGTCTTTTTCCTGCTAAAGCCTATATAATGCTTTGAGCCCAAAATTGTGCCAATATGAACATCCGTGTTCCAAGAATGGGAATGTGAACAATGCTGGATGGGCAGTGGATTATATTTGAATCATAACTAGTTCAAGTGCTCCCCCAGAAGTTTCTGATAGTGCAGTTCTGTCATTTGAAAAATGAAAGTGTATTTTTGTGAGTTTGCTAACTGTCCCTAAACTGTAATTTGCCTTGTGGTTGTTTTTTTTTTTTCATTGCTAACAAAGGCAAACCCACTCTTTAACTTAACAGAAGTTGTACCTGATGGCTTTTTTTATCCTCTTTCTACCTTGTTTTGCATTTTACCTGAAAAGGTGCTTCAGGCTTATAAACGTGAATGACAAAATCTAGTATTTTTATGGGTTGTTTTTTTTTTTTTTTTAAACAGTAGTAGACTTAATGTGGGTGGATGTATCTTCATAATGTGCTGTTCTACTGGTTTATTAAGATAATTTAATCAGGATTACTGCATCATTTGATTCTAAATGATCTGAACTTGCAAAGAGAACATTGTCCATTCATGCTGCTTTCTGACAATTAACCTGGCCTTAAAAATGAAACTTAGATGAGCTATGAATGAGTCTAATAAGAAATGTGAATCTTCCCACTTCAAAAAAAACCACCTTTGTCCTGTTGTTACCTATTCCTTCTATGTTGCAGTCAACAAACAGGAAGGAGTTTTGGTCAATTTCCACAGGAATACCAGTTAGAAGTGCAAACTTAAAGGAGCTACTGAAATTTACCTGGAATCCAAAGAAGAGTTAAAGCTTATTTTCAAGGAAGATTAAAAAGAAGTTACATATCATTAATAGTTAAGTAGTTATTAGCATTTTTATTAGAATTGAAGCCTATCCCTAGTGTGTTACAGATATGCTCCAGGGGAAAAAAAAACCCAACTTATCTCAAATGTTTGATTATTAAATTAACATGTCTTGATTACTATTCCTTTCAGGTTTTATTTTTACAGTGAATAAGTGTGTTGTTTTCAGGTAACAATGAAGTTACAGCTCTTCTAGTTTTATAGACCTAAACTCTAATATTTGTATACTTTCCTGTGCTGTAATTATGGAATTTCCAAAACTCTTAATTGTTTTGCTTTAGCAGGTGACTGGTAGAAGGGAGACACCTGTCCTTGACAATGTCAAGAAGAAAGCTGGAAAATAAAAGCCTTTCTGGCTTGTTGGACACACCTCTGCACACAACAATCAAGACAGAGAATTTCCACAATTTTTATACCCTTGAATCGAAACAGCTAGGAAGGTAAGATTGTTCCTATGCCTTTTCTTTTAACAGGAGGAATTTCTGCTGCGGGAGAATTCTTTGCACAGTGATAGAATTTTTCTGGCAAACTTTTATAGTAGTAAATGGAGAATGAAGTGTCCTTCCCAGTCCCCTTCTTTGCAGCATCCAATGGGTTCTCTAGGAACCAGGAAAAAAGGTACAGTGAGACACAAGTTGCCAGCCTCTTCCACATCAGAGAGATGTTTTCACAGGCATGTAGATTTGAGATTATCTTCCTTTTCTTGCATTTCCCCTGTCTAGTCACACATCAGATTCCAGGTACATGGACTGAAGAGGAGATGATATAGACTGATGTAGACAAAGAATGGGGATTTTGAGTTGGCTGATCCAGTTGTTTGGATGAATTTTCTGAAGCCCATAAAACCTTTTCTCTCCCCACCCTCAAGCAATTTCGAAAAACCTGCAGTTTCAAGAATAGCTTTGCAGCCTTCTTCCCTTGCTCACGTTTGCAACAGTAAAATAGGAAATAACAAAAAACCTCAGACTCTTGGTATTTGTGATACTGTTTCAGACGTAGGAGTGAATGTGTTTTTTGAAATCACTGTGTTAGTTCACATCCTGAAGATATTGGGTGAATTGGGTGTAAAGCCATGCAAACACAATGCCATGGTCGTGTGTCCAAGCTCCTTGGAACAGAGCTGGCACAGGTCAGTCCCACAGTTGTGCTTTGCTGGGCTACACAGCAACCCTTTTGCACTGCAGCTTGTTCTGTCAGCAGAGATGTTCTTCTGGATGTGGTTTTGTAAGCTCTTTAACCTTCATTGTCCTCTTGGGTTTTTTTCTGTTTTTCTAGTGTGTGCTTTATCTGGTAGACTTCCACAGAAGTGCACATTGCAGCCCGTAACTCTCCTCTTCTCTTAGCTATTGTCAGCTCTGCTTTTGAATTCTGGGCTCTGCAGAAGCAGTTGATATGCACCGTCCTCTAGAACTCCAGTATTGTTAGAAGGCTGGGTTTTGTTGTACATACTTGTGAGATGACGTCTAAACCAAACAAAACTATAGATTTTCTGTGGATTCCAGAGCACTGGATTCTTTAACACTTTGTTGCATGCTAAACCATCTTTTGATGTTTCCCAGCCTGTGTGTATGTTTTTTAATGTTTTCAGTGTATAAATGCTTCTTAAGTGATGTAAAAATCCATCTTTCTTTGGAGCCTGTCTAGAAGATTCAATATGCTTTTTTTTTTTTTTCCACTTGCAATTTTCTTCTTCCTCTTCAGATTATGTAGTAAATAGTTCTTTTGTTCTCTGCTTAAGCTTCCCAAGTCCCATTTCTTCCTCCCACACCCTTATCTGCCAGGTCCTTTGGTATTTAAGACACTGACTCACGAAGCTGGCAGGTTGGGTTTTCTTCAGTAGATTAAGTAGTTTTGTCCCTGGTGTGTGCATGGCTTGGCTTCTTCTGAAGCTGTTAAATATCTGTGGTTCATAACTTGAGATATGAAAGCATCTTGAAATCAGTTTTTCTTGTAAAACTGGGCTGTAAAGAGCGGTGGTTACGCAGCTGCTTTGCAGGCAGCAGGGAGTGGGAACTACTCTGCTTGCTTCGGTGCAGCACTTCCGACCTGACTTCTTTGCATTTCTGGGGCAATTTCCACTGCTCTAAAAGGCTTATTTTGTCTTAATTTTGTCTTAATTGGCGCACTGCAAATAGAGTATAAACAAGTGGAAATTCTTGCATCATCAATCTGGAGATGCCACTGACCCTTCAAAGCTGTTAAACCCGCAGCAGTCAGGAGATATATGGGCCAAAACTATCAGGGAAGATCTTACTGTTCTCATGAAACTCAACCAGTTCCCCTTTGGTAATTTTAGAGAAATTTCTGTGGTTGACAGGGTGATGTGATGTTAAAACAAGAATGTAAGCTGGGCCAGGGAGTATTTTCAACTTTGGTGTATTATGAAATTCATCTCAGTAACTTAAAATGTTCTGCAATAATTAGCTGGTTTAACAATTGGGAAAGAACCTGGCAATTTCAGGCTTACAAATATTGCTAAAATGAAGAGTGTGCATGTGCCAGACTGTAAATAACTTTCACCACTTAAATTAGTTTTTCCTTTGAGTTTTTTACCCTTACTTTTCTAAATCTAGTGCTTAAAAAAAAGGACAGAGAAATCCTACAACCAATTTATGTAGGAATAAATGATGACAGAGAAGCTGTATGTTGAATTTATTTCTAAGTAAGTTATAGTAGTATGATTGGAGGTCAGCTTTACATGTTTAATAATACAGGTTTGTGCAGACTACTTAATATCTGGGTTTTTGGAAAGGAAACCTTTTTCATGAGATGCTCATACCTTTTTTGATTAAATAGTGAAATCTGGATTTTTTTTCAAAAAAGCCTTGGACATGCCCATTTTTTTTCTTTTTTGGGAAATGTTCCTTTTGAACCTTGGGGCTTTTACATCAGGAAAAAGGCAAAGCAGGGCAATGTAGTATTTTCTACTAAAGCAGCTAATTTAGTTAAAAAACCCCTGCAGCTCGAATAACTCATACTGAGCTGTTCGATTAAGTTTGTTCTTAGTATGCTGTGGTAACAAAAATATGGGTGGAAAGGCTTTTTTTTTTTTTTTTACATAAGTTGAAATCTTGTACTTTGTGCATAGTTTTATACTGTTTTTAGAACTTTAGACAATTTATTTTAGCCTTTCAAGTTGGTTTTTTACAAATATTATCTCTTGTATCATTTGAAAACACTTTCCAAGACTGCAGCTAGGTTTCTCTGGGAATGCAGTAGTAGTGGTTATAAAGTTTTGGTTTTTTCAGGAGTTTATAACTTGGCTTAAAAACATGCACTTTTTCCCCCTAATTTTTAAAAAGATCAGCTTGGTGTTTTAATGGCAGTATGTGGTTTTCTTTTCAAAACATTTCTTTGCCAGAATACATTTTTGTTTCCATACCTAAACAGTTGGCTGGGAAATAAAGCAACACACTTTGTCTAACTGTAATTGAGGAAGAGAATGCTAAGTATTGGGTGTTTTTCTGTTAAGATGTTTTTAAACATTTTGCAGATACCTGGGATTTTTGTAGCAGTACTGTATGATTTGTGGAGGGAAATTCTCTTTACGGCTCTAAAATTTTCTGCACTGAAAACCTCCCTGCCCCCCTGTACATATAAATATCTTCTGTGTTCATTCATTGCATTTCACAGGGGGTTTGCTTTGTTCATTACTTGTCTTGTAGGTGTTACAATGTGGTTGAGGGTTTTTTAATGTAATATTGCCAACCTGAACAAAGCCCTGAGCAACCTGGTAAGATGTCATGGCTGGTCCTGCTTTAAGCAGGGGGGTTGAGAGACCTCCAGAAGTCCCTTCCAGCTGAGTTATTCTGTGATCCTACAGTGAGAATATCCCTGTAACCCCATGCTCTGATTTAGTGTTTACCTAGTCTGTATAAAGGGAATTTTAGCAAAGCTTCATCTGGCTTAGTGTCCTTTCTTCTACAGTGGCTAAAAGTGAATGTTCAGGGAATATGTAAGAACAGGCCAAGCATGGCATTCCCCAATCTGGTTTTTTTGTTTGTTTCTAATTATTTGCCATGCTCTCTTATTTCTAGTAGCAATTTATGTACTTTTTATCTCTTGGGTCTTAATGTTTTCCCTTTTATTTTGTAGAGGAAGATCTGCTGTGGTCAGAAAATGTGTGGCTAAATCCACGGGCCAAGAGTATGCAGCTAAATTTTTAAAGAAGAGAAGAAGAGGTCAAGACTGCAAAGCAGAAATTCACCATGAAATTGCTGTACTTGAATTAATGAAATCTAATCCTCGCATAGTTAATCTCCATGAAGTCTATGAAACAGCAAATGAAATAATCTTGGTGTTGGAATAGTAAGTATGCCTTCATCACATGTTCCACATTTGGAGTGTAGTTTTCAAAATACTAATTTTTGTGTATATTATGCTAATATTTCATTAGGATATGCTTTCTAAGCATCTTTATATTTTTTGGTTTGAGAGTGTTTCGGGCAAGCTGATTGGAGATAATGTTCCTGAATCCCATCAAAAGTTCAGAGTGCTTTGATGCATCTTAAATGATTAAAAAAGAAATAGAGTAGCCAAGTACTGATACGAAGTACCCAGACTTCAAAGAAGCTGAGCACGTCTGTGCTCTGTGAACTTCAGTTAGCACTTGATGCTTTTTGGTGACTGTAGACTTGGGAGTTGCTTTGTGGGTTATGAGCTTCTAAATTTAGTAGTTTTGTTGTTTTAAAACTGTTTGGCTTTTGGAGCCGTTTTGTAAAAAATTCCCATATTTTTTTCAGATGTCCCTGAAGCTTCTCATTAGCTCTGAAAAAAAACAAGTCTAATTTGGGAATTGAATTTGAATTATCTCTCATATTTGCTGTACATTTTTGTTGGGAATGTAGGAAACAAAAAGGCAGATTTTGAAATTAGATCTCTCTAGGCTTTAAGTTTCACTTACAGAGTATTTGAAGTGCTGTTAATGGTGGTCTGCATGCACCATGATAAATCCCTTCAAATTTTCCAAAGAATGTAGCTAGATTCTATCTTTAAAAGCTTTTTTTCCTGGAACTAGCTGATCCTCAACATATTATTTGTTGTTTTGTGAGCGTTAAAATAATAAATAATGTAGAAGTCTAGACAGAGTCCAGATGGCAAGTTTTGAACTTCTGAAAGTGCAAGTTCACATAAAAGCCATACTGATTTTCCTGCTTCTGTTTCAGCTCAGCTAACTCTCTCTTGTTTATTAAAGCTCTGTAATGAAACAGCTTCCTTATGCTGCATTGGTGTTCGTGGTCTAACTTCACTGTAGTGTTCAGAAGTCTTGCAGTGAAGTGTTCCTACTTTAGTGGGGATTGCACACTTCAGTTATATTCCCCTGTAGCAGAATAAACAACTTTTCGTGTTCATTACTCGTTAGCAGAACTCTGAAGCAGTACTTTAAAAGAGTTGCAAGAAAGGAGTTTAAAAAATAGTTTATAAGCGTTTCATCTTCAGCTGTATTTTCCCCCCCTGCACGTGTTCCTTGCTCTTGTTGCAGCAAACAGAGATATTGTACTGAGAATACCTTTCTGCGTATTCCTTTTAGTTTATGAACCTGTCCAAGTGTGTGAATGTGTTTTGTCCTTTTTTGAACCTGGTGATACTGTCTACTTTGGTGGTAATAAATTCCAGGTGTTCATTATCTTCTGTGTGAAGAAATATTTTCTTTTATCTTTCTCAAACTAATCAGCTAGCTTCATCAGGTGCCTCCTAGTTCTTATGTTGTAGGATGTGGTGAATAACAGTTTTTGTTTGGCTCTAAACCAGCTTTAGTGTTTTGGAAGCATCATTTGTACACTTCCCCACAGTCTTCTATCCAAACTGAAGAGTCAGTATCTCTTTGGTTTTGTTTGGGTTTTTTGTTTGGTTGGTTGGTTTTGGGTTGTTTTTGTCTTACTTGCCTTTCTACATGCTAAGGTTTTATACTGAGCATTGTTTTGTTGCCTGTTCTCAGTAGCCCTCCTGATGATAGCCTGGTATAGTGTTTTTTGTTTTGACTGCTCTGCACGTTGGTCCTATTATTTCTTAACAGTTGTCAGTCAAAATTTTCTGAGCTATCCCTTCTAGTCCAAAGTTTGTCATTGTGTGAGATTCCATTAGGTTATTTATCTGTGTGCACCACAGGTCATCTGATGCTCTTTTACTCACTTTCTCTGGTGCTGAACTTCCTTGTTTTTGTCTTCCTTGAACTGGGAAGCCCAAACTAGGATGCTGCATTCCAGCAGTGCTCTGGTGTGCTGGGCAGTGTCACTTGCCTCAGGCTGTGTTCCTGCCACTACAGCCCAAGGTGCTGCTGACCTTTCCTGCACTTCAACTCTTGCTGACTCTGAGGACTCACAAATCTTTCCTGCAGAGCTTTCAGCTCTTTGCTCATCTGGGTGTCCACCCATCCAGACCATAATGCAACTTGGATACAAGAATACTGTGGGAGAGAGTGTTAAAACCTTGTTGAAGTTGGAGTAAATTAAATCCACGTGTCTTCCCTGATCTACATTTTATCATAAAGTCAACTAGGGGAAACATTATGGCCACCTCACGTAGCAGGTTTATGGCTGTGTTTATTCGTGTTGTCCATCATCCAGCTGTTTTATAGATTCGTTTTGTTAGCAATGAAGGTTAAGCTTACTAATCTGTAGTTTTGAGGTAGTCCTTTATTCTTTAAGGCAGAGAAAGTTCAGGCAGTTAGAGCAGGCTGAGTAATGATTTCAAACCCAGCCTGAAAGGAAGCAGCTGACACTGCAGCCAAGGGTAGATGTGTTACTAATAAACCACGTGCAACAGGGTTATTTCCATGCTGCTTTACGTGGTACTAATAGGGTTTTCTGGAAGCCTTTTTCTGAGGAAGATGAACTTGAGATGCTGTGTAAAAAGATGAACCTTGTCAATCTTATTTTTGAAATCTACCACTTCTACACTAACAACAAAGTGACAGAGTTCAGTCCTTGCATTTCTGAATATTCTGTGTCCACTAGAGTTCTGGAAGGGACTGCTCAATAACTGACTAGGCAACTGTATAATTAATCAGCAGTAGCATACTAGAGTTTCTTCCTGGTACCTCTCTGAGTCTTCCATCAGAATGGCAGGAGGCAAGTATGCAGTTTCCTCACTCCAGAAATATTCCTTCTTGCTTATAGGAAAACGTGCTTGAGGGTACCAGAGCATTATGAGGTTTTCAACCAAAGTTCTGTTTTGCTGTCTCAACTGCTTTTGCTGACTACTAAGAAAGGAAAAGCATCATCACATTTTTTTTTCCTTTCCTGAGTGCTTATATTATGTGTTTTTGCATAAATATGTAAAAAAAAAGTAATAATAACGATATTTCCAACCTCTCTGAGAGTACAAATATATATGAGATAAATATATATATGTATACTATATATTACATTTTTCTCACTTAAGATTCAAAATTTAAACTTAACATGTAAATGTTCTTGAATGTGTTTCAGTGCTGCTGGAGGAGAAATATTTGACTTGTGTGTCCCAGATCTGGATTACAGAATTGGTGAAAGGGATATTGTGAGACTTATAAGACAAATACTTGAAGGACTTTGCTGCTTGCATGAAAACAATATTGTTCATCTTGATTTAAAGGCAAGGCTGCAGCAGACTTTTTATTTTAGTACTTCAGTTTATTATTACGTTAATCAAAGTAATTTGTTAAATACATAAGAAAGATGAAGAGAAAAAGGAGTGTGTTAAAGATTAAATATTTTTAAATAAAATTTAACAATAAGCATTGCATAATAGAACCTGAAATGTCATTTAGTACGTTGGGCTGTTTTGCAGATTGCATTTGATTAATTGAGAATGAAATATTTTCTATTCTAGCCTCAGAATATTTTGCTGAGCAGCATCAATCCTCTTGGTGATGTAAAAATCGTAGATTTTGGTATTTCCCGGAAGCTTGAGAATTCCAGTGAACTGCGGCACATCATGGGAACAACAGAGTATCTGGGTATGGAGGAGCTGCTTCACAATGTCTGATTTGTGCTTTGGGGAAGACCAAACAGTTCACGTCATGTGCTTATGAACTTACCAGTTCATTACTGGGGAAAGAACATTATAGGACAAAGCAGCATGTTTTGAGCTGTTCTTTTTTTAGAATAGTCATTGAATATTTGCACCAAAAATTCTCAAATTTTATCAGTAAGTGCTTCTCTCAATTCATGCCGTAGCACTTGCTGTGATGCCTACTTGTAACAAAAAATTTCGGCTGTTAAATTCTTTTGATTAGGATTGAAATACAGCATTAGCATGCACAAAGAAATGTTCTTTGAGTTAGGAATGTTGTTTAGTATGATGGTTTAATGAGATTAAAATATTCCTTGGAAAGGGAAAGACTGCCGTTAACACTTGGCCCTCTGTGAGGGACGGGTTTCCTTCATGACTTGCCAACACTCAATTTTAAGAGCACTTCAGACTACAGTGAATAACTTGCTATCTAGCACAGGCTAACAGCCACTGATCCCAAAATTGGCTTGGTCATCTGCTTTTGTGGTGTTAACATGCTGAAGGCTTTATGCATTCCCCTTAAAAAGCTATATACTTCAGAACCTCTTAGAAGAATGTTTTATGTGGATAGTTCTGATTAGAAAACATCTTGAGACTTGGCTAGGAGTAGACTTTAGGCCATGTAGTGCTGTTTTAGTGTGAACCAATTAAACATCTGTGTGTCTAGTCAAACAGAAATAACTTTTTTGCACCCTTGCGTCTTGAAAATAATAAACTTAACTATTGAAACTGCATGTTTAGTCTCATAATAATGGTTGGCAAAGAAAATGCCAAAAATGTACTATAGGATTCAAGGTTATTTGAATAATATTATTTATGAAGGCATTTTTCTTCTTCCCATCTCTTTAGCTCCAGAAATCTTAAACTACGATCCTATTACCACAGCTACAGACATGTGGTAGGTTGCATATCTTAATTAATTTTATTGAGGCAGGTGGGGCCACTTAACAACTTAGGGGAGAAATCTGGACACTGATGCAGTTTTTTATCTGGCTTCCAAGAATACCCTGCTGCTGGACTGACTAAAAGAGGGAGAGATGGGAGGATATAACTCAGGGCTTCAAGGAATTACTGTATATGGGTCTACTGAACACTTAGAAGGGAATGCCAGTGGCTTCTGAGCCTGGAGTGTAGGTATTTGTTCTAAGGGAACAATAACAGTGGCTGGATAGCATACTTTAGGTATTACTTACTCTGGGATGACAAGCTTCAGGTACTAGCTTCTTTTGGACACTCTTCCCTCCCTGCTTTTGTATTATTAAATAATTTTATTATACAAATGATAAAAAGTATTTAACTTTCTAGTTTTTATCTTTAGAGAAATATCTGCAGAATGAGTCATAAAAAATAAGACAAATACCTTAAAGTGATCCACAGCTTTATTTGTGGCTTACTAATTTTATGAGCTATGTCAGTTTAAAGACTAGCTTTGAGGTGTTTCCTTAGAAACATAAAATATTCATATGCTCTTCGAGCATCTTAATAATTAAAATTCAGTTTTAAAAGTTGCTGTGATCTAAAATTGCTCCTTTGAAATTTTCAACTCATAATAGTAACTAAATCTGTTCACGAACGTTTTTGTAACCACTTATTATTTGCATGTTTTGGTGGGAAGACATAAAACCAAATTGTTGGTGCTCTGCTCAGAATGACAAACACAGCAGCAGCTGCAGTTTCCACAGTGTAATGGGTACTAAGACCTGATCTGTCTGATCACAAAAACATTTTTATGCATCAGGAAACTACCTAAGATTTATAATAGGCTGCATGATGTGTGATGTTCTTAGGGAAAAACGTCTCAGCAAGAGGATATTGTAACATAGCTCGGATGTCAAACGTGCAGAAAGGTTGACTAAACCTCAGTCTTTGGTACTTCATCCAGAATTGCAGTGAAAGGTGGGGGGTTATTTACATGCAGATTAGAAAGTCTGCCTTCCTGCTGTTCTGTCCTCCAGAATTGCTGTATGTCCAAGAGAGGGCTGTATAAAAAGGATGCATTTGCTTTCCTATCAATCTCAGTGGGAAGAAAAGGGTGTATTGAAAGTAAGAATTTTTCAAAAATGCCTCCACTGAGATATATACATAGCTCTGCTTGTGTGTGTTTGTGCATTCCTGCTTGAATCACATAAAACTGAGATGTCACATGGTGCTTTTAATTCTCAAAGTGTGGGATACATCAGGAAGTTTGATCTGCAGCACAATAAATATATAGGATGTATTGTTCAGATGTTCTGGTGGGATTATACATTGTGTTTTTATCTCAGGAACATTGGTGTAATTTCATACATGCTGCTGACACAAGAATCTCCATTTGTGGGAGCTGATATTCAAGAAACTTACCTTAATATATCTCAAGTTAATGTGGATTATTCAGAAGAGACATTTGCATCAGTTTCACAGCCTGCCAAAGACTTCATTCAAAAACTTCTCATAAAAAATCCAGAGTAAGTAACAAACTCCTTCAGAGAAAGTGAATGTTAATTTATATGCCTAATACCACTGGTTCCTTGAAAACCTAATGGCTGAATATTCATTAGCATCCCTATTTACAATGGTCAGTATAAAACATAGGACTTCAAAAGCATGTGTACATTTATAAACCGTGTTGAAAACATTCCAAGGGACTATGTTCCTTGTTCAGATGAAAAGCTTACCAGCTTCAGGGGAAACTGTCAACTAAATTTAGATGTGTGTTGCCACTGCTTAACCTTAACTGTGTGTTTTGTAGCAGCTGAGGTGGTGGGCTTGAAAAAATAGTGATACTGTTTCTTTAGTGTAGGTTTTACTCAAGATTCCTTAGCATGTGTCAGAGTTATTTTAATGGAGTTTTTAGTATTTATGAAATGAACTAAAGCAACTCTTTTCCGTTTTCTTTTTCAAAGGGAAAGACCCACAGCAGCGGACTGTCTTTCTCATTTGTGGTTGCAGCAAGGGGAGTTCACGCTCTTGTGTGGCCCTGAGGAAACCTGTTGCTCTTCTCAGGTGTCAGGCCACACAGCAAAATGCTCGGAAGAGCGGAACGTAAAATCCAGTTGTAATGGTACCTGTGGCGACAAGGAAGACAAAGAAAACATTCCAGAGGACAGCAGCACGCTCTCCAAACGCTTCCGTTTCGATGATTCATTGCAGTATCCCCAGGACTTCACGACAGACTTCTTATGTTAATGTGTAATACAGACTTTTATCAAATGAATTCATCATAATTTGTTCCAGTGGTGAAAATAAGATTATGGCTTGCCAATTCCCGTAGCATTGGCGTACTGGAAATGCACTTTGATTCTTTTATGCTGGTGCCTCCTTTTCTATCCATTGCTGGCAGTGGATTTAACTCCTGAGAAATTGGAGTTGTAGCGCCAATAAAGTGAATTATTTTTTTTAAAGAAGATATAAATAAAATATTTTTGCACTTTTCGAGTTCTAGTCAAAAAATGACGCTAGACTGAACAAACCAAAACCTGAAAATGAGTTTGTTTAAACTCAGCCTTTGCCAAACTGTGGTTGCATACATGCATGCTTTTATAACTCACCTTTATAAGAAATTGGTCTGAGCAAGGAAACTGAATCTAGCTGTCTTACTGGACTTACTTCTGACCCTTCTCATCACTTTACGTAGAGGCTAAAGTTGGTGTGGTTTGGGACTGATAAATCTGCTGGGGCATTTGGAAAACTGTTTTCCCTCTGGGACAGCTAGTAGTTATGCAGGTGTTTCTGCCTTGTGGACCTGGGCCTCTCAGGGGTTGTAATCCATACCCTGTGGTTTTGCTGTGTTGGATCTTTGCAGCTCCTGAATAGAAAACGGGTAGACTGGCAGTCCTTGTGCTAGTGGTCCTTGGCTTCTTACCAGTAAATTATGTTTGATGAAGATGAGTTTTCTATGCTGATGTGAATATTTGATGAACTTATTAGATTGTTTTTATAAAAACTCTGAAATAATATTATCTACCTGTACTGACCTTTTCCTTATCTTAAAAAATCTCCCCAAAACAACCAAAAAACCACAAAATACCCCCCTCCAAAACAACAACCAAAAACACACAAAGGAGCCCCAAAACAGAAAGCCTCTTTATAGTTAAAAGTAGTAACTGAATAAACTGAAAATAACCATTTTTGCCAGCGAAGCTGCAATTAACAACTTTTCTTTATGTCCCTCTAATGTAGAAGTGCAGTGCATCTTTGTCAGTTGTTGTTGCCCCGAACAACTCAGCTTCATACCTGCTCTGAGAAATGGACAGCAGTGTGTTAGTACTTAAAGACAAACTACCTGATAATTGTTTTAAGGCTTTTAATTTGGTTTGCTCGGTGGTAATTTTTTTTAAGTTATGTCCCTTCCACTTCCTGTTTCTAGGCTCTTAGGAAATAATGCCTATGTAGTGAGTCTTGACTTAGAGCAAATGCCAGTGGTGTCTTAAACAGCCTGAAACTAATACTGACAAAATAAATGACTAATTGTAACAGAGGCTGGAAGTCTTTTTGTGCAGGGAATGTATTTAAACTCCTACAGGTATTTTGAAAGTAAATGTCACTTTAAAATATATTTTTGGGATTTTCTACTCCTCAGAGCTTAAATTTAATTGTCATTGATTTGGATTTGTTTTCTATAATAAAATACCACCATCTGATAATATTTTTCAAGTGTGCCTGTGGATTTGTCAATAGTTAGGCAGATTGGTGTTTTGGAAAAATATATGATTGAGAGGTGAACTGAATGAGTGGTAGAGGTTGTATTTTATCTTCACACGAGGAAAGAAGAGGTTTTTTACAAACAGATTTCAATATAAGGTATCACCATAATGCATGGGTGAATTTGGGACTGTTGTCTTAATTTGGGTGACAGTCGTGTCAGCAAGTGAAAAGCAGACTGAGGTGTGAGGCAGGTGAGACTGATCTATCAGCTTATGTTTGCCAGAAGAAATAAAAGTTTTCCAAGACATAATTTCACGTGAAGTAACAGTATATTGAGCACATACAAAGCTCTGGTACCGAGGTGTAAATGAACCACACTCTATCTGTTGATTCTCATGTAACTTTTTGCAGTGGTACTGGGAGTATAGGATTATAAAATCCCTCTGCAGGAGGCAGTTGTTGATTGCATTCAGGTACCTTATAGCCTTAGCTTTCAAAGTCTTGGCTTTTCCCAGTTGGAGTCTTATTTAACTTTTTTGGTTTTTTTTTCCACCAGCATGGATTCCAATTTGAACTGGGTAAATTAAAACCACAAACTATTACATATTTACACAGAAGCTGAAGTTCACTTAAGGTAAAGAAGACAATGTCAAAATCTTGCAAAAATATTACTGAGTTGAAATTACAACTATTTTTTACCATCTGAAAAATCTGAAAGCATGTGCCAGCACTTTATGACATAGTTGTTATTACTAAAGATTTTTATCGCAGTATCTGATGTTTACAATTCTTACTACTTTAGAGCTAACTTATCTTTAAATAAATGAAAATTGGTCTTTTCCAAGGAGTTTAAGTTTTGAAGACTTTATTTGTACTTTATATAAATATAGAATATACCTTGAATCAGCCTTACTTTGGATAAGTGCCTTTGATTTATTTAAAAATACTATTGTCCATTCATAAACTTCAGTTGAATGTAAATACATACATTGCAGGCAACTGTTAGTCTGCCTTGCTTCCTGCCATATTACTGGGAATTTCCAAGTATTAATGAGTGATGAGTAGCATTTTCAGATGACTGAAGTCATACTTCTATGCAGTTCATGACCTTTTTATATTAAAAAAAATAAATAAATTTTGCCTTTTTTCCCCCCAAACTTCTGTGTTTTCATTCCTTCACAGAACCAGAGAATGGTTGAGGTTGGAAGGGGCCTCTGGAAGTCACGCTGTCCAACCCCAGCCTGCTCAAGCCATGCCATCTAGGCTTTGTTGGCCAGAATGATGTCCAGCTGGCTTTTGCTCTCCAAGACTCTATCTGTCAAGGCAAACCTGTTCCAGTGCTCAGTAATCCTCACACTAAAAATATGTTCTTGTGCTCAAATGGAGTCTCCCGAGTTTTAGTTTGTGCCCGTTCCCTCTTGTCCTGGCACTGGGTGTCTCTGACAAGAGCCTGCTGGTGATATTTTGCCTCGTGCAGCCCAGTGCTGGCTCCTGTTGGACTCAGTGTCCACCAGGTCCTTCTGAAGGTGTTTTCGGGCTGGATGGCTCCACATGTGTCAGTGTATGGGATTGGTCCTGCAGGGGTGGAGAGCTTTGCGCTGTGCTGAACTCCATGAGGTTCCTGCCAGCCCACATCTCCAGCCTGCAGAGGTCCCTGGGGATGGCAGCGTGACCCTCAGGTGTATCAGCCACTCCTCCCGGCTTTGTGTCCCCTGCAGCCTTGCTGGGGGCATGCCTGCCCATCGTCATTCACGAGGATCTTGAACAGGACTGTCTGTGAGGATCTTTTGGGGGACAGTGTCAGGGGCCTTGCTGAGGTCTGAGTAGGCACTGTCTGCTGCTCCCCCCTCGGGTACTGACCAGTCATTTCACTGCAGAAGTTTATCAGGTTGCTCACTGTGACTTCCCCTCGCTGAATCCGTGCTGACTAACTGATGACTCATGAACTTGGCAGCTGACTTCTTGGAACTGTTTTATATGTGTCTGGGTTTTATACATAAAAAGTTGATGTTCCTGTATGTAAGTCTAGTTATATCTTGTGGTATTTACTGAGGTGATACCTTTTATGTTAAATTCCAACAGCCTTTTCTGAATGTGAGGAAACTTAAATGGAATGTTTGTTACACATATTAACCTCCTAGGGCACTAATGGTACATTTGTTTCATTTTCAAGTAGATGGCTGAAATAAAAACAAACAACCAAACAAAACCAACAAGTTGCCTTTACAAAGGGAGTTACACTCAAAGGTGGTGACCCCTTGTTGCCTGGTTAATGGCATTTCCTCCAAAGGCACATTTAATTGACAAAGCTTTCTCATTGTTTGAAATGAGCATAAATGGGCTTTCTTTTTAGTGAAAGAAACAGTGTATTCATGTGCTTGGTTTGGTGTTGCAGCATTAGGTTCAGAAATTACCTGAATATTTGTGTTTCCTCTATTTCCTATCAGGTGCTGCCTGATTTTTTCTTTAATTTTTTTTTTAACACCTCAAGCAGAAAAAGTATTCTGTTTAAAGGTGATTTGAGACAACTTGAAATTACTTTCTTTTCAAGAGGCCTTCTAAGTAAGAAGACTTACTAGAAAAAGCCATTATAATGGCTTTAAACTGACAGAGAATAGGCTTATATTAGATGTTAGGAAGAAATTCTTGACAGTGAGGGTGCTGAGGCACTAGAACAGAGAAGCTATGGATGCCCCATCCCTAGAAGTGTTCAAGGCTGGGTTGGATGGGTCTTTGAACAACCTGCTCTAGTGGAAGATGTCCCTGTCCATGGCAGGGGATTTGGAAATAGATGATCTTTACGATCCCTTGCAGCCCAAACCATTCTTTGATTCCATGGTAATAGCTGACCATCTTCTTACCAGGACAGCTGTGCTTCTGTTCTTGCCAAGTAAGGTCAGTTCAGCTTGAAAAAAATATTTTGTAAAACTAGGGCAAGATACAAGGGTACAATTACTGTGTGTTTGTTTCAGAAACCACTCATCCTGTGGATTAAGAACCTGGCAGCTGACAGACTTGAAAATACTGCTTGGCCCACTCAGCATTGGAGAAGTGAGCAAGACACGGAATGAGTCAGTGAGTAGAACATCTACCAAATTAATAGTAACATTACAAAGCTGAATTGCCAAGTCATAGCAGTGTATGAGAGTATAAGGAATTTTTTTAATAATTAAAAGCAGGTACATGGATTATGACATAAAAATACTTATCGGCTAGCCCAGTGTAGTGAATAAACAACAACATAGATGTGATTAGTTCTCTGTAAGAAGAAAGTTGTTTCCTGATAATGAAAAGTACCATATTTGCAAGGATTTTCTTTATAATGTTCCTAATATTACCAATCTGTGCCTTTCCTCCTCTGAAAAGTACAAGCAGGTGTGCTATTTCCAGTTTCCTAATCAGATAATAAACCCCAAAATGTCACATTCTAGCAAAAGGAACCACAATACCCGGCAGTGGATGGCAATGCACGCTGAATGTGCCACTGCTTTCTGTAGGTATAGTTTCTAATAGTAGAAATAGTAAGGAGTTCTGTTTGCATGATCTCCAGCTGGACTGTTACAGCCAGTACAGTGTAGAGCTTGTTTGAATCTCCCTATGATATGTTGAGTATGAGGGTATTTCTCGTTTCAAAATCAAACCCAGGCTCTGCTACTGGCTTGGATTTAGAAAATGCCCTGGGAATTCCAAGTGATGTTGAGCCTTCTACAGCTGGACAAAGCAGAAATACCCTACTGGTTCTTTGCCTGTGGTATTTTAACAGAGGGGCTTTTATGTTTAAAGCTTGCTATGTAAACACTTTAAAATGTTCTGTGTGCAGTTCACAAGATTGATTACAGGCCTGAATTGGAGCTTATTTATAGGGATTTTCCAACAGGGTAACTATAAAATATAGTGCCATCTTTTATGTGTTGCTGTGAAAACAAAATCTCTCAAAATTCACAAACTATCCAACATGACAACAGCTCTTTCAGATCCCATTGAAATCCAAAGCTGGTCACAGCAGAGTGTTAGAAGTCATACAAACCATGCTAGTTATTTAGATTGGTCAAACCACTGGATTCACAATTAAGGGAACACACACTGACTACCAATGGAACTGAAGGAGATTTTTACTTATATTGTCTTGTATTCTGTAATTTAGAGAAGTGGGTGGCAGGCAGGTGGTTTAAATCCCAGGCCGTTGTGCACAAGATGGCTTATGCCATGAAGTGGCACCCGAAACATCTTTGGTTGCTGTTGGAGTTTAGACACCCCAGCCCAGCATTTCAGCTTAGCAAGAATGATTTCGCAAGCACAGCTGAATTCTTTTGCATGGTTTTTTGGGGCGCTTGTCCCACTGCTTTGCCTAAAGACAAGCACCTGAGTTCAGCTTCTGACTGAATGATGGGTTTTATCCTCCCCAGTGAGGTGCAGGAGGGCTGCGATTGGCACCCTCCTGAAAGATCGAACTTCAGTGTCTGTGCCGTGAACTCCCCAAATCAGGTTTTTAGAAGCAGCACAGTCCTCCTTGGAGCTGCCCAGATGTCCTTTGATAAATTTAGCGGTGCAAATTTAAGCAGACATTTTTGGTTTTGGCTGCTGTTCCTGTTCTGTTTTCAGAGAGAGTAACGCTCTCATACAGGCACCCCTTTAGAAACCACAGAAACTGAAGCTGTGTATACCAAGTGTTTAACTTGGTACAAGCTACAGAATGTTACGTCATTGTCCTGGTTTCAGCTGGAATAGAGTTCATTTTCTTCTCAGTAGCTGGCATAGTGCTGGGTTTTGGATTCTGTATGACAATAACATTGATAACACACTGATGTTTTGCTTGTTGCTAGGTAGTGCTTTCTCTAAGCAAAGGACACTTCTGTTCCCCATGCTCTGCCTGTGAGAAGGTGCTCAAGAAGCTGGGAGGGAGCACAGCTGACCTGAACTCATAAACCTGGTATGAATTCCATACCATTTAAATTATTATTTAAAATGGGGGGGGAGCTGGCTGAGAGGGTCTGACCAT